CTGCACGGTCGATACCTCGTGCTGACTAAGGTAACAAACCAGCGCCCATAGGCTTGGGAGGACCGCTCATAAGCCGGAGGGGGAAACCGCCCATGAACCGGGGGGAAACCGCCCATAAGCCGGGGGGCAACTGCCCCGCTTATGGGCGGTTCCCACCCAAGCCTATGGGCGCTGGTTTGTTACCTTAGTCAGCACGAGGTATCGACCGTGCAGAGGATACCATCGTTAACCATCATTTCTGCATTCTATATAGGCAGACTTAGGTGTTGTGACATCACGTATCTTCGAACTGCGCAGATAACCGGAAAAATAAAAATCCGGACCAATCAAAAGCGGTGTACAGAATAACAAAATGTGGTGTACAGAATAACATTACCCTTACTTTGGTTGTCCAGTCACGTGATACTTTGCTTGGCAACATCACGTGAGGAAGCTGGCTTGGCAATGTTTGCACCCCTCCTCCTTGCTCTCTTGTTAGATTGAACGCATTCCTTCTCTCGACTCCACAGCCTATCCATATTTCACTGAAGTCCGTCAGTCTAACCGGGGAATCTTTCTATTGACTCTGCTTATCCTATATCATAGTGACAGTCCTAAGAATGCATCTTCCCTTCTTCGGCATCCTCTAGAAATCAACGTACACTCTCCCTTCATATGCGTCCAAAATATCTGCCTGTCTGCATTCACGAGCGTTGGTGGAGATAAAGACGCGACCTTGCATGGTGGCTCGCACATCCTTCACCTTGTCAGGAATTGGAAGCTCTTCCGACGTGAAATTCAAAATCACAATTGCCCGCCTTTTTCCATCCGGACTGGTTTTCACGTAGCTGAAGATCCTCTCGTTGTCTCCGTCAACGAGATCGAAAGCGCCATGAACGAAAACGTCAGCATGACTCTTGCGCAGTCTTAGCATCCGCCTGTAAAAAGAGAGTGTGCTCTTTGAATTGTTGGTTTGCTCTGCGACATTTATCCTTGGATAGCTGTCATGTGCTCTCATCCACGGTGTGGCTTCAGCTGAGGTGAATCCTCCATGCGCCGTGTTATCCCACTGGAACGGCAGCCGGGAATGATCTCGGGCAAGAATCTGAAGACCTTCCATCACCTTGTCCTTTCGTCTGGGATCGACACTCCGCTCTGCTTCGCGATAGAAGTTGTTGCTTTCGATATCCTTATACTCGTCAATGGACCAATTTTTCGGCATGTTCGTCATTCCGATTTCTTGACCTTGATAGAGGAAAAGGGTACCGGTGAGAGTCGTTTGCCAAAGGGCAATCATTTTGGCTGATGTTTCCCAGTATGGTGTTGTGTCGTTTCCGAATCTCGAGACGGCTCTGCCATTGTCGTGATTCTCACAAAATACGGTCGTCCAGCCATCGGTGCCTTCGATAAACTTCTGCCAGCGCTCCACAAATGTCTTCATCTCAGTCAATTTCCATGGTTTGAAGTCATACTTGCGGCCAAACCCGTCTCCGGTGCCTAGTCGAATCATATCGAACTGGAAGACCATGTCCAGTTCATTTTCTTGAGCGCTCACATACTCCAAAACTCCTTTCGGGTCCGGGGTGTTGGACAGCTCACCCACGGTAACCGCGTTGTAGTGATCAAGAACCTCGGAATTCATTTCCTTCAGGAATTCATGTATCCTGGGTCCATTACACCACATCTCCGGTGCCGGTTGCCACTCACTCTCGGGATCTGTCACTTTCGCATCCACGAAGTCTGTACGTTTGCTATATTTGTTCACGGTATCGATTCTGAAGCCGTCAACGCCTCGGTCGAGCCAGAATCGCATTGCATTGTCGTAAATTGCCTGTCGACAGGCTTCACTCTCCCAATTCAGGTCCGGCTGATCGGGTGCGTAAAGATGCAGATAGTATTCTTGCGTGGTTTCATCCCAGGTCCATGTTCCACCAGCAAAATAACTGCGCCAGTTGGTCGGTGGCCTCCGATTCCCATTCGCGCCATATCGCGCTGGTTTCCAGATATACCAATCTCTTTTTGGATTATCTCTCGATGACCTGGACTCCGTGAACCATTCATGCTCGTTGGAAGTGTGGTTGACCACCAGATCCAGTATCAGTTTCATGCCTCTCGAGTGGCAGGCCTCAATCAACCTGTCGACATCCTGAACTGTTCCATAACGAGCGTATACTTTTTGATAATCGGATATGTCATATCCCATATCAGCTTGAGGGCTGTCGAACATCGGTGACAGCCACACGACGTCCACTCCAAGGTCATGAAGATAGTCAATCTTGGAGACAAGACCTGGTATGTCACCCCATCCATCGTTGTTCGAGTCCTTGAAGCTTGCTGGATACACTTGGTAGATTGTAGCTTCTTTCCACCACGGTTGGGATATCTTGGATATCATCGTTCTGGAGTTCCTTGGATTTTGAATGTGGATAAAAGTGTTCGAAGACGAATTTTTGAAGATTTCCAGCTTATTGTGACAATCCCCATCCCTTTTTGCTGTGCATTTATCGATGATCGACGATGAGAGCAGATCAACTGTTTCGTCGTAGCCATTTGATAGCGAGCCACAATTCTCCGAGATAGCAGCTCGACGGAGACAAATAGATGGAATTGTTACTTTTTTCGAGGAAAATCTCCGGATTGGCTCCGACTTGATTCCGGCTCGTTCACCCCCACGTGGAAAGAAAGATTTGTTCCTCCGAATTGCCTCCGGCTTGGCTTCTGCGAAAATCGCCAGTTTGATGTCTGGGTCGAATCATCGTCAATACTATCTTCCACGGTATGCGTCTGGCCTTCAAGCGGACATTCTGACGTCTTCAGCAGAAAATGCTTGGAAACCTGGCTTTTTCCACACCAACTCCACATTCCCACAGCCTCTACTCCGCGTGGAGTGTATGATCGGAATGTTGATCACTGGCCGCCTCATTATCGTTCTCTAACTCTCAGAGAATGAGGATAAATAGCGGCCCATCACCCTGCTGGAAGCATGCCAATCCTTCTCATTCCCACCTTACATCAAGGTGCTTGAACCTGTGTCTTTGGAACGGTCTAGGTTGCACGACCTTATCCGTTTCGATCATGGCGCAGAACTACAAGAGCTCCGACATGCGCGCTGGGAGCAAGGAGAGTTTCTCCAAACACGCTGAAGATACCACAGTCACTCATGCAGAAGCCCTGACCGAAGACGCCAAACATGCTTCCGACTCAGAGCATACGATGGGTCTTTTCAAGGCCATCAAGCTATACCCAAAAGCGATCGGGTGGTCGGTCCTCCTGTCGTCGACTCTGATCATGGAAGGTTACGATCTCGCCTTACTCGGCAGTCTCTACGCTTCTCCAGAATTCAACAAGAAATACGGCACATACAGCGAGGAAAGTGAGAAATGGGTAGTGTCAGCGGCATGGCAGTCGGGATTGTCGAACGGTGCCCGAGCCGGGGAGATCTTTGGGCTTATCCTGGCCGGTTGGGCATCGGATAAATATGGATATAAGATGACGACCATCGGTTCTCTTCTTCTGATGATTTGCTTCATCTTTATACTGTTCTTTGCCCCTAACCTGAAGGTCTTGGTCGTTGGAGAAATCCTTTGCGGTAGGTACATTCATCCGGACGAAAGGAATTGAATGGACTGAACTTCCTCCAGGGATGCCCTGGGGCGCCTTTCAATCTGTGACGCCCGCTTATGCTTCAGAAGTTGCTCCAACTGTCTTACGACCCTACCTCACAACGTTCATCAACAGTACATCTCCATTCCCCCCGAAACGGAGGCTCTTTGCTAACGGTCCCTTCAGTGTGTTGGGTTATAGGTCAATTCTTCGCAGCGGCAGTCAATCGAAGCTCGGTTAATCGACCAGATCAATGGGCGTATCGCATTCCCTTCGGAGTGCAGTGGGTCTGGCCGATTCCCATTCTTGCTGGTGTCGTCTTTGCTCCCGAGTCACCCTGGTGGCATGTCCGCCATGGAAACCGAGCGGCGGCAAAGAAGTCCTTACTCCGACTGACTTCTCGCAATGAGCCACACTTCAATCCCGACGAGACCATTGCCTTGATCGAGCATACAAATGAACTGGAAAAGTCCTTGAAAGAGGGAGTAACATACCGTGACTGCTTCAAGGGTATTGACTTGCGAAGGACGGAAGTTGTCGTCGGCATCTGGCTCGTCCAGACCCTAGGAGGCCAGAATTTGATGGGCTATTTCTCCTATTTCCTGTGAGCCTTTCCTTGGACGATTGATGAATCTGACTAACAGCTCTCCGAGTGTGCAAGCCGGCATGGATCCCACAAATTCATTCTCACTGTCCATGGGACAATACGCTCTCGGAATGGTCGGAACGGCGGGATCCTGGTTTTTGATGAGCAAAGTCGGCCGAAGGAAGATTCATTTTAGTGGTCTTTGTGCTCAACTGACGCTGTTGATTATTGTGGGCTCGCTATCATTCGCCGAGTCGAACAGTGCCACATGGGCAATCGGTGCGATGTTGATTATCTTCACTTTTGTTTATGACTTCGCCGTCGGACCGGTCACTTATTCTCTGGTCTCCGAACTCTCTTCAACGCGGCTGAAGGCGAAGACAATCGTACTGGCAAGAGCGGCTTACAACGCCAGCAATATATTCGTCAATGTCATGACAAACTATCAACTGAGCTCAACCGCATGGAACTGGGGTGCACGTGCGGCATTTTTCTGGGCCGGGAGCTGCCTTCTGTCTGCCACGTGGGTTTTCTTTCGTCTTCCTGAACCAAAGGTGAGTGGGTGCCCGGGTAAAATTAGATTTCTACATGACTGACACTGATTCTTGCAGGGTCGCACCTATGCCGAACTCGACCTTCTTTTTGATCAAAGAGTCGCTGCCCGCAAATTTGCAATAACCAAAATTGACCCGTACTCGGACTCCGTGGTTAGTGAAAAGCAGTGATTGCGCAGATATCCAAGAGTGCCTTTTGCGGAACAAAAGGCTATGAACGAACTTTCTTGTCGGATCATTCAAGAGGCTTCAAGAGACAGTATAAAATTTTGTGCACCTCTGAGACTTTTTGAAGTCCTAGACTTTTTTTTTTTTTTTTCAAATTTTTTTCAAATTTTTGAGAGGGTGAATTCTTCTCGCGACTGCAGGTAGGAGATTTCGAAACGTCCTTTGTGTCAGCCATTTGGTTGCATTGACCAAACCGTTGTTCCAAATTTGAGGGCGCACCCCAATCTTGCTGAAGAAAGACGATCGCAGCCATAAGCTTGGTTCAATATGCTGGCGATTGGAGGGGTTTTGTTCGCAAAAGACTGGAACCACATGAAATGAAGAAGCATGGGGAAAAGAGAAACGCACGAAACGACCCATGAGCGGACGAATTGGCTCCGAAAGCGAAGCTGAAAACGATCCAGCCTCGGTGTCCCTGAAAAGAGGTACACTTACCGCGTAGCATGTATCGACTCTCGCACCACTGATATAAGTTGGCTTCCTGCACCATTTGATCATCTGCTCTTCATGTCTATCGGGTCGAGAAACATTGCCTCCTGGGCGTCTCACATTCATCCATCCATCAATCTGAACGGAAAACCAAACCTGCATATAAGTCGAATTTGCATCAAGTCACTGCCTACGGGCGGTACAAGTGGCAGAGGAATTCCCTGACACTCGAGTTGAGGCTTCCGACGTCGATCTCAGTTTGATGTTTCCCAAATCCGAACTTCCGGCAAACCTGTCGATCAGTAAATGGGGCTTCTTCGATCCGTTTCCGGATAGTTGGCAGGGTGCCTTTGACATGACTCATGTTCGGGTGCGGACAAGGACCATGTCGATGTCGCAAGCGACCCGAAACGTGTTTCCGAGCATTGGCGTGCGTTGAATGCGCAATCGTTGCCGACGTTGGATGCAAAAGACGCGGGGGGGCAGCTGAAGGAACGAGGGAACTTTTGATGCAGATGAAGAAGGATGCCAGGGTGGACGTGTACAGTGCACACATCACAAAGATTTGACAATGGACCTTTCTCTTCGTGTGGTCTTATCTTTCGCTTATCTCCACGTGACAATTACGTCACATGACGTAAAGCAGCCCCTCCATCTCCACCTCAAAACATCATCACCCGATTCACTCCCCTTCTCATTTCTTTTCCATTTGAATACTTCAAATGACTTCACCTTTCAGACTCTCTGCTCTCTCAAGACAGCTTTTGACGACCTCGAAATCCTGGATCGGCTCCCCCGTTCAATCGAGAAATCTATTCAACATGTCGCAAACTCCCTCGGCAGCATGTACGAACGTCATCGCGTTGAACTCCAAAATGATGTGCTAATCTCACACAGGCTGCAACACCCCGGCTGTTGTAAGCAAAGGCTATGTAAGTGGTTCCGCCTGATCTGGTACACAATTCGACACTGATAACCTTGTCCAGCAAGAAAAGGGTAGTTTCATCACCGTCGATGGAATGAAGACCTGTGGGTCACTGGACGATGCATGACCTTTTTGGACAGAGAATCTCATTCTCATACACCCTAGATACAACCGGACCTTCTTCCGCAAGCCACGGTATCCTGGTGATTTACGACATCTTCGGCTTCTTCCCGCAGACACTTCAGGGCGCCGACATCCTCGCCCACTCGGACAAAGATCAGCCATACCAGATTTTCATGCCCGACTTTTTTGAAGGAAACCCTGCCGACATCTCATGGTATCCACCCGATACGGAGGAAAAGGGTAAGAAGTTGGGTGAATTCTTCCAAACTGCGGCTGCACCACCCAAGACCGTTGCACGTGTCCAGAAAGTCATGGATGAATTGAAGACTAAACACCCAGGTGTCAAGAATTGGGGCGTGGTTGGATATTGCTGGGGTGGCAAGGTATTTCGACGTTCTCCCGACCTTCGAATCTCATATGTTGACATATATTCTCAGATCGTCAACTTGGTGTCTCAATCCGGGACACCTTTCAAGGCCGCTGCGACGTGCCATCCCGCCATGGTGGACCCGAACGACGCTTCAAAGATTGCCATTCCAATGCTGATGATTCCATCCAAAGGCGAGGATCAGTCTGCAGTCGACCAGTATGAAGCACACTTGAAAGTGCCCAAGCAGGTGGAATGGTTCAAGGACCAGATTCACGGATTCATGGCGGCAAGAAGCGACTTGGAAGATGACCAGGTCAAGGCTGCCTACGAGAAGGGCTATCAGACACTACTCAACTTTTTCCACAAGTATTTGTAAGACATATGTCTGGAGGCATCGATTCTCAAACGGAGATAGTGTCGTGAAGTCTTGACACATAATATGTGGTGTCGCAATAAGGAGCTCACACTCGTGTTCTCATTGTCGTATCTCCCAGCTGTCATTCCTTCAATTCGACCTTTCTTCCAGAAGCGGTCCGGATGTTGGACTGAGGCTCGGGTTTCCCATTGCGCGGGAGGGATCTTCAATAGACCATACCATCTACAATGCAAAACAAGTCGGAACGACTCGATAAATCATTTGGACCAATTCCGAGTTTTGGGACGAACATTGAAATTGTTTTGCTTCAGGAACTAGGAGTTGAGAAGTTTCTATTCTTTTGAAGGTTCTGCTAGCTCGCTTGCCGTGGTGAAATACTCTAAACCACAAGAGAGCCTAAACAGTACACTGTCTAGCCACCTCCCTTTGTTGAGTTCATCATATCTACCATCTTCCCAGCTCCCATATGACGCGAGGTGAATCCCTTATCCGTTGCGGCGTCCCAGCACTTTTCATTTACTCCATAGAGCTCACAGCCATAATGTCTCTGACTCTAACACGTCATCAAGTGAAATCCTCACCACTCGTTCCGATGTTCTCTTCATCTCCCCTCTCGAAGCTGACCGCTAAACACCTCCACTGTATGAGCTTGAACAGCCCGCTCCCTCGACTGCCTTGCATGAATCTTCCCTCGAAGCCGAGTTCTAGAGAGGTGCAAGTCCGACCGCATCCCGCACAGCTGTTTGAAGTGTTCTTGCTACAACTTGATCTCCAGGAATAGGCCAATTGAGGGCAGTGAGGAGGCGGCGACACTCGTGCACTGCGTAGAACATTTATCAATTCAGTGAGCCTCAAAAGAAGATACGTTTGGGAAGGGAGAGTACCGTCCATATCTGATATATCATCAGGGGTGGCTGGAAAGTTTGGGATGGCATTGCCGATTGGAACTTGAGGGTTGTTGCCCGGATCGACGCAGACCATGCTAGTTAAAGCTGCTGTGGCCACGTTGACTTTTCCGTTCCGCATTCGAGCCTCCAAATTCCAAATCCTGTAAAGAGCAAATTTTAGCAATAATATACAAGAGTTCGTAAAGACTTACTGGGCACTAGTCTTGTTGGTCCACTGCTGGATAGTCCGCTGGAGATCAGCAAGTTGTTGCTGCATCTCATCAGTGAGCCGATTTTGATGACTGCTGTAGGCCTGGGTGCTCTGTGCAATTCTGTTTCCTTCTGCATTCATTCCATTGATGGCAGCCGCTACGTTGGCAGGGTTTGGAGCTTGTGGTTGTGCCATGATGGGGACAGAGCGTGTATTCATAGTGTGGCTTCTGCTTTTGCAGGGGGTAGGTCAAAATGGTGGGATGGCGCAGGCGAGAGGAAATTGATTTGTTTACGGAGGCGCGTCCACAAAGAGGTGCTAACGCGGTTTGGTCTTGGCAAGAAAGGAAACAGGGCATTGTCTTGGCATTAAGTGGAAAAAGCCGCCTAAAGCGGCGACACAACTAGCCCAAATTCGGCAGAAGATTCTCCTTGCAACCTGCGTTGAGTTGAAAAGGAGCGTTTGGCATGGTTGTTAGATTTCCGAAATTTACTCCGTGTCAGTAATGAACCCTCAAAAATCCCGTATTTTGCATTTGTAAAAGTTTCCTCGTAAACTACGCTAGCACCACTTTTTTAACACTATCTGTCACTAAAAGCTACTAAATGAGCTAGTGCCACAATTTGTCACGTGTACAATAGTAAAAAATGGGACTGAAGCGCGCTAAAGCACTGCTTAATGTTCGAAAAATTCTCTCCATCGGGGGGACTAAAGCGCAGTTATCCGGCGTGCGTCGCGTCGAGGTGCACGCCAGATAAAACTAGGGGCCGGGGACAGGATATTCCAGGGGGGTAAAAGCGTTGCTTCTGTATTTCGGGGGCTAGCCCCCAACTCGGTGCGCTCGATATTGCCAAGCCTTTTTCATCACGTGATTGGGTCGGCCACATTTGTCTTGGCAATTCTTGGCGGTACACACAGAACGATTCACGTGATAGGTCAACCCCAGGATCCGGAAAATCTATAATCCGACAATTCCATATTCCTTTTGCTCTGATTGGCTGACCCCATCGGATCCAATCCATGGCCCGCCCATGAATGGGTAGAATGCCGCCTGTCTGCCTGACTGGATCCTGATCGGATCCAGTCCATGGATCATATATTGACGATGTTGATCACGGTGTCCTGTGCCGCACGATATCCTCCATCGGATCCAGTCCATGGACCGTGTGTAGACGATGTTGACCACCACGTCCTGTGTCGTACGATATCCTCCATCGGATCCAGTCCATGGACAATATGTAGACGATGGTGATCACTATATCTTTTATGGGGACTAGCCCCCATACCCCCAGGCCTCACTGCGTTCGAAGGTTCTTGGTTGAGTGGAATTGACTGGCCTGCAGGAGCAGTAGCTGATCCCCACCGGAAATTCACCTATATATTTTTCAACGACAGAATTTTCCTCCAAATCGTGGTTGACCTGTCAAGGACGAAACTCTGGTAACACTGGGTTTTGGTCGAGCCATTGAGGGACCTCGCTAGTGAGGCAAGAGGGTTGTCCGGCCTAAGCTCCATTGAGCTCCTAGGTGTCCTTCATGGGTAAACGTAATGCTCCAATCAGTGATTGTTGATGTCCGCCTGCTGATACCCCGGGGTATACTCCCTAAGTTGAACTTGTCGCTGATTGTGGCGCCCCATTTATGGGACAGTTATACACTGACTATAGGAGGGGGTTCGAACCACTGGTTTTTTTTTTTTTTTTTTTTTTTTAACCAAGTGTCACGGTGCGGACGTGGGATGGTGAATACTGGGAAAGTTGGCCTCGGCACTGGTCCTTAGCACTCTTCCTCAACACTCGTCCCCAGTGCGGGCAGATAGGCTGGCAGCTCTCCCGGGTCCATTCCGTTCTCGGCAGACATGAGAAAAGGAGTCTTGCCGCCCTGATCCCGCAAGAAACAGGCAGGGCAGATCCCATTCTTCAAGTCCATCGAGAGCCACCGTGCGTGACAGCGGCTGCAGGTCTCCATCTTGACCTGATCCGTAGCCGCATGAAAACTTTGAATCGACGCCCATTGTTCGGCTGAGAGAAAGCCGAGGCTGGCGGGTCGGGTCGAGGTATGACGGGTTTCGGTGGTGGAGGAGGGGGAGAGAGAGCGCGTTGGGCGAGAGGAGGGAGGATGGAAGGGGGAGGAGGTTGGAGGAGAGGAGCCGCCCTGGACGTGTAGAAGCTTCTGTGGGCGGAATCGTCGGTGGATGAGGTTGGAGGAGAGGAGGCAGTCCTGGACGTGTAGAAGTTTCTGTGAGCGGTGTCACAGGCCTCTTAGACGGGATCGTCGAGCATGACGGCTGTTGAGCCCTCCTCTTTCTGGACTTGTCACGACAGGATATACAGGTAGAAAAGACCTTGCTCCCTGGAACGGCGGTAGCATCTTTGAGAAAGAAAGAGAGGAAGCGCTTTTGAAGGCCGAACAGTATTTCGTATCATCATCGGACATAAAAGGTGGGAAGGGGTGCCACGGTGTCGAGGCAAGGTAACGGGCACGCTTCAGCATCCGCAGCAGACGCGCACGCATCGCATTCCCATCGCGAGATCATGTGATTTAGCATCTTTCTCGACCAATCAGAGGCGGGATTTTGTCGGCCAATCAGAAACGATTCTAGTCACGTAAACCAAATTGGACTCTCGATAGTTCTCGCGCGCGGGCGCGGGGGGGGTCGGAGTCTAAAAAATGCTTCGCTCACGCTACGCTTTAATCAGTAACGGCTTGAGTCACGTAAAAAAAATCGATCCCTAGGTCTCGCGAGCGTGGGGTCGGAGTCTAAAACTAGGGTTTCTATTCTTTTGAAGGTTCTGCTAGCTCCCTTGCCATGGTGAAATACTCCGGACCAAAGAGGGCCCAAACAGTACACTGTCTAGCCACCTCCCTTTCTTGAGCCCACCATATCTACCATCTTTCCAGCTCCCATACAGCCCGAGGTGAATCCCTTGAGCTTACAGCCACAATGCCTCTGACTCCAACACGTCATCAAGTGAAATCCTCACCACCCCGTTCCAACGTCCCCTTCATCTCCCCTCTCGAAGCTGACCGCTAAACGCCTCCACTGTATGAGCTTGAACAACCCGCTCCCTCGACTGCATTCTACCTTGCATGAATCTTCCCTCGAAGCCGAGTTCTAGATAGCTGGAAGTCCGACCGCGTTCCGCACAGCTGATCTGAGTGTTCTTACTCCAGCATGACCTCCACCTTGACCCACAGGAATAAGTAAATCGAGGGCTGTGAGGAGACGGCAACACTCGTTCACTGCGTAGAACATTTATCAATTCAGTGAGCCTCAAAAGGAGATACCTTGGAAAGGGAGAGTACCGGTCATCCGTGATATCTGATCAGGGGTGGCTGGAAAGTTTGGGATGGGATCGCCGATTGGGACTTGAGCGTTGGGGCCCGAATCGATGCTGTGCATGACGATTAGAGCTACTGTGGCAATAAGGACTTTTCCGTTCTGAATTCGAGCCTCTGAATTCCAAATCCTGTGAAGAGCAAATTTTAGCAATAATATGCAAGAGTTCGTAAAGACTTACTGGGCACTAATCTTGTCGGTTGACCGCTGAAGAGTCCGCTGGAGATCAGCAAGTTGTTGCTGCATCTGTCCAATAGCTTGCTGCGTCTGTCCGGCATTTTGCTGCAACTGTCCAATAGCTTGCTGCGTCTGTCCGGCAGTTTGCTGCAACTGTCCAACAGCTTGCTGCACCTGTCCAACAGCTTGCTGCAACTGTCCAACAGCTTGCTGCACCTGTCCAACAGCTTGCTGCACCTGTCCGATAGGGTAGTTGGCACAGAGTGTCAGCTCATCAGCGAGATGCCGACGATGAGCGTTGTATGCCTGGGTACTCTGTGCAATGGTGTTTTCTTCCGCAGTCATCCCGTTGAGGGCAGCCTGTATGTTGGCAGGGTTTGGAACTGGTAGTTGTGGTTGTGCCATGATGGGGACAGGGATGCGTATTTATAGTGTGGCTTCTGCTTTTGCAGGGGTAGGTCAAATGGTGGGACGGCGCAGGTGAGATGAAAATTGATTTGTTTACGGAGACGCGTACACAGAGGTTGCTAGCGTGTTTTGGTTTTGACAAGAAAGGAAACAAGATAGTGTCTTGGCATTTGGAGAAAAAGCTGCCTAAAGCGGCGACACAGCCCGCCAAATTCGGCAGAAGATTCTCCCTGCAACCTATAGAGTTGGAAAAGAGCGGCTGGCAGGGTTGTTAGATTCCCGAAGTTTACTCAGTGTCAGTAATGAGCCTTCGAAGATCCCGTATTTTACGTTGTAAAAGTTTCCTCGTAAATTATGCTAGCACCACTTTCTAGAGCACTATCTATCACTAAAAGCTACTAATTACACTAGTGCCGCATTATGTCGCGTGTATAATAGTAAAAAATGGAGCCGGTGCGCGCTAAAGCACTGCTCAATTTTCGAAAAATCCAATTAAAACGCAGTTATCCGGCGCGCGTCGCGTCGAGGTGCATGCCAGATAAAATTATTCGCTTGCGCTGTGCGAGGCGCACCCAAACACAAGGACCAGGAATGAGAATTCTCAACACCACGCAACAACCACGTCCTGTATACTCAATCATCTTAGTCATGACTCGTCCAAGTGATTCAAGCACTCACAGAGAGTTTCATGTTGTGAAACCTCCTCCTGGAGATGCAAGAGAGCGAGTCCAGTGCAACTATTATTCAACCAAAGTCTGCACAACCCAGGACACTCAGGACAACAACTTCGACCTACTCCTTTCGGTCAATTTGGTGTTGGCAGTCCACATTGGGACTAGCCTAGTCACGTGCACCGCACCCTTCGGTGCCCCTTTTTGTAGCTTGCACCTCGCTCAGATAGATTCAATCAATCAATCTTCTCTCGGCCCAACATTTGGCAGAGAGGCGAATCCTAAGGTTCTGATTGGTCAAATAAACAGTCAGCTAATAAACGGCCCAGGATTTACAGAATGGAACCCGGACAGTTGGGGAAGGAAAGGGTGCGAATGGATAGTGGGACTATTCTACTATAATTTACTACCATGACTAAAAGGGGACCTTTGGAATTTGTGAAATCTGCGAATTTTACACTTGAAATCAACAAGGCGTAAATTTTTGCTATTCGACGGAGAGGTCAAAAACCAATCCTGCCGTACTATCTACAATGCAAAACAAGTTGGAACGACTCGATAATCATTTAGACTAATTCCGGGTTTGGAGACGAATATTGATATCGTTTTACTTCAGGAACCAGGTCGAAGGTTCTGCTAGCTCGCTTGCCGTGGTGGAATACTTCGGACCAAAGAGAGCCCAAACAGCACACTGTCTAGCCGTCTCCCTTTCTTGAGCCCACCATATCTACCATCTTTCCAGCTCCCATACAGCCCGAGGTGAATCCCTTGAGCTTACAGCCACAATGCCTCTGACTCCAACACGTCATCAAGTGAAATCCTCACCGCCCGTCCCAACGTCCCCTTCATCTCCCCTCTCGAAGTCGACCGCTAAACACCTCCACTACATGAGCTTGAACAACCCGCTCCCTCGACTGCATTCTGCCTTGCATGAATCTTCCCTCGAAGCCGAGTTCTAGAGAGGTACAAGTCCGACCGCGTTCCATACAGTTGATCTGAGTGTTCTTACTCCAACTTGACCTCCAGGAATAGGCCAATCGAGGGCAATGAGAAGGCGGCGACACTCTTGTGCTGTGTAGAACATTTATCAATTCAGTGAGCCTCAAAAGGAGATACATTGGAAAGGGGAATTACCGTTCATATCTGATATATCATCAGGGGTGGCTGGAAAGTTCGGGATGGCATTGCCGATTGGAACTTGAGGGTTATCGCCCGGATCGACGCTGCGCATGCTAGTTAAAGCTCCTGTGGCCATGGTGAGTTTTCCGTTCTGAATTTGGGCCCTCAAATTCCAAGTCCTGTGAAGAGCAAATTTTAGCAATAATATACAAGAGTTCGTAAAGACTTACTCGGCCCTAATCTTGTCGGTTGACCGCTGAAGAGTCCGCTGGAGATCAGCAAGTTGTTGCTGCATCTGTCCGACAGGGTAGTTGGCACAGAGTGTTAGCTCATCAGTGAGCCGATTTTGATGAACGTTGTACGCCTGGGCACTCTGTGCAATGGTGTTTCTTTCCGCAGTCATTCCGTTGGTGGCAGCCTGTATGTTGGCAGGGTCTGGAACTTGTGGTTGAGGTTGTGGTTGTGCCATGATGGGGACAGAGCGCGTATTTGTAGTGTGGCTTCTGCTTTTGCAGGGGGGAGGTCAAATGGTGGGACGGCGCAGGTGAGATGAAATTGATTTGTTTACGGAGAGGCGAGGTTGTTGGCGCGATTTTGTCTTGGCAAGAACGGAAGTAACGCGGAGCATTAGGACCAGTAGCTCAAAATTCACGCCACCTCCCTCCACTGCATTCGCATTGAGACTGAGTATGAGTCTCTCTACTTTGTATTGAATGCTGTCCCCCCAATCCATACTTACAATCTACACACGAGTTTTCACCCCTTGTCAAACTTCTTGTGCAACTTGAGACGAGGGAGCGCTCTGTTCTCTATCTACTTGTCGAGGTGCTGAGGCTCCTTTTATATAGACTGTCATGGCACAACCCGGAATCCCCTCGAACGGTCTTGGCAGACCCACTGTGGCTGTCGAATAGCCTCGCGTGCCTGCTTATAGCCTTGTGCGCCTGCGTGGTAGCCTTGCGGCATAACTGTACCGCTGACTATAAGTATCTGGGATAGGTTTGCATTGCTTTCATGCTCTTTGTCTCTCGTCTTGTACTTTATAGTGCATTGGACCTCCACTCTCGTTCCCTCGTACGCCCCCACCCTGACATAGACACACGAATGCTACATCGTTCAACCATCTGTAACGTTGTCGTCAATGTTTCTATGGTGGAGCATATACACAATACCTCTCTATCCAACACCCCTTCTATCCGCATCTCGCTCCGTTCGACAAATGCTCTGTTCTCTATCTACTGGTTGCGTTTCTGAGGATCTCTATAGACGTGTGAATACCTCGTCGTTGTGCAGAGCAACTCTCAGACTGGTGCAACTTGAGATTGTTGGTTGACGAGAGGTTTCCATAGGCGACGACGTTACAGATGGATGGTTGCTCTGTGCAACGATGTAGCATTCGCATGTCTATAAAAGGAGTCTCAGGACCTCGACAAGTAGATAGAGAACAGAGCGCTCCTTCATCTCAAGTTGTACAAGAAGTTTGACAGAGATGTATTGAATGCTCTCGAAACGAGTGTGGGATAGAGCTCATCTATATATCTATCTACGCTGGCGCTGTTGCCTGTCAATGGAGGTACACGCCAGGAAGTGAATGTTACAGAATGAGTTAGTTAGCCATAAACGATAGGTTACCATTTGTTCAACAGCAACTATCAGGAATGCCTTGTCTATGGAAACCTCCTACCAGTGTGTTTCAGTTGTGGAACCGGTGCATGGTAACTCCCTTGTTCGACAGTAGATTTGCGGGCTGGATTGAATCGGACGAAGAGATCAACTTCGACCGAGTGGAATGCCCCGTACCCCCTCCCGCGGACATGGTGCACAAATTGGATCTGTTGAACTTCGTGGATTGAAAGAGTGCTCTGTTTTCTATCAAGTTGAGGTCCTGCCTCGCATGTTTATATAGACAAAGATTGTCGCCATCTTTCGGTGTCTCCGTATTCAGCTCGTAGACGAAACCCTTGTCCAGCTGAACATTCATTGCCACGCTGAAGTCGTAGCCCCATATTGTCTCACAGTTCAACACATTTGTCCAATGCTATTGTCCAACAGGATCCGATGACAGTGGTCTTTCACCGGATCCGATCAATGGACCATTCCGATATCGAGGCTCGTCGTTCACGTTTCCATACGAGCCATCTCGAATGTGATCAGTAGGGCTTGTCTGGGTGGTCCACAGACTGGATCCGATCCGTGGACCATCTCGATATCGACTTCTATCGAGTAGGGTGCCCCGGGGACCAATGTGGTCCACGGACTGGATCCGATGGCGGTGGGTGGCTGTTATTCTGTACACCACCTTTTGTTATTCTGAGCTCTGAGAATACTGTAACTCTTAGTATAGCTACTACGTGGCCTTTAAAATTGGATCAACCAAAAAACTTCGGGCTTTCCTACGTCGTTGTAAGGTAAATAGAGTGGTGGGAAAAAGATGGGTACGACGTACAAATTTCAAAAGGGTGGATCACTACTCCAGAATAGCATCTACTTTACTACCATTTTGCAAGAATATTTGAGCGATTGAAAGCTAAAAAGATGTATGTCTACTAGATGAGTATGTGTGCACACGATCAAGCAAAAATTTGAGCCTTTAACGCAGTGTATGTAGCGTTTTGTGGGAGATATTGTAGCCGGTGTACAGAATAACAAAAAGGCGGTTGAGTTTCTAGCTAATTGCTACGCGCTACCTCTATTGTCAGCCGGTTCATTTCATGTCCAGCTGTTAGATCCTTCGATTCTACAAGACCGTCGCCCCTTTCGAGCCATCAACCAGGTCATCAAGAGCGTTTTCCAGAGTGTTACTGGTCATTCAACGGTGCAGCAACTTCCGGTGTCGGCACTCGCTCTTTCCTTTGGGCAGCTATCTATCAAACTTTGAGTACAACTTGGGGTGAAGGAGTGCTCTGTTCTCTATCTACTTGTCGAGTTGCTGAGGGTTCCTTTATAGACATGCGAACACCTCGTCGTCGCACAGAGTAACCCCCATCAACATCGTCGTCCATGGTAACCTCTCACCAGCGTTTCAATGGTGGAGCCTATAGCCCCCTGTCCGACAATATCTATCTCATAAGTTCGTCTGCAATCGTCCGGTGGCTTCGCAAGTTCAATCACTGCACGGATAACTTTCATGTTCGCTTTCCATTTGTCCTTTGGGCCGTCTAGCCTTTTATTGAACCACCCTCCAAGGAGATAGGACACATCGCACCATCTTGTAGTTGCTGTTTGAAGGTAACGTCTACGCTCCACTGTCCATCGTGAGCACTCCACAAGAAAGGGTCGTACTGTTTCCGGTCGTTGGCACCATTCACACAACTTCGAGTCTGTCGCGCCAATACTGTGGAGGGCACTGTTGAGATGACTTTTCCCGTGCGCAGCTGCGTTGTGAGGGTCGGGGTCAAGGGTACAATCAGTGTATTCTAGCTAGCATCTAGTTCTAGGTACAAGACGTAGCACGAAGAGAGTCAAGATAGGATGCTACGCAGGAAGTGCTGAAGAACCCCTGAATACGTAATCCTTGGCATGTGGTCCCGTGACATGCGCCACGATTTGGGCTTCTGATCGGATCCAGTCCATGGACCATATGTAGACGATGTTGATCACGGTGTCCTTTGCCGTACGACATCCTCCATCGGATCCAGTCCATGGATCATATGTAGACGATGTTGGTCACTATGTCTTTTATGGGGGCTAGCCCCCATACCCCCAGGCCTCACTGCGTTCGAAGGTCCTGCTGTCGAGCCCTTCTCCTTCTCCGCTTGTCACGATAGGCCATACAGGTCGAAAAGACCTTGCTCCCGGGGGCGGCCGAGGCATCTTTGAGAAAGAAGGAGAGAAGACGCTTTTGGAGACAGGCCGAGCAGTATTTGGCATCGACGTCGGACATGACAGGAGGAAAGGGGTGCCTTGGAGTCGAGGAAAAGTCGGCGGCACGCTTCACATCGATGGGCGCGCGCACCGATCGCAAGATCATATGATTTAGCATTTTTCCCGACCAATCAGCAGCGATTTCGTCGGCCAGTCAGCGACGACTCGAGTCACGTGAACAAAATTGAACCCTCGATAACTCACGCGGGCACGGGTAGGGGGGTCGGAGTCTAGAAAAAGCTCCGCTCCACGCTCCGCTTTAATCATTTGGACCAATTCCGGGTTTGGAGACGAACTTTGAAATCGTTTTGCTTCAGAAACCAGGTCGAAGGTTCTGCTAGCTCGCTTGCCGCGGTGGAATACTTCGGACCACAGAGAGCCCAAACAGCAGCCACCTCCCTTTGTTGAGTTCATCAGCTCCCATATGACGCGAGGTGAATCCCTTATCCGTTGCGGCGTCCCAGCACTATTCATTTACTCCACAGGGCTTACAGCCATAATGCCTCTGACTCTAACACGTCATTAGGTGAAATCCTCACCATTCGTCCCAACGTCCCCTTCATCTCCCCTCTCGAAGCCGACCGCTAAACACCTCCACTACATGAGCTTGAACAACCCGCTCCCTCGACTACATTCTACCTTGCATGAATCTTCCCTCGAAGCCGAGTTCTAGAGAGGTACAAGTCCGACTGCGTTCCGCACAGCTGATCTGAGTGTTCTTACTCCAACTTGACCTCCAGGAATAGGCCAATCGAGGGCAATGAGAAGGCGGCGACACTCTTGTGCTGTGTAGAACATTTATCAATTCAGTGAGCCTCAAAAGGAGATACATTGGAAAGGGAGAGTACCGTTCATATCTGATATATCATCAGGGGTGGTTGGAAAGTGTGGGATGAGATTGCCGATTGGAACTTGAGGGTTATCGCCCGGATCGACGCTGCGCATGCTAGTTAAAGCTCCTGTAGCTATGGTGAGTTTTCCGTTCTGAATTTGAGCTCTCAAATTCCAAATCCTGTGAAGAGCAAATTTTAGCAATAATATGCAAGAGTTCGTAAAGACTTACTCGGCCCTAATCTTGTCGGTTGACCGTTGGAGGCCAGCAAGCTGTTGCTGCATCTGTCCGACAGGGTAGTTGGCACAGAGTGTTAGCTGATTAGCGAGATGACGATTATGAGCGTTGTATGCCTGGGCACTCTGTGCAATGGTGTTTCCTTCCGCAGTCATTCCGTTGATGGCAGCCGCTATGATGGCAGGGTCTGGAACTTGTGGTTGTGCCATGATGGGAACAGAGCGCGTACTTATAGTGTGGCTTTTGCTTTTGCAGGGGTAGGTCAAATGGTGGGACGGCGCAGGTGAGATGAAAATTGATTTGTTTACGGAGACGCGTACACAGAGGTTGCTAGCGTGTTTTGGTCTTGGCAAGAAAGAAAGCTAGAGACGCGTTTCTGAGGCTACGTCGGCCACATGACGTTATTGTGTCCACGCGTCGATTTCTGTTGAAATCCCAAGCCAGGTACAATATTTGCTGCAGTGGAATGTTCATCTCTTTCAGAAAATGTGATCCTGCGGCTGACTTCCGTCAACTCTTTGATCATCACGTTGTGGAGTCTTGGAGAATTTTGCCATGGGTCTGTCATTCTGCATTGATGCTTAAGGCCGCAGTCATAAACCCAAAAAGACCCCTACCTCGTAGCAAACTATTCTCGTCACAACGGCAATTTGTGGAGAACGATAGTTTTCCTGCAACGATATCGCAAGATCCTGCCGTTGACAATACTCGACATATGCTTGCATTGACCGTTTCCCGGGAGGTTTATCTCTAACAAAACGAGATTTTGAGCCTGTGGTAGGAGAATCAGCAGGAGGCCGAAGGACAGGACTGATTTTCACTGCCAGACGTACAACAAGAAACGACAGCAATGGTCTTCCAGGGTGAATACCGTCCAACATTGTCCCGACCACTTCAGGATACCAACTCGGTTTTCAGCCATTACTCAGCATAGCTAGAACGACACAAATACCGTAGGGACTAACTAGATCCTCTCCGCAACTTCACGAAAAGAGAGAGAGTCCCCGGACTCAGGTCGAGGCCTCCCACCTGAGTTTCCCTCGGCCGTCCATTGTCCCCTCAAGCATCTTCCGCACGAGACTCCAAAATCCTCCACTGTCGGGCCTTCTCCTACGGTAGTTCTGGGCTATTCAGCGTGCTTCAAGGGTGTTAGTTGGCCAGCTCTCCAAGCCTTGTATGGATCCATAACAGAGCCAGGACTCGTCGCCGGCAGCGTTGCTGTTATGTGGTAGCGTGCCTACAATTAGGTGGCTCTCCTCCTTGCGCCCACGCCAATTCTCGAGAAAGGGGCACGTCTGGCATTCGTATCCAAGATTTTGAAGAGGCGGTATATGTCGCACACTGCGAACCATAATACGCAAGGACTTCACGTCCCGTTTTCATCATGACACATAACCAGTCTTGCAAGGTCGGTTGAAAGATGCTCCATCATCAAACAAGACGGTGTTCATCGCTGGATCTGGTACGGGTATTTGGATGGCAAGAGCATTATCATTTGCAACAGTGTGTGTACAAGCTAAGCTTCTCTGTGATCGGACTCTTTCGACTCTCGAGAAAACACATCAAATCATATCAAAGGAACGTCTCAATGTCATCGTGGGGAAATTTGTCCTCGACGTCACCGAAGGACACAAAAATCTCCCGAATTCTTTCCTCTGGAACGGAAACAGGCCTCTGATCAACCACTCGATATTCTTGTGAACAACGCTGGGTATTAGAGGCACTTTGAAGTCAGCGTGAAAGACCATCCCTTTTTAGCCGCAGCATCCCTTCAACATGCAGCAGAATTGCCGACAGTGATGAACATTACTTCTAGCGCCGCTGTCGTCGATTTCATTCCAGACCTGTCTGGATATGGGGCAAGTAAATTGGCAGCTTTGGAGATGGTTCCGCTATCTCCATTATGAACAAGCTGAGCGCCGGCTCAAAGTATTCCACATCAATCCTGGACTGGTGGCCACTGCGAATGGCGAAAGAAGGCAAATCCGAGTGCGATGATACAGGTATGTCGGCCCGGCTTGGGCCGGCTTGAGCCGCCCAGCCAGACACTGATTTGTTCTAGCGGAGCTTGCTGCAGATTTTATGGTCTGGCTTAACGCACCATGACGTTGTTTCTCCCGAACAGAGCTCTTAGCTAGACAAGGAAGAGGTCTTGGTACAAAATTTATTGATGCCTGGATGTGGATTCGGCTAGCAATGTAACTATTGCTTCATGTCTAGTTGAATCTTGAGCTTCTCGTCCTTAAAGCTGCCAACGTCAAGGACCCCGATATACACATTCTCTTTTGGTTTGTGCACGATCTCTCCAGCTTTCTTCTTGCTTTGAACCCTTCTCATGCTGCCGCAGGTCTTGAATCCGAAATGACCATTGGCTTTAGCCGAACAAGATTCAAGAACGTCCTTCTTGAGGAACAACGAACAGGTTTCTTGTTGTCTCATCCATGGTCGTGTGAAGAAGACTAGAATTACAGGCCGCTCCCTCTCACTACCATCCGGCGTTTTATTCGTGCCAGTTGCATGCCAAAGCCTGCTTTCGAAGGCCATACAGGTTCCTGCAGAACCAGCTGCTGCCAGGGTGTCAATTGGATCATATGGATCATCGGTGGTCCAGTTTTCTCTATGACGACCTAGCATAAACAAGGTTCTACCGTTTTATTCACCGACATCGTCTAGGAAATACATCCAATTCATACTGGCAGCAACCGATCCCAGTGGCGGCCGAATGGTGATTTGATCGGTATGCATATGCGTCGGAGAGTTTCCTGGACGGGCAATATTGGCGGTATACGAGAACAGGAGGGCATCGTCTCCTAGAAAATCAGGAACTACATCATCTATGATCTTGTTCTCAAGCAGGTCAATGAATTCTTTGCCCCTGTTTGGAAAACACCAAACGCGTGGATTGGATTTCGTCTTACCGCCGTCAAAGTACCCAGATCCGTCAACCTTCAGCGATCTGGCTTCCTCTGGGAAAAGTGCATTTTTGACAAAACCATATTCCCACACGCCTGGATCTCTTTCGCTGGTTCAATGTCCTCTCTCCGGTTTTGGCAAATTATTCAAATCACGTCGATCGAGCTTAGGATGAACAGCATTGAATGGTGTCAAGGCATCGACGAGTTTGACACCAACTCGAGTAGAACCGGTAAGCATAAAAAGATGTCGCCGGTTGAGGGCGTACCGGGCGTCCATTAAACCATCAACGTACCGCTTGATCTTGACTGCGGCAATATAAACTTGGGCATCAACATCGTCCGGTAGCCCGCCAGTGACGGCCGCAAGCTTCGCCGGACACTCCCCACGCATTAATCAATTATGGAAGATAATTAGGTCCGAAAGTAAGTGTCAAGTTGGCCGCCACGAGGGACAAATTGTCAAGCCTGGATCTGATGAGCTCGACTCTCCGATCATAGTCCGCTTTTGATACATCTTTGGAGAACTGGGAAAGGTTGAGATGACGAAAATGGACGGTCGCCTTTCCGCTGATCTTTAGGGTCGATGACTTTGGTCCGGTAATAGTCTACGATGCAATGGCGATGTTTATATTGAACATGGTGTGTGGACGTAGATTGATCGGTGTTTGTCTGATCCACTTGCGTCATCTCTCAGTCGGAATCAGTGCAGTTCACACCAGATGCAAGAATCTTCGGCAATTCTGTACTTCTTACATAGAAACCTTTCGTTCAATTGCTCTGGATCAACGACACGTGAGTCAAAAGTCTCAAACGAAGCCCCATATCAGCATTTCCCCCGCAATGTCTCCTATCCTTGGCCATTCAAACAAGGGATTCAGCTCTATCGATCTCCCCCGCTTCGCTTTCCCCGCAGGATATGATATCAGGATGCTGATGGAAATACATCTCATGCAAGTGGTAAAGGACACAGACCGAGTTATACTGCTAAAGGAGGATTGAAAGGGGTCCTGAGATATTACCCTAATAGTGACGGCCATTGTTGGAACACATCAAGAGTTCTTTACTGGGGAGAGAAGACAGTGGCCAGCTATGCATGATGGGAGCGATCTTAGTATATTTTTCGATTATATGGCGAGGACATACTTCACCCTGTTCGAGTCTACTCTCCACCGGGATTTACTGACCCAATATATCTTTTACTTTGATCATCTTTCTCGTAGATTGAGATCATTCCACTCTAATCATCGCACTGTAGCTTCGATTGACCACGTGGGACTTGAGCGCAATATTTACTCGTACGCTTCTTGGCCGGATATACAAGGCCCATTCTACCTCGTTTCCGCTAACGTAGAAAAGGAAGGTCTAAGACGGGAATTTTCTCTCGGCGCAGGGCCAAGAAATTCCCTTCCATTCTCCATTGATGTGTTTTGACCAATATTCTTCCCTTCAATCGCCATGTGTCATTTAGATTACCGGACCCGGCTTTGAATTGGCCTCTTCGTCATTGGCTGCCTGTCTTGCATACCCACAGAGACGAGGGTACATGCCGAAGGAAGGGAGCTTCATGACGTTCAATGTTCCACGCTGTGCCGATGCTCGACAGATCCCCGTTCTCCGCTGCTGTGAGATTTGACGATCTCAGGATCGTATATAAATCATTGGAAGCTATGCTGAAGTTTGGGTAGGATCTGCTTTCATCCTCCACATTGCAACGCTCACCATGATATTAGGCGTCGTTTATATAGCCTTGTTGGCCACGGGGGCTTCTGCCAGCTACGATGGCAACCTCAACTATCTCAGTCCATCGACCGAGCACCCCGCCCTGGGTATCGATGTTCCAAAGGTCATGAAGAGAAATCTGGAGAAACGTGACGGTACCAGCTGGGATCCGGCTTCCTTGAATTTTACTCATGGCGTTGCCTCGGTATGCTCGCCCGAAACTCACCTTGCTCCGTCTTCTCACAATATCAGGGTGATCCATATCCCGACTCGGTCATTCTTTGGACCAGAGTTGCACCGATGATGGAAAATGACGACTCGAACGTCACCGTATCAGGAACAGTACCTTTCTACAGCCACGAGACCGAGCGCTATATCAAAACATCCTCCAATCCCATCTGTTTGGATTGGCGCGTGGCTTCTGATGATGCCTTCGAAGCCGTCGTCAGCAAGGGCCAGGCATATACCACTTCGGACATTGATTACACGGTCAAGGTATTTGATGTCTCCGAGCTGGCGCTATCACCGAGACTTATTTGATCGCAGGTTGAGGCCACCAAACTTCAGCCTTTCACCACATACTATTATCAGTTCACCATATGCCGCTCTTCCAATTCCAGCCCAGTGGGCCGTACAAAGACCGCTCCGGCCGAGGATGACAGCTCGACGCCAATCGGCTTAGCCGTATACTCGTGCTCTAATTTCCCCAACGGCTACTTCAACGCCTATGGTAATGGGGCGCGAAAGGACCATGTCGACTATGTTGTCCATCTCGGCGATTACATCTATGAATATGAAATGGGCGTGCCGGGCCGGGATGCACGCGCTACGAATCCTCCTCGAGAGATCATCACGTTGTACGACTACCGAACGCGCATTGCACAATATCGGACCGATCTAGACCTCCGCTTATCTCACCAGCAATTCCCCTGGATTCCGGTTTGGGATGATCATGAGGTTGCTAACAATGGGTACCGCGACGGGTTTTCTGGTATGAACAATACTGAAGAGTCCTTTATCGAGTTTGGCGGCGTGAGCGTCGATCAACGCAAGATGAATGCCGTGCGAGCCTACTTTGAGTGGATGCCCATTCGTCAGGTTGCACTGGACGATAATTTGCGAATCTGGCGAAGTTTCAAGATGGGGAAGATGTTCGATTTGATCATGCTAGATACACGCAACTACGACCGTAGCATCACGACGCTCAACTGGAACGACGATTATATCTATGATATCTCCAACGACGCTGCTCGGTCATTGATGGGGGGTCCACAGGAGAACTGGTTCTATCGAACCCTGATCGAAAGCAAAAACCGTGGTGCAGTGTGGCGGATCATTGGTAACCAAATCGTCTTCTCTCGTATCAATGTCACCTCGTGGTTTGGCACATTTGAAAATCCCTATAATGGTGATCAATGGGACGGGTACATGGTACGCGGTGGTAAAATTCCTCGTGGGTATGGCCTCACTGATATGATGTATAGGCCAACCGGAACCGAACCTACCAAGTCATGTACGACCATGAGATCGATAACAACATTATGCTCGCCGGTGATAGCCATGCGAATTGGGTGTCGGACTTGGTCTGGTTTGATGAGGCCGATTACGATCCGGTGACGGGAGCCGGTGCGGTTGGCGTGGAATTTGCTGGCACGGCCGTCAGCTCGACTGGCTTTGGGGGCACTATTGCCACCGCCAACAATCAAAGCACCTATCTGGTCAACGACAACAGTGAGCTGCAGTGGAACGAGGGTTATTATCGAGGATATTTCGAGCTGCAAGTTAGTGCGGAAAAGATTGATGCCCGATATTTTGGTAAGACTAGATTTCCACCATATATATTTTTTTTTTTTTTTATCTCACTGACATCTCTAGGATGTCCAACAGTGGCGACCCGCAACCCATTGGAGATTAGCTTGGCTAATTTCACCGTTCAAGCCGGTGCGAATCGTCTCCAGCGTCCGGTTGCTGGAGGATCTGCCGAGTCTGGATACTTGCAGGGTGGGGATATCGTTCCGACGAACCTTACTTATAATACAGAGACTGGCGAGTACTCATACACCAGCTTCGACCAGATGTTTATCGAGTATCCTGATGATGACGAGTGAAGTATCCCGAGGCGGGTATCGGCGATAGCGAGAAGTTATAGAGACTGGAAGATACTCTACGAGGCCAGTGGGGCCTTGTCTACAAGTACGTCATACCTGGAGAGGGATTTACTGTAGTTAGCCTTCGTCTGGCGAAACTCACCTGAGTTGCCACCCAACACCTGCCTCTAACAGTAGGTCTTGCCGCGCTCTTATTCTTGAGTATTCTTGGCCCAGAACTCTCATTGTAGCAAAGACCCGTTGAAACCATTGACGTTCTTTACATCTGGCGTATCGGAGCTCTCGCTGGTCAGCGGGCTCCATCGAGCCAAGTACACTTTCTCCTCCCAAGCCAGTCCATAGGGCTTGGAAGATCTTGTTGCGATGTGGCCCCATCCGCGAACAGATTTCCTTCTGCAACGTTTGACGTGGGCCGTGCTCCATTTAAAGGAAGAGGTCACGCTCAGCTCGTTTTCTTCCTCAAATATCTTGCCAGCACCTCGTTGCTGAAAACAAACTCGCCCAGGACCAATATTCATTCATAAGCCTTGAAAGGTGGCTGTTCCTCGCTAATCTCTAGGCTCTAGCTAGCGCAACTTTTTCTCCACCCCGCCTAGCACCTGAGTGGCACACCCCTCGATGATACCGACGCCCTGGGCTCCCCCGCACACCGTGATAACCTTGGGTGACCCCTACGATGACTGGAGATCCTGCAACCCAGTCCAGCCGCGACTGGCAGAGGACCTCACTACCAAACAATGGCGTACTCGGGCACGATGCTCCAATGGAGTACAAGAGCAAGGAAGGCAGACATAGCGTCGCCAATAACGTGGAAGCCGGACATGCTGACGATTTGCTCAACATCCTCGGATACCAGGCCGAGCTGGTCAGATCGAGGACCACCTTTCAAGTCGCGTTTATGTCCTTTGTGCTGGCTTCAGTTCCCTATGGTCTCTCCACGACTTTGTTATATCCCATCGCTGGCGGAGGGCCTGTCGCCGTCATCTGGGGTTGGTGTGGCGTCTGCGCCATCATCTTATGCCTTGCGATCTCGCTCGGTGAAATCACCTCTGTATATCCCACCGCGGGAGGGGTTTATTACCAGACGTTCATGCTGTCCCCTCCCCGATTTCGCAAAATGACTGCCTGGATCTGTGGATGGGCATACGCTCTGGGCAACACCATCGTCACGCTCTCCGTCAACTTCGGCACCACACTCTTTTTTGTTGCCTGTATCAACATCTTTCAGGACCAGGAGGGTAGTGGTATCTTTGCCGCAGAAACGTATCAATACTATCTCATCTTCCTCGCCATCACTCTCATTTGCAATGCCATTTCCGCCCTGGGCAACAAATGGCTTCCTTTGTTGGATGTAAGACATTCCGGAATCACTTTGCCCCCCGCAATCAAGACCTGACTTCGAAGTAGACCATGACCATCTACTGGACATTTGGAGGCGTCTTTGCCATTCTGATCTGCGTGCTCGCCATCGCTAAAGCCGGTCGCAACAGTGCGGGCTTCGCATTCGGCGAATTCCAGGCCAACACCGGCTGGACCGAAGGCTGGTCATTCTGCATTGGCCTGCTCCATGCCGCTTATGCCACCTCAGCCACGGGGATGATTCTATCGTGAGTTCTCGGTATTCTCTCTATCCAGCCCTGATCTAACACACAACCCAAGCATGTGCGAAGAGGTTCGTGACCCGGCCACTCAAGTTCCCAGAGCCATGTGCTGGGCCCTGGGTCTCAATTGGCTCTGTGGCATCATCTTCCTCATCCCCTTGATGTTTGTTCTTCCGGATCTCCTCGAAGTCATCAGCGATCCCTATGGACAGCCTCTGCCCTTCATCCTCCGCTCCGCCATCGGACACGAGGGCGGCGCTTTCGCACTCACAGTCCCCATAATCATCCTTGGAATCCTCTGCGGCACCGCTTGCACTACCGCCTCGTCACGCTGCCTGTGGGCTTTCTCCCGTGACGGAGCGATTCCAGGGTCGAGTTGGTGGAAAAAAGTCAATTTGAATCTCGACGTGCCGCTCAACGCCATGATGCTCAGCATGTTGGTACAGATTTTACTTGGTCTCATATATTTTGGGTCGTATGCGGCTTTCAACGCTTTTAGCGGTTCAGCTGTGATCTTTTTGACCATATCGTACGTGATGCCCGTGGCGGTCTCCCTTCTGGGTGGACGAAAGCACTTGAATGAGGGCGCATGGGACTTTGGGATTCTTGGTGTCTTCTGCAACGTGGTCACGATTGGTACGTCCCCTTAACGCTGAACTCCAATGGTGATCCCCAGTGTCCTAACATCTCGACAGCCTGGGCTTTTTTCATTATACCCGTCTTCAGTTTTCCATTCTTCAACCCTACGACTTTGGACACCATGAACTACGCTTCGGCTGTCTTCGTGGGCGGTATTGCCATCTCTGCGCTTTGGTATTTCGTGTGGGGTAAGAACAACTACGAAGGTCCTCCCGTGCAAGCGGATGAGGTACAGCGGCGACGGAGCTCGATTATTTCAAGGTAGTCCAGTTGATTTATTCCCAAGTTTACAACTCTCAGATATTAGCCAATCCAATGGACCTTTCGCCACATTAGGCTCAGCTTCGACCCCATTCGACCGTGTTCTCTTCACAATTCACGGGTTTCCGATGGCCCAATTTCGCTCGATCTTGAAAATGACGAGATTGTTTATCTTTCAAGGTGACATGTGACCGGTTCTTCCGTCTTAACTCTTTCATGTCTACCTCCTGGAAAGGCTTTTGTCTGAGGCCGAACTAGATTCTCTGCATAGGTACATACAGCCGCAATTCGGTCAACCACTTGGACTTCCATCCTCACAGCATCGATTCGAAATCCGAATACTTGTCAACCAAAACCCGTTAACTCGGTCCTGATGCAGTTTGGAAGTCATTACTAGATTATAGACGGACTTCCAACGTTCAGGTCGGTTGATCAGAGGCCTCAAAAAGCGATGGACATGTCTGACACTCTGGCGTGGAATATTTCCATGCTATGGTACGCTGGCTGGTAATGTAGTCAGTTCTACTGTAAAGAGCCGGAAGAAGGGTCTCAAATATCAGGCACATACCAACACAGCCAATGAGGAGAAACCTGCGACGACCAAATCGGTCCACGAATAGTACTATATCGACATTGCGAAAAAGGTGGCGGTGACCAGGAAAGACAAACACATCAATGGAACGTATTCTGTGAGCCCGAGCCGTTGGAACCGGATCATACCATAGTTAGCGATGATCACTAGACCCATGAACAGATCTTCCACAACCTGTTTGCGGTTTCCAGGGGTCTTGTTCAGTACCCAGCGGGAATGGGTGCTGTCCATTTCGCGATAGAGTTCAATTTGAGCGTGATGCCGTCGGTAATCTAGTCGTGATTGTGATGTCCATCGAGACCGTTTTCGGCCTGTCCATTCAGATTGTTGTCGTTCTGCCCCTTCCAGGTATGAAGTCGTTGAAGGACTGTTTCAGCCTCTTGATATCGGTCTCGCTGCATCTATCAACGTGGAGAGTAAGGGAGTCAAGGTGACTCCATCAGTAAGATCAGTGCCGGGGATGATTTGAAAGGTAATATGGGAAGCGCTAGGGAAATGTGGAAGATGAACCTGAGGCTGAGATAAAACGTATGCCAAAGCCCACCTAGATTGAGAGTCCATAACCGACTGCGAGCAATACTCCTGAATGGCGCAAAATTAGATTGGTGAGTTTTTTGCGGAGTATCCACACACACAGACAGTATACCCCGTGCATTGAAACCATGAAACCTCTGGTCTCTGGCGTGGCGATTTCAGATTGATATCTACCTTTACAGAAACGCTGTCCTCTCAGCAGATTCTAGGGTGTCGTGCTAAGAGAACTCGGAGATCGACTCACACTGGGAGGACACAAATCAATATCCCGATTCCACAGTTTGAGAGGAACCCAACTACAAAGAAACATGCCAGGGTCAACATTTCCAGCATACAAGGGGGCATTGATAATCAATATTACACTCCCCATCTGCATTGTATGTTTACTTGAAAGCGGCCGGCCGATCAAGAGTTATGGATGTCACCAAACGCTGCTCCGGCCGAGTTGAGTCCTAAAGTGCCCAAAAGCCAGCACGAGAATGGGCACGACATCTCAATTATATTCGATGGCCGTAGTGATTGAGGTATACCGTTGAAAGCTCCCAGGTTCTGTGCTGTAGACCATCGATCCCATAGCCACGGGAGCTCGAATATATTTGGAATACATCCATCTGCATGATAGATGTATTATTAGATGAACGTTGACACCAGAGTTTCATTTCAGAGTTGAGGTTGTTTCTCGAAGAAGGGAATGATGTGAGTTCAAAGAATATAGGCACTCGCACACAGGAATCAAGGGGCATTATATCTGCCGTACCGTCTCTCATCTTTTCTTAATACAGACCTGGCTTGGAGACCACCTGGAAGGCTCCATGCGGGGAGATGGAATCTAGGGATTGACTTTGACTCCGTTTCCCCCTGAACAAGTAGACTCCACAGCCAATGCATGGAGTGAATCGAGCCTGGAGCTCAGATTTGGTATGGGCCTGGACTCGCCGGGTTTCTGATTTTGAGGGGCTGTCTCAGGGACTCTCAATGTACCTGTCGGAAAGGACACGATTGGGTAAGGAGTCTGAATCATAGCATTTAACGCCCGACACCGCCAGATGCTTTAAATCCAAGCCGAACCATTTTCGCTTTCCGAGGGAGGTCGGAAGTGTATGCCAAGAACCGGAAGCAAGGCTGACAAATTCCGCACAAAGACCGGAAATGCGAGGCGGAAGCAAGGCTGGCAAATTAGGAAGGCAGTGTGGACCTCGGTCTTTGTTTGATATGGGAAACCATGAATTTGTTCTTGCATGAAGCGTCTTGTTATCCTGTTGGGTGGTTCGATCATACATAAACAACGAATCCTCACGTAAAACTATATTTTGGATATTCTTGGAATTCCTCACACCCTCGGCAGAAATTTCAATTCATGGCCTACCTTGAACATTCCATGAAGTCTGCCATGGGGTCGACTGTGCCGAACGAGGCATACGATCTAGCTTGAGTTGAGGGTATATGTAAGCAGACAAGTGAAAGGTAACAGTCCTCAAAGGGTAGAATTACGTACCTTTGTCATACCCAAGACTACTTGATATCGTGGCTCCATGACCCGGCCTGCCAATCTCCGACTTGCCTGCTCAAAATATCTTTGTCTCTCTGGGCGAGTCATTTCTACGCACCTCGGACCTTTGGCTCCTGCTCCCAAGCGCTGAGGCCATTTTGAAGCTCGATTTTCCCAACCCTGTGGTCAGGGGAGGATTGAGTGGATGGCGTAGCGGATAGGGGTTGGGGGGCCGACTTAATAATTTGATCTTCCAGGGCATCAACACCGAAAGACGACGCCAATTCGGAGAAGGTATGTCCCTAGGCCAGGATATTTCCGTTGACAGCGCTCATAATGTGGGATAATCGTACGATGGTGGAGGTGGAGGTGAAATTCTCCTCTGTACTGAGATCCTTCGGCACATCTTCCAGATTATGATAGAAACTGGGCACAGCGTGACGCGCGGATCGTTTTCCAAACAAGGAGAAGGCTGAGGAGCCAGCCGAAGGCCGTAGTTTTGAGCTCTAGCTTGTGACGTGATTCTATTGAAGGGATCGTCTCCAAGCGCAACCACAAAATCCTCCAGCATCTACACATTGACTCGAACCGTCTCTCCTCCCGCCCATAGTTCACCTTCATTTCCGGTCGCTTCTTTTGTAGACAAGGTAAACACGTAGTTTGCGTTAACTTCTTTTGCTTGGAGGGCTCGTCATATCTTTGCTTGGTCCTCCAACAAGTCCACAGAAGTATGGTCCGATTTGGGGAGCATCGAACCCTGAAGGTGTTCGTCTTGAAAGCGCATTGAATTTTGTCCATCCCTCCGGAAATTCTGACACAATGTGCAATATATATTATCCCGACATGCCATTGGCAACGGCCACAATCACAGTTTGACCAGGCTGAGGTAAGAGTCCAATGGAGGGCCGGAAGCACTTCCACCGGAAATTGAAGGATTCTCCAACCTGCGACTCCCGGATCATACTACATAACGAAGAAATGAGACCATCATTATTGAAGAAGTTCTTGAGTTCGGTTCATTGTTGCACTCGTTCCCTCCCTCCCTCCCTCTCTCTCTTTTCGATTTCTACCCAGATCTTCAAGGCCTTTTGTGAGTGAAGATCCCGTCGACCTATCCCGCTGGCCTTGGCGCAGACCGGAAGTGGAAAGTTGTTTTGCTACGACCGGAATGTCACGATTCCGAATCTCTAGACAATGGGCTGTCAGACCTCGGAACTGATACCTCGACCATGCAGTCTGAACAAGAGGGCTCCACGAGCGTGTGAGGCATGCCGAACAAGAAAAGTTCGTTGCGATGTTACGAGGACGAAAAGTCCTTGTACAAATTGCAAGCTTGATGGCAAGACGTGTACGGTGCCCGTCAGCAAACGGCGGCATCTAGGAGATCGAATCCTCGGTTCTTCCTTTGATGGGAAAAATCATGATCCTTCGGGTCCCATATGCGACGCAATTATCGACTTTGGAGATCTCAATCCATCCCTGGAACCCAAGAGTGATGGCGAAGCGGACCATGTTATGGGAGATGTGTCGCCCGAGGTATTCAATATCTCAGGCAATGCATTTACAATCCCGGCTGAAATCGAGATTTCGGAGCACTTGGAAACGGAAAACGTGGTGGCAAGAAGTGAGAACTTTCTTGCATCGTATCCATCTCCCACTCAGACTATCTTAGGCGACCATCAGGGCCAGTCTTTTTTACCTCCCTACCTATCCCCACTGCCACAGACCATGTCAGCGGAAGACTTGGAGTACCTTCAAAGCCGAGGAGCCTTCAACCTTCCCAACAAAGACACCCGAGACCTGTTGCTATCGGCCTACACAAAATGGGTGCACCCCTTCGCTCCCATGCTTGACCTTTCCAGAATTTTGACCGCAGTCCACAGTAATGGAACAAATGGTACCGTCAGTCTTCTTCTCTTCCAGTCCTTGATTTTTGCTGCTGCCGCTTTCTTCAATGCAGCAGACCTTGGACATGGTGGCCCGAAGGCGACCAGGATGGTCTTCTATGAACGAGCCAGGATCCTCCATGATTTCGACATAGAATCTGACCGGCTGGTCATCGCACAGTCGGCCATTTTACTCAGTTTCTGGGACGGGAGCTTGGAAAAAGTGCGCGATAGCTATTACTGGATCGGAATGGCTTCTCTGCATGCGACAAGCATTGGACTTCACTTTGATACAGGAGTCAAATCTCCTGATCCAAGACGACAGCGCTCACTCAAGCTGACGTGGTGGTCGTTGCTTATCCGAGATCGATTGGTCGCGGTGGCGATGAGAAGGCCAGTACAAAACAAGGCCTTTCGCTTTGATGTTCCAATGCTACACATGGACGACTTCGAGCTGGAATCCCTCCTGGAGGTTGTACAAAAGACGTTGCAGATAAAAGATATTGGATTGACCCAGTTCGAACTTCTTGCCAGTTGTTGTATGGCCCTCGCTCAGCTTTCCGAGTACATTGACAAAATCCTGTCAGTGCAATATTCCGCTCAAAATGTTTCTGGTGCGATTGGACAGCGCGCCGCGGTTGTCTCTCTCGTCCCGAAGTCGACAGGTTTCAGATCTTCGGACATTGCAATCTGTGGCCAGGAACTACAAAACTGGTATGGATACTTACCAACAGAGATACAACAAGTGCAACGAGAAAACATCCGGATCCAGACCAACTTGGAGCATGAGGTAATCAGAGTACACAAGGCTCTTTTGGCTGGGTACTATTCAATGACTCTTATGACACTGTATCGACCATTGATTCCGCCGTCATCGACGGGAAAAACAGATGCCAAGCTGCAAAGTCTTTCGGTGAAGATGGTGTTCCAGGCAGCAAAGAGCATCACAGACATCTTCAGTGACCTATATGCCGACAAACTGATAGCATTCCTACCAGAGACCGCCATCGCAGTGCTGGAGCCGGCAGTAGTCACTCACCTGCTCTATAGTATGTCCGACGTGGCAAAACTTCGAGAGACGAGCTTCCAAAAGTTTTACCTCTGTTGGAGAATTCTCCTTCAATTCGGAGAGTCATACTATCTCGCAGATACGACCATATCAATGTTGAATGCTGCAGCACAAAGATTGAAGGCGCACCCAGATTTGAGAAGGTCGAAGCCTGCTGACTGCTCCTCACTCATCGACGAAGTGTGCTCGAATGATAGCCAAGGGCCAAAACCGGCAATTGCCGTTCCATTCATTGGAGTCGTCGGTGATCAAAAGAGGGGAGATGTCGGTACCGTATCAGCTATAGCTACTCCGGATACAGACCGTGACCTCTTCCGGCCGCAGATGGGCTCCATCAATGGCGGCCAAAGTAATCATGATCTGGAAGCCAATTGTGCGATGGATGGAAGTCCATTTGAACAGCTCGTCTCTTGGGATGCATTCGAGGAGGGGTTTCAGTCTTGAAGCAGCTCATGTCCGAATTGAACGGTTTTCTATGGCAGCACTTCAAGTTAGAATTGCCCAATGATAGAGATGAACGAATAATTGTCCCCGATAGCCAAACTCGGCATTTGATATCCACACATTTACCTTAAAATTTGAGTTTCCTGGCTACCTCGGTCGGTCAAGTGAGATCGGGGAGCCAAAGCAGGTCATCCCATATCCATGCTTGAGAGGTGTTATCGAGGGTGTTGGATGTCCTGTTGGCAGAGACTCCGTTGGATGAAGACAGAAATTGCCTGTATGAAGTGTTTCGCGTTTCTGGCGACCTCGTCGCTTCTGGGCGTCGCGAGCTATGGCTAGATCGAAAATTGAAATTGCTCCGTCCGTCACGAAACACTAAAATAATAAGATTAGCAGAAATGTGTTAAACAGGCTAAAGAGGAGCCCGTACCATCCTGTAGGGAAAGGAGTGCATCGGTGAAATTTCCACAAGCAATATCTTCAGGCAAATCAGGTGGCTGTTGGGATAAAAATCCAGCAGAATCGGATTCGGGCATTTCGACATCACCAGATACTTGTTCTCCAACTTGAGTGGTCACTGCAAGTGGCTGTTGATAGGTGTGGACGTCGTCGGTGTTCGTATATGGATTTCTAGGAACTTCTCGGTCTTGAAGAGCGATTCCAGCCCCGTTGTGGGCTGGGTGATCTCCGTCGGTCAGGAGGGCTTTCATCTCTTCGGCAAGAACTAATCGGATGAGCTCCTCGAGGATCGCACCGCATTGATCCGAGACGACCGTGCGGTATTTGTGCAGTCGTGGGAGTTTGACGATTTTACTCACCGCATGTTTGGCTCGATGAGCTTGGTCGGATAGAGGATCTGACAGGGCAAAAATCCCGAGCACGACTCCAGCAGTAAAAGACTGGATTCCAACGTATGCTGCACCATGAGTGTTTCGTGAGGCGGCAAGTATGTCGGCATATTCACCGAGCCGTGACGTTCTCATGGACGATACCCAGCATTGATACTTGCTAGTTCTAATCATGCCATTCACATCATCGGCGGGACCTCTGCGCGTGTCCGGAACCAATTCGCCGGCTGAGGCAGCACCCTCCAAGGGCCATCTCGGTACCCGATTCATTGTAAGCAAAGGCCGGTGGAGGACAAGTTGGATGTTATCATACGACAACTGCAGTACGAGAGCTTGAAGTTGAAATATTTTGAAAGTCTGTCGTATCTTCTCGTCTGTGGAATTGCATCTGAGATGCTTTAACCGTAGTTCTCGCGGGATACACTTCTCCCATTGATGAAGGCGTTCATTTATGGCTTTGATTTCTCCGACAACGTGGTGGAGAGTGGCTCCATTTCGCATATAAACGTTTCGTGCGATCGAAGAAGCAATACGATAAAGTCGAAACTTGTATCTCTGGTAGGAAAAAATCGTCACTGGTCCGATTGTTTCGTCATTGTACGTTTCCATGGACTCAAAACCGGGACAAGTCAAAGAGGTATCGTCGATGTTACCAGGGAAGGTCAGGTCCCATTCAATATCTTGGACGGTACAGGGTGTACCGTAGCTAATAGCACCAAATCTGACGTCGAATTGTCAGCCGACGGTAGAAAATGGGAAGGAATACAGACACATCGGCAACGTAGAGTGCCCAACCTAAGCGGCGCCACACTTCTCGAAGAATGGGATCTGAGAAATTCCAACTTGGTTCCCTTTGGATACCCAGAGCCTGAGCAACTTTGAAAGCGCTCCCCGACAGTGCAAAACTTCGATGGGGCCGACCGTTGTAGAAATAGTAGGCAGAGAGAAGAATCAACACCTGAACGGTCTCGATTCCCGCATCATCGTATAGGTCAAGCAACTTTCCTTCAACTTTTCGGATAAGTCTTGTCGCCAGGGCGTCGATATCCACTCCAGGGCATCGCTCTTGGGCGTCACTGCTGGTTGCATAGCTGGCACCGATACCGATGACGAGAAGAGCAAGAAGAAGGAACGGGACCCGATCGGCGCGAACATAACCGGTGGCGGTCAAGATCTGCAATTCGGCCCTGAACGAAGGTTCATGGAACAGAAGCATAAACCAGTGCACCGCATTGATGTAGTTTTCCAAAGTGAATTCGATGATGTGTGCAGGAGGCAAATCTTCTCCGAGTATTTCAGATATAAGAAGGAATTGACCGCCTGCTTCGGAGGATCTCGCCTCAGGGCTACCGCCAGGGATCGCAGCTGTTGTATGATTCAGCGTAGCGGTAGAGTTGAGTTCTCTGAAAAGCTATCCGGCACTGATGAGTTGCCAAACCCAGGAAGGGAGGGGAGAATAAACTTGCCTGATCCACAACCCCGTATGTTGATCTTCTTTCTCGATATACTCCAGGCGATTCTCTTCCTGACTCTTGTGGGCTGAAACCAGAGGGAGGAGGGTGATTTAGATGCAACGCCGGTGATGGGCTTGATCGGGAGGCAGGCGTTAGGGAAGACAGGGAGCATTCGTCTTGGACTCGTCCTGCTACTGAGGAATAGTGGCTTTCCGCAACGTCTGCGTGAGGTCTGATCGTATATCTATCCTCAATATCAGAAGTCAGTCCAGATTCGTCTTCTAGCGATATTCTCATGAGCAGAGCCGTAGGATCTTACCTTGACTTCTGTGGACGTTCCTTGCATTCTACCCCAACGCGCCGGCATAGGGTGCAGGGTCGGGCATTGTCACACTACGAGAAAGGATCCATACTCAGCTATGATTCTTGCAGCTATGAAATGTCCGGAGCAGCCATCAGGAAGCGTACCCTCAGCTTCTGTTTCCTGCATCTAAAGCATGCTTGTCTCGCTCTCGGGAGCGGTCGTTTTTTTGGTTTTCCAGCTGCTGCGGGAGACATTGGATCCGGTGGTGCTAATTCGAAGGTTTTGTCGCGACTGCCCATCCCAATTCCATGTCGACAACCCAGTTGGCGTGAAGACGACACATTGGACTCGCGCGTTGGTCTCGAGATCCTGTTGATAGTGGGATGGAAAAGTGAGGGCCTGAAGCAATGGGCGTACGTGGGTGGGAACCCCAGTTCTTGGTGATAATTAAGCAGCGACAAGACGCCTAACCACATCGAGCACCCCCCCGAGGTGGTCAAGCAAGAGGCTAATTCTTCCCCTCCCAGCGCCAAAGCAAAAAAAGTGCTCTTTCAAATTGATAATATCAAGCATTGCCATCCGAGCCATCCGACTTGAAGCATCACGCCACAGACTAAGTCCGAGCCTCAGCTTCCCTCTCTTCGGGTAAATGAAGGTGTCGTGCGATTGAAGTCAGCATATTCGGAAGAGTCTGATCTACCTTGGTTACCAGAAGAGGTAGATATTTGTGTCGTCCGCCGGGCAATTGAGAGATGAGATGACAGAAGTGTTTGAGGTTATCTTCCGGTCCAATCTCGAAGCCCTTAGACTTAACGTCTGCAGAGGGCATGCAGGACATCACGTCAATGAGAGTGCAGGCAATGTCGAAGACTTTCTCGGTGAGACCAATTCCATGCATTTGCATGCTATGGAGAGAAAGCTTCCAGGTTGAAATGGCCAGATCTTGAGCAATCTTCAAAGGGTAGCGAAACGTCAGACTCTCATAGGCAGCCTCACTGGACAAAAAACCCATCATCGTACATAACTGCCATACGATCACCCTGAGCCATTGTTGTGAGACGCGGATGTTCGCGAGCTGAGTTTCCACAATGTCCAGCGATGTCGGCAATGTGGTTCGAAGGTCTTCTTCCAGCTGAACAAGTGATATCGAATCGCAATTGGTACTCGCCCTATTCCAAAGAGCAATGAAGTTGTCGTCGAAAGGCCGGAACAGATCGGCGAGATAGCGGAAGCCTGACAAACAGGTGTGACCCTGGACTGCCTCATCGATGGTAGGACTCTGCGGTGTTATTTGCAGAGTGATGGGCCGGCGTCGGCGGATAGCGTGAGACCTATTCAGCTGCGATTCAACATCAATCCTAAGTTGGGGCTTAGAAAACCAACCTCTCGGATATCAAAAGAAGCCAATACAATCGACTGAAGACCTCGTCGACAATTTCATCTCCGAGGTCCAGAGTGGCGGAGGTGTACAACGTAGTTGCTTCGCGTAGGAAATACCAGGCTTGCCGATGCTTTCCTAGTGCTGAGTGACAGCCGTAGATGAAGAATGTGAGGAGGACTGTCTGTCGAGTGGGAGCGGCCAGAAGATCGAGGTAGCTTCGGGCTGATAGGGCCTCCTTCAATAAATGTTGACCATATGCCGCCGAAGTTTGGCCAACGCCAGATCTTGCCATTAGATTTGGATCGGGACCTCCTGTTTGCAGAATCACAAACGCACAAAATGCACTGATAAGACAATATGAATCTTCGCCGGTGTCCTCATTCAGTGCCGCAGCCGCCTCTTGTCTGATAGATTCGGGCGTGATAATTGGAACGGTCGAGCCTAACTGGGAGAAAAATAGTTCTGCGCAAAGCTCAACCACCCGCGATGGGAGAAGGTCTGAACTTCGAGAAAACCGTGATTTAGACGGTAAAATGTCCAGACTCTGGGGACTAGTCTGTACATCCAGAGAGAATGCGGGAGAGGTATAGTCAAGGCCCTGGAATGGAAACGGACTGGTTGGAAGCTGATGAGAATAACTTCCGGCCTGTGAATGGTGCAGCTCGTTAAGAACCTTTGCTGTGTCACCCTTGCGTCCCTTTTTCAGACGGGCAGTGAGAAAAGTGCATTGAAGCCTGGCTCTTTGACAAGCGGCGCATGGTTGTCTCAAACTGCATCGGACTTTTCGCCGTCTACACGCATCGCAGGCCTTTGACACTGGATTCCGGCTCATTTTGGTCTATTATAGATAATTGGAGCTATTTAGTGGTCTGGATTGAGAGATCTGTTTCGTCAATTGGGAATCAAAGCCGGAATGCAATGATGGATAAATAGGTGAAGGAGAAATCGATCACAGCCCCCTTCCACGAGCGACTGGTAAATCGTTGCCTATATCACGACACCCCCTCCTGCAGTGACGAAGTAGGGCAACTCAGTTGTATACAGATGACGACAACGACGACGACGACGAAGAAGAAGTAGGTGACAACATCCACAGCTGAATTGTCAATCTAATCGCTTGGAAGCCGACCAAATAACATTGTTAGGATAATTGATCCAGGCACTTTCTTGGATTTGAAACCCTTGCTCTATCATTGCCTACCCCTCACCTCCCGGGGGCAGCTCACTTTGTCAGCCTATTACATTCTTCCTTTTCACAGGACCGATAGAAGTCGAAGCTATCAAGGCAACAATCGGTGCTCTGCATTTCCCAGTCGCTAGGGTAGCCGCAATTAGGTAGAATACTTTCAAATTCATTACATTCTAACGCGAGCAAGCTGAATTTCTCTACCTCGGCCACGAAATTTTGCCCATCGCTCTCTACGTAGGCGCTGAATACTGATCCGAGTTGGCTCCCTACCAGCAGATACTAGGGATGGAATACGGGTGTGAGATGAAAAAAGAAGATTGGCCGTGGTGGGTCTATTGATCAGGCAAACGGTAGCCACTTTGACTTACGACTTATCGATCTAGTTGCAGGGATTGTTGTTTATGACCTGCATAGTAACAGAAAGCTTGTCGTTCATGGCATCCATGACTGCCCCACCCATGGGAATGTAAGCCCTAAAAGGGAGCAGGCAGGTCAAGAAGGTATTCCCCATAATGTGATGTCGATCAAATGCAACATCAACAGTCCCATAATCTGAGGACCTGGTGATGTCTCCAAGGGGGCTCAGGGATGGGCGGGCAGTATTTTTGTGGGGATAGGAGGGTACTAGCTCTACACTTCCTGGTTCAGCTTTCGGCGATCGACGCCATGCCAATCCCCCCTGCCAAAGCGTCCGCTCCTGCTTCCACCCGCCCGCAGTCACACCCAACATGAGTCGCCATTCAAAGTTTTCCAGGAGTGGTTCAGCAATGCAAAACGGTCCAGGACCAATTCAGCCTTTGAGCCAATGATTCCGGTTGGATTGCAGGCAGCCGTGCCAAGAACCAGAAATTGACCCTCCAAGCCATCAAAAGAGCATACTTGGCGGCGGAGATGAAGATGGTTGCGGCAACTTAAATGCACCAACATTAGCTAGGCGCTTCCTACAATGCTCCGCCTTTGCCTCGACATCTTATACGCCAAAGATGGTGGTCTAGCATTGACCAACAAGTGGACTGGACCGAGCTATAAATTCTGCATGTCACTTGTTCCTGGAAAAGGCCGGGCAGAGCAAGCTTCGATACCTAATACGAACAGCAGGTGGAGCGACGTTGTGGGTTATGACTTGACGGGCCTATAGCTGCTTCCAGTCAGGGATCTGTTTGTGTGAGGACTAGTGGGCTTTTGATGATAGGGTATGGATAGCCTGCTCCGGTCAGCATGTTACATCCGCATTGAAAGAGTCATCTTCTTTTGTATTTGGCGAGCAGTCGGCACCCTATTGACTGCATGGGCTAAAATCTACGACTTGGCACTCTGACACTTCTGGGAGCTACGACCATGAATTATGTAAGGAAGCATGCCCTACCACGGAGTCCGACACAAGCATAAGAGAGGACATGGGCAGGCAAGAAAGTAAGGAGGACAGAATGGGACAACGGAGACATGAGTGAACAGAGTCTTTGAGTCTATCGAATTGTATCTAGTCGTTTCATATTCCCTGAAGAGGTTGACATAGTCGATACAAAGGAATTGGCTGAGTTGACTTTCGTACATGGTTGCTCTCCAATCCTGATTTTAACATCCTCCCTGCGTGATAGGCACTCAAGTGCTAAACCGTTCATCATCTTTATAGTACGAAGGCGAATACTGTGCATATCTGTAGACGCAAGCTAAATGCTGGGTCTGATGAAACTGCTGAATAAAAATGCCAAAAGGTCGAAGAAGACAACCAAAATGTTCCTCGCGACAGGGGTTTTCTGCCTACTCTAATGCTGACGGAAGAGAAAATCAACACAAAGATAGCCATGATAAATATACTTGGTTTGAGATGTGACTGAATCTGTTCTAGCATTTCGAAGAAAAGGAAGGTCTTGGATATTATACGGAATTTTTCAGAAAGTGAAAAGTTCTTTGATTCCTCCATGAAGGATCTGGGGCGTTTCCTGACCAAATGCGCAAGCCTTTCAGGTAAAGGATGAAGCTGGGAATGCCCTGTAAATCCACCGATCCTTGACAGAATTGAACCTGCTCGATGATAGCAACTGCTGGATTCGGAACCCACCACATCGCAGATCCCGTCGACATAGAAGCACGGCTTTAGTAGGGGCTAGAAACTGGGTTGAATAACGACGATATAAAACTAACTGGGGTTCTTTGGCGAAGGATACTCTCGGACCTTTACGAGAACATTCCATTAGAGTTTCAAGGTGGTGTTCATTTGAAAGGTCTAGCTTGGAATGCTGCAAAGTATCATTACAGGCAACAGCGACTCTTTTGGGAATACAATGGTTCGCAAGGTTTATGACGGTAGCGAGATCCAATCGTTTCACCAAGGCAGGAAAGCTCAACCTATCATAAGGAGCAGAGTTGGTGTTGGGCTCCTGGCGGATCTCTTCATGTGTATCAAAGACAGAGACCATCAGGCTTCTGCTCGATCGCTTGAAGGATCATGGAGCAAAAGATTTGAGAAAAGTGGGAGACAAAACTGAGTATTTTGTGCTCCTGGCAGGGACCACCCTGGCCGAAGTGTGTGCTGGAATGTATTTATTAACTATCGCAACTTCTCAAACAAATCGGTCGGCCTTTTTCCTTTTCTTACATCGTGACTCTTCTAGTTTCAATCTACACACCATGATTCAAACACTCAGAGACCAGTCTATAACACCGGAGCCCAGCGACAGGGAAAGGTTGCATGCCATTCTGCTCGAGAGTGTTGACACCGTTCGCAGCACTGGCTCGTTCGCGATAACGGCGGTTGCGGAAGCATTCCCTCCTCCAGAGTTGAGGATCGAGGGGGTCGGCGCAGTTCGAGTTCCACTATCGCTCGAGGATGTGCAAAGCTTCCTTAGGGTTTGCGACAAAGCACCGTTTGGAAAAGGGCAGCACACACTCTACGACGAGAGCATAAGGAAAACCTTGCAAATTGACGGCTCAAGAATCAATTTTGGAAACGATGCTTGGTTCCGCTGGCTCAAAGATGTGACAGCATCGGTGGCTGAAGGTCTCGGAGTGGCATGTGGAGCAGAGAACGTTCATGCTGAGCTGTACAAGATGCTGGTGTATGGCGAAGGGGCCATGTTTAAGCCTCATAGAGAGTAAGAAGACTCCACAAGATCAGAAACGACCATGCTAATCTTCGGTCTAGCACAGAAAAGGCTTCCGGTATGTTTGGGACACTTGTCATCTGTCTCCCAAGTGAACACGTTGGCGGTGCAGTCCATCTCCAGCATGGCCAAGAGCATATGAAATTCGAGACCGACAAAACATCAAAACACAGTGTCGCTTACGGAGCTTGGTAAGTCATCAAATTATTGCTCCGCACTACCAGATAGCTGACTCATCGGGCGTATGATAGGTACGCCGATGTATCTCATGAGGTTAGCATCGTTTTGCTGAAGATCAATCAGATCTGTTGAGTGTTGACGTCTTCTCCAGGTCGAGCCGGTCGTATCAGGGTATCGGATTGTGCTCGCATACAACCTTGTCACTACCGCATCTCTTAACATGCCGACTGCTGCCGCTGTCGAAGACCCAAAAATGCGACTTATGGGAGGGTTAGACCTCTGGTGTAACCTGAAGCCAAACGGCCCCCAGGGATTGTGTTATGCTCTAGAACATAAATACACGAAAGATGGACTTAGCATCTCGCGTTTGAAAGGCTGTGATTATCTCCGCACAAAATTCGTCGCAGACGTCTGCGACAGACACGGCCGCTTTCATGTTTTGCTAGCACTTCTACATAAAGTGGTCACACGTCCGAACTGTGACGAGGGTAAAGATATGGAAAGTGTGTCAACCCAACTAGGGCCTATCAAGACTCTAGAAGGCTTCAAACTGCAAACATCCCGATCGTTGACAATTTCTGAAAGCATCATCGTGAAGTCTCCTTACTATCCAGCAAATTTGTGGGGAGATCTAGACGAGGAAGGCGAAGAAACCGAAGCACGACAAAGACGGCCCGATGCGCTGGTGGGCGAAGAATACCTTGGCAACCAGCCTGGCGATCTGGACAAGATCTACACAGATGCAGTAGGTGGGTCGTACATGTGACAGGATGTGGACGCTAACTTTGACCAATTCAGGTGATCTTGATTGTTGACAAGGACTATCTAACTGATTTCCTTCTTCCTCGGTCTTCTAACCGAGCTGCGGACTATGAAAAGATGCTTCGGCGACTTCGCGACCAATTTGAAGAGAATCGTCGAGACCCAATAGCTCAAAGCTTAATCCTGCAGATCTCTCAGCAATATCTCGAACGCAGCTCTTCGTCTAGCCAGGAGAAAGATGATTGCTTGGGGACCACAGCGGCTGCAGCAATACATATCGCGGAGCACGACTTGTGGAAGAGGGCCGTAGCTGCACTTGAGAACGGCTTCAACCGAGATAGCTTCTACGACTTAGGCCGCCTTTTTGCTTCAGGAACTGCAAAAATCAAACTAGATGAGTGCGTGAATATTTGGTGTGTCTGGTACCAGGACTAACGGTCGTCATAACTAGACTCTCCGAAGGGTTTTCGAAGATCCCGACATTGCGTGATACCTGGTGGGCCCTTGAAGCTTTTACAGACGCCTTCTGGGATGCAGACAGTTCTTACGGTCCAGAAGAGATGTCTGATGCAGGGGTTTCTCTCTTTGTAAAGCAACGAGTTATTGATGCCCTCGATTCTTTGAAAGCTCTCCCTCAAGACGCAGCCACAGTCATTTTTGTAGGCCACGAATATGGTGAGGAGTTCTTCGACCAGAGGTGAGTGTCCTAGAGCTACAAACAACTTTGACTAACAACTTGAAAGAGTTAAACCATTCATCCTTCGCTTTCTCCACGATACAGACTTCGTGAACGCCATAACGTTGGAGGCTCTCTTCTGTTCGCGGGCCTCAGACGAGCATGTTCCTGCTCATTGTTGGCTGGCATCAGATAAATACGGTCCTACTATTTCCCGGATCCTGCAACTGACATTGGACGTGGCCTGCTCGGATTTCACGCTCGGAAAATACTTGTCGCGTGTAAAATGCTCAGCACTAGACGATAAATCCTTTCCCTTTTCGTGCCGGCCTCAACATTTTTTCTGTAGCGGGAAGGCAGAACGTGATGCGGACGTGGTCGCCGACTTTTATAAGCGAGCCCGAGACATCGACACCTATAAGGGATACTTGTTACTGGACAAGATACAGGCATCGGCAGCAGACATACCTATAACCGAAATGGATCGGCTCCTAATTCCCCTTTTGCAGAAATTGTTTATCCATACGGATGCTGACAGTGAACATGTTCGCCACTTTTACCAATCGACCTTGATAACTTACCTCGTGCGTACTGTGGAATATGAGCCAGAGAAACCACTGAACTGGGATCGAGCGAACGAACTAGACCGATGTTATCTTTCCAGCTGCCCCGACTGCGATGCCTTGCGGAGCTTTATGGCGGCACCCGATTTGGAAAAGGTCACCATCAAGTTTTCAGGGCCATATAATCACGGAAGCTTGATGATCCAGCGTTGGTGTGAGACGAAGGAAGAGAGAAATGGGGCCCTGACGATCACAAAGACGACGAAACGGTGGGAGGTGGATAAACAGCAATGGGAAGAGCGTGCCGAAAGAGCTCGCAGAATTCTCCATCGCTTCCCGGAAGAAGAGCTGAGAAAGCGTCTGGGCACAAAGTATGGCTCGGTTATGAACTTGGATGTCATCAAACTATCGTCAAAAAGGGCTCATTCGGCACTGGGAGAGGAGCCACGTTCTGTTTTGAACAGCAAGCAGCTGAAGATCGAGGCAACAACCTGATGATCTGCAACCATCAGTCCGCTTGGAGCTGTTGAACAGGTGGTGACATATCGTTCAAGACAGGCCGACTCATTCTGCAGTACTCGCACACTAAGCTGTATCACCATTGACAGGCAACCGCGTTGACGCACACTGCTTAGATAGTTGTATACATGAACTCCATCCTACACTCATTTCGAGGGCCAGAGCACTTCTTCAATTCGAGCTGCACAAGAAGTTTGACAGGAACAATTACTGATAACTGGTCTCATTGAATATTGCTATAGATAAAATTGTCCCCGTTTTACCAACTACAAGGTCTCCTCTTTGGACGAGAAGCTGACTGGCTTCTTCGCGAATACTATTTTCATGGATGATCGCTGAATCCAATATCTTGCATGCTGTTCCCTTCTACCCATGGCGATACAAGTCTCGTTCCTTTTCCCTTTTAAGCTATGAAAATAGCCCTCGGAAGTTGCAGAAGACTGAAAAAGGGAGGAACAAGGTTGTATCATCTGCACTTCCGCTGGAAGTCTGCTCGTGCACCGTTGCTGACTCGTTCAACACGATCCCACGCTTGATTGCATCAGGATGGGCGAAGCACCTCCCAAAACACCAGATCGAACTGAAAGGGCCGGTTAGCGTCGCGGAAGGAAAAGAGCCTTTGAGTAATCTTGTCTTGGTTCGACAAACGAGTAAAGAAAGAGTCGGTGCTAAGTTGAGGCTGCCGACTCAGTTTCGTAGGCAACCATATTTTCCCGAAACGTTTGAGGCTTTCCTCTCAGGCTTCATGATGGATATTGTGAGTGAGCACGTCGTATCTTACGCTTCTCTTTTTTTTTTTTTTGGAAGCTCAAGATTTCTGACAGAGAAGTGCCGGACGGGGAAGTTCTTTTAGTGGTTTATTCCTTTTCAGGGATTTTGACCAGCACCAGCTGATACAAGCACTTGGCTTCCTCGAAGTTCACCACTTAGCCCACAGAAAATTGAGTCTGACAAATATCTGGGCCAGACAGGCGGGAAAGATTATGATCGATACGTTTCCCGAACGACTCACATCTTGTATGGCCAACCTTGCTGGGATTTCCGCCGGACGCAAATCTTTCGGGGCGAAGACGGATGACCCATTCGGCTTCAACGCCGTGTAGTCGTCGAAAAGTCCTCACAAACTCGTCGATTGCGTCTCCATAGATAGATACTTCCCTTCGAGATTCGAAGTTGGCGAGAAGAGAATGAGCGTGTCTCAGCCACGCGGTCTAACGTGCAGTCCCCCATCCACTATAGTTCGCGGATGAGGAAGGCTGTGGGTCATTGTCCGTCGGCGCAAGGACCGTGTTGTACAGTAGACGCGAAGTTCCTGTTTCTGATGCTTTTGTCGACGACATAGTTCAGTGACCTGCGTGTGACGCAAGCCGGATGCTTCCGCAATAATTTCCTCCGGTTTGCGGCCCCGACGACCATAGACACGATCAGCCATCTGTGCCAGAAACAAGAACGACAACAACAGCGCCAGATCTTCTGAAACCACATTTGGATGGTGCGAACACGTTCATCTAGTTTGATCGAGCTTGAAAGCTGCTCGAAAAGCTCACAGATACGGGTGGATGGCAAAGATATAATATTGAATAAGGGCTAGGGTGGGTATAATCCAATTCCTCAGCTGTAGGCAACATCTAAAGCTCGGGTAGTCGAGACACCGATCAATATACCGGGTAAATTCCCACCCAGCTTCCATGTCGACTTGGTGATGTAGGGCCATTGATATTTCCTTTGATAAAATGCGGCAGGATTTCTCCAGCAAGCACCGTCAACGCACTGACAGGGAGAAACTCTGCCAAATCAGCACCAGCTGCTGCTTTGATAATTTCGGCAACAGTGACAGGGTTGAGTCGGGTCAATGTACCCTCAGGGCCCCATCGGAAAGGATACGTCACCCATTTGGGAGTTGGCAGGTTGAGCCAGTCTGCCGACACCAGTTCATACTTTTCTGAACAATCCAACTTGAATTTGCTGGCGGCTGTGTCATTGCGGACGAAGAGTTCAATTCCGGCGGGGATCCCTCCTATTCTTCTGTATTCGGACGCGTTGGAGCCCGGACGGGAGAAATTTGCATGGCCATTTTGGGAAGAGTAGATGATAGGTTGAGTTCCTTTAAAGGTGAAGGCATGGTCGATCTGGTCTCTCGAGAAAAATTGGCCCTTCGAGTGCTGGGAAAGCCAGATGGCGATGATTTTGAGGGTCGTATTGTCGACGCGAACCATGCACATTTCCCAATCGCCGACGTGTTCACCAAGAGGAGCCACGTTGATGTCACCAGAGCTCGAAATGCTGTCCATCATCAGACCGTTGATATGGAGTGACCCTGGTCCGTTATACGCGTTGAAGAACCAAAATTGAACATCTGTGTGTGGCATTCCGGACTGCCAAAATCCGCGAACATATGCTTTTGTGGTTGAGAAATCCCCCTTCTTTCCTGCAGATTCTAAATCCAGATAGTATTGAGCATCATCTCCTTTCTGTGGGAGACTATCGGGACTTGGATTCTTGACCTTTGTTTTCGTCTTCTTGTCCACGAGCGTACAATGCTGAAGAAAATCTTCGATCGAAGTATTGAAATACCGTTCATCCGGATGTAGATACAGAATGGGACCATACATCTCAATGGCCTTTTCGAGTTGTTGGCGATTAAGAGGCTTTGCTGTAGTTGTAATCGCCGTTGGCGTCACCAAGCCTTTCACACTGGACTGAATGACTTGTGGTTGCAATGCCAAAGAATCGGCGAAGATGTGTTTGTCCATCGTTGATAAAGCCATGGTGAATCTTGTCGTCTTGTTTGAGGAACGATGAGATGCGAGCCTTCAGAAATCCTTCGACAAATATCATAACTCTTGGACTCAGGTAGCCTGATGTGAGCTGAACTTTTCCCTCGTATTCGTGTCAGCCGCACATCTTCAAACAGTTGCCCTGGCAAACATTCTGGGCAAATCACTTTCAGCTGATTCGGCAATTTTTGGGGTGTCACAACTTTTTTCAAGCCAGCCGACTTGAATCACAATCCAATGGTTTTTTGCAAATTGAGACATCAGCTGAGACGTTTCAAATCAGGCTCCATCCTCAGGATTTGTTCTTCACCCCCGAATGGCGTTTGAGGTTCCCGTGTTCTCAGCCTTCAAGTCAGCCTTTCGCATCTGACGCCATTCACATTTCTGCCGCAGGCAACCGAGCCAGGCATAAAACGCATGGAACTTTACGCATTCGTAACTGAGGCACTTTGGTGTAATATGGGAAGATGGAGGACTAAGAGTGTTCCTCAAAGTCACAGAATACTAGCAGAATAATATAAGGTCGGGTTCGCTGCTATTAATCAGCCCTCGTAGTAAGCAGATATATTTGGGGGATGTGCCGTGCACGGAAAATTGACACACCTATTTTATTGCTAAGCCCAACCTGCACCTTTGTTTGTGAACGAGATCTGGTGTCACGAGAACAATTTTTTTCGGTTCGCTGCAGCACAAGGATTAGATGAGGTTCCAGGCGCCTAGCTTTCGTATTGGCTGAGAATGCATGGCCGAGACTTTGCGAGGCCTAAACAAGAACCGGTAGGAAAGCTGCTGTCAAATTTGGATTCCGATATGATCATAATAAAGCCTCATCGAGTATCGAGCGGATATGAATGAGATGCGGTCCGAGTTTCGAGGGGAATTAGAGGAATCTCAAGTAGGGAGTTTTTCCTGATGAAGAAAGTGTAGGCGGTTGGCTTTTCCCATGATTTTGCGATCAGAGCCAATCACAAGTCGTCTTTTTCAATGGTCTCGGGGATCACAAGTGGAGAGTGAGAATGTTTAGAATGCACGCGGGATGATATAATCGATGAGCCAATTGCAAAACAAAAAGATCCCTCCCAAAAAGGGTGGATGGAGTCCTGCCAGTGTAGCTATGCCAGCAAGACTTGCACTTGGCGGTCCAGCGCTGCAGAAACAGCTCAAATGATTTCATCGACCGTTGAGGCAAGTACGGACGATGAACATCCCCATGCAACATGGGAATGAGCTGCATAGGAAATGTCGTAGCTTCCCAAGCTCCGCGGAACAATCAATGTGGCGCGGCACACATGTATGACAAAGGTTGGAGTCTGTCGAAGGGTATAAATGAAGACATCATGGCAACGATTCCACTCCAACGGCACTCGTCAAACTTCAAATTTCCATCATCTCATCAACAATGTCTCCTTCTCTTGACATGAACTTGCGTTGGCAAGACCAGAACGTGGTCAAAGTAAATGGGGAATGGACCATTGATGGGTCGGGCAAGTGGCGAATGATGGTAGATCCTGGCTGACTTTTCGTCTAGGCGCCCGGTCGTCAACGTCGTCCCAGCTTACCAACATCAACCCTCGAATATTCCAGGAATGACATATATCGGATTGAAAGTCACAGCACCCCGGAACGCGGCAACACCTCCTCATAAACATGGAGGTGCAGCTGTAGTTGCGACGATGATTCGAGGTCGTATGCTCAATCAGATGGAATGTGATGGAAAATGCGACGGACCGCGAATTTATTCCGAAGGAGAATGTTGGTATGAACCTCCAGGTTGTCATCATGTCCGGAGTGAGAATGCTGGTGACGAAGAGGCGGTTTTCATAGCCAATCTTGTGATTGAGACCAAGAAGATCGAAGAAATGGGGGTTCTGAATGCATTAATTCAGATCGATGCCGCGGAGGAAGAGAAAGCCGGGGAGCTGGTGGGCAGCAAGATGTGAGCAGCTGGATTCAGTTGTGAGGTCGCTGAAATCGTGTTCCGCAACATTTAAAGTTCGTCCCCAATCACTCATCGACAAATTTCACATTATGGATCCAAGACTCCCGTGGCATTTTTACCGGCTGATTCGTTGTTTTAGATCCTTGTGTCTGATTGCCAAGGTGTAGAGAACTAGCATATCGTCGTTGATACCCAGTTCTTTCCGAATCAACCCAAGGAACACCAGCTGTGCTGACTTGAAGACAAGTTCCGAGTCCTTGGTCAGTGAGCAGCAGCACTAGCGTCTGAATGTATAACCTGACCGACAAGATGTGCGGTTGCATTCAATGTTTGATTGATAACAACAACAGCAATCATCGGAGCATCATAGAAGCGGAACTTGCCAGCGAGTATTTCGTCATATTCCTTCTTGCCTCCTCGTGAAATGTTGTATCCTTCTAGCCCGTAGATTTGTTATCCCAGAGCGCTGGGGAAATTCGCATGTGCAGTGAGAAGTTCGGGAATTTCGAGAGGGACGTTGCTATTCGGTGAGTGTGTCGACGAGAATATTCTTGAGGCGGGCAAGACTATTACCGCTGGCAAAAGTGAGACGCCACGGTTGAATGTTTGTGGATGAGAGTGCTTGCTGGGCGAGCTCCAGGACACAGTGGAAAGTTGATTGAGGAACAGGATGAGGGAGAAATGATCAGGTATTGTGTCAAGCGAGGACAAAGCTTTGAGACGGATTTCTCGGACAAATACTTTTGATCATCTGATGTTGACTGATTTTTTGTAGGGGAAAGAGAAAAAAGGGGGGGAAGGTTGCGTAAGGCTCATTCGGCGTTTCATGTAGTCTCGAGCAGGTTATTTTAAACGGAAAATGGTTCTTGAGCTTGAATTTGAAGTGTGATGTCCAGTATGCCGAGAGAGTTGTCTCGACAACATGGGATGACGCCTTAACATTGGCAACCTTTTGGTCATCGTGAAAGCCTGGTGCGGTCGACATTCTGTGTTTTCTGGCGTGGATTAAAAATATCAACATAGGATCTGAGAAGCTTGATAGTATAGTCGCAAGAGCACTCGACTCGGAAGAATTTCAAACTATCGTGAAGCCCTGTCAATATTCCATTTAGTTCGATCAAATCTTGGGCTGCATCGCACCTCTGTCACCAACTCCGGCTCGTCGGACGAGGCGCACCTCAGCTAAGGAGCATCTAGACAATGGGTTGTGTTGAACTGAAGAGGAGAACGGTGGACACGTTAAATTCTTACCTTGCTGCTTTTTTTTTTGCAGCTCAACTCCTGGTTCTCAGCAGATCTAAGCTAGATCAACACAATCCAGAGCTCTTTCGGAGGCGTAATAATTATGTCCTGCGCTCTACGGGTAGATCCATGAGCACCGGCGGACAAGACCAAAGCGCTCATTTATAAGACGGAAATGTTGTGTCTTTGTTGATGGCTTTCATGCCTAGCGAGGGATGTTCTGACCGATTTCCAGCACCCCGTTTTGCTCATGTCCAGAATCTAGCAACGATTTTTGGAAAACTTGCGGCTGCCCCTCTGTGAATTAGCGTGCACGAACGGGGAAACTGAAATACAGCTTGCTGGGAAAGGGAAGATATGTGTGCGGTTCATCTTGCGCGATGTTTCATTGTGTTTGTCGCCGCTGGTATATCCAAAATGATATACGTACATACCGGCTGTTCATCTGGAAAAGAACCTTTCCTTCATTTCTCATGAACCAATCATCTTCTCAAAAACTGTTCAATATAGCCATCAAGAATGCAAGGAATACACCAGTGCCTAGTTCTATCTTCCCGGCGGCATTTGTGTCAGATGTTGACGCTGCGGAACCTGTCGCCGACGCAGTCTCCGAACCACTGCTTGAGCCACTACTTGGCATTGCGCTGCCGGAGCCAGATGAGGTTGTGACGGCTGAGCTGGAGGCTGGAGTCGGACTGGGACCAGGCCCAGCCGTGATCATGTCACCATTTCCTCCAGGGTATGTTCCACCTCCTGCCGCAGTGAAATCTTGGGGTACTTGAGTCTGATTGCTCGCAAAGTAGTACATTGCAGCGGCGGGACTCTGGCCGAGATTGGATTCATCCAAGAAAGTTGTAATGTTGAAATTTGACCGATTCGTTTCGCTATAACCCTCAAACGCGGAAGGGAATGTGAAGTTCTCGTGTTGGAAGAATGTGTAAATGATATATCGGTGGGCAGAGGAATCGGGAGGAGGAGAGGGTCTGCGGTAAGATACTCGAGGTGCGGTCGAGTTCATGAGCTGACTGGTGCCGTCGGCCGCCATTGATGCAGGCGTCATGTCGGTTTGCAACCAATGGAGGATGAATCGAGATGTAGGATTCGATGGGTATCTGGCATCAGGATCAACCATGATGAGGACATAGGAGCCACTGTAGCTGGAGATAGACTCATAGTTTGCGGTCTCAACTGCTACCGTAGGCTGTTCGGCGGTGACTAAGAGTGTTCAGTAAGAATTGAGGCAATAATGACTGCAAACCCACTGCCCACTCCGAACAGCTCTGCCTCTCCCACAACGATGGGTACGCCATTGTCTTGATATGTGACCGAGAGTTCGGTATGATTTGGGGCTTCCGGAAAGCCAAAATCTGGTGGAGGAATGGTTAACGTCGGAGTAATCGCGAGAAACAGTGAAACGATGGACCAAGGAATCATGGCGAAAGGATCAGTTTGCAGCACTGGCAAGGTTGAGAAGATCTAGCTATTGGTCTTCTGGTCCCAGCTTCAGGTTTATGAACTCGAACATGTTCTCATCGACTTACGTCATTATCTGTCTCACGAAGTCGAGTTTTTCAAACCATCCACGTTAGAAACTCGCGTCCAAGACGTGTCGAAGGCGTGTCGTGCTGCGAGAAAGGTGTTTCTGCTCGCTTGGCAATCTTGGTGAAAATTTTTGTCCATGATAGACTGTGGAGTCTAGTGAAGGAATGCGTTACTGTTCTATCTAACAAGAGAGCAAGACTGATGGAGGAAGCAATGTCACGTGATTAGCCAACAGCCCGGTGTTGAAATCCCCCATTAAGCTTGTAGGTGCCGGGGAGGGCCAAAGGGTTACTAGTGGACACGTCTGCCCGGCCATTTCAGGCGTCTGTGGTGGGATTGCTTCACCACAGTCAAATTCCTTCATTCGTCCTTGTGCTGATACGCCCTTCTCTTCTCATGAATTGGTCTTTATCATTACAGCACCCTCCTGGTTTTCACGTCTGAGAGAATAATTTGCCCACTTTGGGAGGCACCCGACATGACTGTCGAAAGGTCTGTTTTGACTAATAGGCCCAAGCATCAATATTTTCTTCACTAATATTCTTGCTATCATTTCCTTCAAGTTCCATCCTCAAAGTACGCCTGTCCAAAGACTCGATTCGCAAAACGTCGAAAACAAAGTTCACACTTTCCCTTTGAACCGAATGATGGAAACTTCAGAACAGCCCCCTTGCAACCATAGCGTCGGTAGTAGCAACATGAAGGAAGATGCCGTAGGCAAATCACAGCCCTCTTGCAGAGAAGGGGAGGATAAATACCCACCACAGGTCCTGGTTGTGGTGACCATGGCGACGGTGATGCTGGCTGCTTTCCTGGTCTCATTGGTACATATTCCCTCGCCAGCACGAAAGAGATGTTGCTATTAACATAACTTTATTCAGGGTCGCACTATCATCGCCACGGCTGTCACCATCATAGTCAACCATTTCAATTCTCTTAGCGACGTGGGTTGGTATGCCTCTGCCTGCCTGCTAACCATGGGCGCCTTTTCAACTCCCTTATGAGCCGAGTCTACAAATTCTACAACCCGAAATTGGTCTTCATAGGCTGTGTCAGAGTGTTTGAATTGGACTCACTCGTCTCTGGTACTGCCCCTCACTCGACCGCTCTCGTTGTTGGCCGGGACATTGCCGGCTTGGGTAGTGTATGCCTCTTCTCCGGCCTAATGACTATCGTTAGCAGAACCTACGAACAAGCCTTTTACAAACTACTCACCTCGTACTCCGCATTAAACTTTCGATACCGTCAGATAAGGCGGGCGCCGTGACGCAATGCCTCATTCTCACTACGACAATTTGATCACTGCCTGACGTAGAAACGTCCAGCGTTGACTTGCTAAAAGAGGAGGACTGTCGCTGGGGTAAACTCCCCACCAAAACACAAGAAGAATTGAGGTCTTCACTGCCATACTATTGAGAAACCAGGTTCAAGAGCCGAGCATATTCAAATCTTGCATAATGAGAATGCCATCCTACATGAACCACGAACCGAGGACACGCGACTCCAGTCAGAACAAAAAGGTATTGCTCCTGGTAAACTCTGAGCATATCAGATGCGCCTCTTTCAAACCTTAGCTTGCCCATCGTTTGCATACTCCGTGCTTCGCCATTGGGCCTGAAATATATTTGCGTTAAACACCGCTAGGGTTGGAAGAACTTCGGATCAGTCCAAAAGGCACTGTCAAGTAGCAATGAATGTTGACTTGCTATCGTGGACATGAGAGGCTCGGAAGAAAAATTCGCGGTTGACATCAGATCATCCTCCCGAATGTCTAGAACAATGACACACGTCCATGCTGTTTGTACCGCAATTGGCACAACGTGAGCAAATGATGCTAATATTTTATTTGTTGAGGCAGAGATGCGATCCTTCTCATTGATGCCTTGCCAGCCATTTTGTCCAGGAAAGCCGCCGGGAACGAAACAAGCAGGTCATCCACTGCAGATATTTCATCGATTGTTTGGCTGCTTCGCGCGCCCATCCATCATCCCCGTCGTTAACTCTTTCCGGTTGCTCACCGAGATCCGGCGCTAACATTCCACGGTGAAAGGATTAAGGACAATATCCCATTCGAGAACATTGGGTTAAAGAGTGGGAAAGTTGGCACGTCGGCCGCTTGCGGACTTGGTTTCTTCAATCAGCATCTTGAACAATCTCACGGGTATGTGATATTCAACAGAGGATTTTCGAGCATGGGAATCTCCAAATCGATCTCGCCATGGACCCGATATCGGCGAGACAGCGTTTCTGAATTCTTATGGATGAAAAACCATTTTCACAGCAAACCCCCAAAACACCAAGTCACAGAATCATATTACGGGAAATAATTTCGAACTGTTACTGGTATGAAATGACCAGTGAAACGTATTGACCTGGTACCAAACGGCTCCTTGGATCCTCAACTATGTTCAGAGAACCGGAAATCGGCCGAGGAATTTGCACGAGGGCGTTTAAAAAAAAAAAACACCGTCGTGATAAGATTTGATAATCGAATCTTATCATGATCGACCCCGCCAAGTGCCCACCCAATCAGAAACCCCTTCATCCCGCAAGCCCAGAAGTACCATCTGCAGCCACCTCAACCCTCAACTGTCAAACTATCCCAGACTTCGCAATATTGCCGAAATTCCCACTCGACTATCTCATTTTCTTCTTCCGGTATTGAATGATGTATTGGGATCTCTTCTGCACGTGGACTTTCCACGACATCGCATCTTCAATGACCCTGGCCTGGTGCCGTTCTTGCAGCCATCAAATGTTAAAATCGCCATCACTGGAGTGTGGGCCTTCATCTTGTCTAGGGACATGAAGATTCCGGCGATGGCGGATCCAATATCAGGCCAAAGTACATTGTTCATCCTGGAGTTTGCTGTTAGTCACCTCTGTCGAGTATGCTCTCCTAAAAGAGGTCTTCGAGAACTCCTTCAATCTTGAACTTGAACGGTAAACTATTTTCTCGAGCTCGTCCACCTCACTGTCGTACTTCTCTTCCAGAATGGAATCTTTCTTCCTCTCTTTGAATGCCACCTACAATGTTTGCCGAAGGATTTCCCCCATTCAAACGACTGGCCGAAACCACCCTACCAACTGAACCAGCTAACAATGAGACCCCACTAACCGCGATGATAAGAGTACAGCTAGACATATGGAAGAATCCATCAGCCATGGCAGCGATGAAACTCCTACTGAGCTCCCTTATCAAGCACAAGGAGGTATGAGAAGGGTTGAAGCAATCACTTTATCATGGAGCAAGACGTCGCTGGCCATCACCGGTGGCCTAATCTGCACAAGGCAAAGAAAGAGGGTTTACTGGACAAACCCCGAGTGTTCAAACGTTCTTTCAGAGTGGTTGGTTTTGCATCATCGAGTCTGATGGTGAGTTTTGACGACTTGATGGAGGTGCGATAGGAATCTAACCCGAATATAGCGCTTGGGGTGATGCTTCTTGCCACAGGAGTTGTCCTCTTATTTACTCCCATTCTCCCCTCCTGACTCAACTAAGGATAATGGGAATCGGCCTCGATCGCTGTCATATTGGCTGCTGGGTTCGTTCTGCTGATTGTTTTTGGTCTTATGAAATGTTCTTCTCACCAAGCCCTTTCATCCTGTATCGGCTCTTCGTATCCAGAACAGTCATTGATACCTTGTTCCGCGGTGCTACTTGCCAAGTTGTCTATTGATGCTGGGGCTTGTTACTTCAGCTCGTGTCTGTAAGTGGTAAATAATTTGACTATCGACCAGGCGGGCTAGGTCAGTGGCTTTTTTGATATGACCTCAGGTCTGTGGCTGCTCTTTGTTGGATTCTTGATGTCTAATGATCTATTTCAGACAGCTACACACCAACATCAGATATGTTATGTGTCAAACCTTCATTGCCTTCTCCGGCAACCCAATTATTCTCTACCAACAGGTAACAGTGATGGTCCCTGCGGAACCATGGTCAAATTGCGGCAGTTTAGGCCCTGCTTGGCTTGTTTGGATGTATGGGCGATGTTGTGGGAACAGCAACTCTGGAGCGATCTGGAGAAATTCATTGCCTAAAGATCTATGGTGATACAGCCTAGTGAGCGAGTGTTGCAGAGTCGGCCTGTTGCGAACGGTAGGTCACCAATTGTTCAACAGTAGGATTTGGCCCTTTTTGGGGATTTGTTGATCCGAAATCGAATAGGTGCCGAGGGGGTTTTTCCTTCGGAGACTGAACGTTGTCCCTATTTCGAGGGGGTCCAAAGTGTGTACGAAGCGTACAACGCTTCCGAAGGTCTTTACAAGACTTGGCGTCTCCACTTATCACAACTGCTTCTCCGCTTCTGCCTTGACCGATAGCGAAGATAGCCCCGTCAACTCCATGACGGAAATAATACCGACTCCTGTCTGACGCGCCCATATTATATGAGAAGAACTCTCCAAATACTGAAATATCCACGTCAGGCAAGTGGAAATATTGAGACGTCTGATAGGCTCGATAGCGTTTTTTTTTTCTTTTATCAGATAAGATTTGATCAACGTTGTATTCCCGACATCGGCCGTTATGGGAAGTACATTCATATATATTGAGTACTCTGAAACTGGCTTTTCAATAAGGGAATGGCCCGGAGATTCTTCTCACTGTCAAGTTTTGCTGCTCGACTTCTCAGGATGCCATCGAACGAAGGGATTGGATTCGCAAATCGCGCTGATCCATTCAAAGTGCTGGTGGTAGGCGGATCATATGGAGGTCTGGGGGCGACTTTGAATCTTTTGGATCTTTGCAATGGAAGACCTGCGCGGTTTGCGTCAGACCCATCTGCATCACACATACCCAGCAGAATACCGGTTGATATTACAGTTGTCGACGAACGAGATGGCTATTGTAAGACTTAGTCGACGCTGTTGACTGCCCTGGATCGACTAATCTTTGAGCGAATCAGTTCACCTGATCTCATCACCACTTGCCCTGGCTTCCAACGAGTATGCTCCGAAGTCATGGACCAAGTTTGATAGTATTCCAGCTTTGAAAAACGTCCGTTGTATCAGAGGCAGTGTGAAGAGCGTTGATTGCAAAAGGCGACAAGCACTCATCACGGAGACCAACACCCAGTCAGAACTAACGATGAACTACGACTTCCTAGTTGCTGGATCAGGGCTTCGGAGGGTTTGGCCCGTGGTACCTCAGGCAACAATCAGAGAGGAATTCTTGGAAGAGGTAGCAACTCAAGTTCAATCCTTGAAAGATTCCCAAGACGGGGTTGTTGTCGTTGGTGGAGGTAAGACCTCCTCAACTCATTGTCGCATACGACGTCTGACGGCCTTCAGGAGCTGTTGGAATTGAAATGGCAGCCGAGATCAAGCTGGTCATGCCCGAACAGAAGGTCACTTTGATTCACTCCAGAGACAAACTTTGTTCGGCTGAGCCTCTTCCCGATGAATTCAAGGACAGATGTTTGACCACACTGCACGAAGCAGGTGTCGAGACCATTATGAACCAACGAGTCTTGGACACCGAGACTAGTCGGAGAGACGACGGAACAATAGTCTCGAAGCTGAGACTGGCAAACGGAACAACCATTACTGCTGGCCAAGTGATTCATGCTATATCCAAAAGTTCCCCTTCGACGACCTATCTCCCGAAAGCCGCGTTGGACGAAGAAGGATATGTCAAAGTCGCCCCGTCGTAAGAAGAGTCCCCATGTTCACAGAACGAGGCTGAAATCGCGAACAGTTTGAACTTTCTTCCCGATATGCCAAACTCTCAATATCATTTCGCTGTTGGTGACATTGCCAAATGGTCTGGAATCAAACGCTGCGGAGCAGCAATGCATATGGGACAATACGCAGCTCAAAACATTCACCAATTGATGTTGAAACAAGTTCAAGGAACGAAACCTAAGTTTATGGAACTTGATGAAATACCGCCCATGATAGGAATTGCTATTGGAAAGCAAGCAGTTGCCTACTATCCAGGAGATGGAACGACATTTGGCGAAGATATGATGCAGAAATTATTTGGTGACGACTTGGGCAACATGAGTATGTACACTACTTAATCCGCTCCTTCCTGGCTTAGCTGACGAGCAATGGTAGTCTGTTGGAACTATATGCAGCTTGGAAAGGAGTTTCCTTGATGAAACTCAGGTACGCAACAAGAACGGACTGCTGGCAAAAATTCCATCTGGAAACAATTTGGTCAAGCGACTCCATTCTCATTCTTCATTCAGGGAGGAGGTCTGTTCCAGATACCCTAAAAGCTATCGGTACAATTGATTTCCGTCGTAAGGGACCTTGATTTGAACTCTCGCCAACATCCATATTGCATCAAGTTGTCGCTGTGTCTGTCTTTGCAACGCACTTCCGGCGATCATCCGGACAGCAGCTCTTCAATTAGTCGACAGAGTATTCTGGTACTGACGTGGACGCCAGTTGGACTAACGAACCAAAAATTGACAAATGAAGATCTTTATCATGAACAACATGTTCGAGAACTTTTTCTTTTGCGGGTGAGTAGCTGTGCTATTACGTCTAGGTTGAATGCTGGTGATTTTCCTCGTATAGCGTGATTAACTACATTGTCCCCTGGTATATGAGCCACGGTGTGCCTTCAGGTCGGTGCAGTCGCTAGTGGTATCACAGCATTTTTCAGCTTGCTTGCTATCTCTATGTACATTTTTTGGCAAGAGGTATCGAAATTTTGGTACCATCGCAACATCATTAAGACGCTGCATCTCGAGACCGATCAGACGGGGAGTCACTGAAGGTGGGTACTGTTTGCTTCTTTAATGGGCGAACGTCGAGAGACGCCTGGAAATGTACTGACTTCATACGAAAGAGCGCGCAGATCAAAAATGTCAAGACACATCACCGCTAACTGCGGAAGCGAGCAATGCCATCTTCGTTGTTTGTGAAGATGATATCGAGCTGGGGTTGGTTTAATCATATGCATAGCAAACAAAAGTATCACCACGCTCGTTTGGCCAGGTATGTCTTGTTAGGCTGTCCCACCCTTCAAATCAACTGATTACCAGTAGAAACGTACAACTCGAGGGACAGGTATATGAAAGTCAGGTAAGCAGATGATGTATGACAACTCACGTCACACGAGCATTCTAGTAGTAGCTGAACAATGTAGTGGATTGCGATGGAACAAGTTTACTCCATAGCACCTCCATCGTCGAGCACTCCACATGGACAGTGGAGAGCCAGAGAGTACTTTATTCCCGCTTGTCCACCACCGATCTTAGCAGCCACTGATAAGACATTCATGACCTCCACATAAGTCGAACCCTATTACATCCAAAGCTGCAGATGCTTAGGATGCTCACGAGGCCGGAGACTCCCACAACTTGAACGGGATTCGAACTGTTCAATCATGCCTGCATTCAACCCGGACGACCTATCTCGATTCAATCCGTCACGTCCTCACGACGCCATATTAAATAGTACACGACCATGCCATCACGCTGGATCTACTGTACCCAAAACCACTAGAGAGTTCGCCGCCTCAAGGTATTCTTGTGGTCATTCGTTTCCATGGTGGAGGACCAGGATCCGTATCATCATTATTTCCCAAATTTCTTCAGACGCTGGGTTTTGGAGTCGGTCGAACAGCACTCAACGTTGATCATCTCGGTGGACTTCTGCCAGACTCAAATTTATCTGATGTTCTAGATGGTATGGAAGATGTATGGCAGTGGGGTACAGACAGAAATACCAGGATTTCTTCGCCGGCAGTTCCGCGGGAAAATAACATCAGACCTCCCTCGCGTCATATCCCTGGAGAATCCTCGGGGGGTTTCTTGAGCATCCAATTGAGTCCAAGCCATCCTGGCAAAATCAGGGCGACCACTGCCGCCCAGCTCTTGGTAAACATGGTGGACCGTTTTGGACCCAAAAGTTCCTCGAACGGCTTATGGGCGTGCCCACCATGCCTGAGACTCTGATCGGCGAGCATATGGCAAAGGTGAAGGCGCAGGAAGTACTGCTTCAAGGTGGGAATCAGAAGATCGTTGCGACGTCAGATCCACGTCCTGACGGGGCGCCGTTGATGTTTGCAATGATATAGCATGGAGAATACAAGGACTACTTATACCCGGCGAACAATCGACAAAAATCCTGCAAGAGGTTTGACAGTGGCGCGTGATTCCTCAGGGGAGGTGTCTTCACCTGGCATGGCGCCGACGATAGCGTTGTACCAGTCGGTGACAACCAACGTCTTAAAGATAAGGTATCCCAACTCGACTCTGGCTTGTACTTCAATTTAGCTGTACGGGATGGGCAGGAGCGCGGATTTGATGCTCTGATAAATATCGGCGATGACTGGGTAAAGGATGGTCTGCAGCCTATTGAGGGCTTGGCTGGAAGACTAGACAAATATATCGGCGCTCATAAGGTGAAATGGATGAGGAAAAATACCTGAAACCAGCAGGGTTCTGTCGTTGTACCTGCTGTTTTTCAGCCCTTTACGTCGGCATATGGTGACCGCACGCATCCTGGCTGTTTATGTCTTGTTCGACTACAAAATGGATGCGCTGGTTTAAAATCGGTCGAAAACCGGGGCGTGTTATTCTGATAACAACAACTTTAGGATATAAGGGGTGCCGAAGGAAAATCACAATGCTGACAGATAGACAAGCAAGGTGACGACAACAAGAGAGAAATGACGGAAGCGACGCTCTACAAGCTGGTCGACATTTTTCAGCTGACTCTGGAATTCGGCCTGTTCTGATAAAATTGTCCGTGAAGGGCTCTATGTCCGTGGCTCTGAAGTGCTAATGCCATTTAACGAACTCTTGATAGGGAAGCATTAAGATCCCCTAATGATGCTCCGCTTGAACACAAAAAAGGAGGCGAGTACGCGGTTCTGCAGGACCTCAATAACCAATTTGAACCCACCCTCAAAAACTCTAAGTAGGGGGTGGAGGCAGTAAAGACAACAGTACTAGAGTATGCCGTTGGAAGTGGAAGAATTTTGTACCTTTCGCTCAGTCTTTTGCCTGGTGTATAGCTGGCTCCTCCAAATCAAGAAACGATTTCTTGATCTGGTTTGGCCCATGGTTCATGAGCACCGGTTGACATGTTGGGTGGAACATTTGCTGGAAAAAAATTTGCTCTCCATTTCGCCCTTCAGAAATCCAGCCCGGCCGCGCGGCGACCATCTGTTGGCATGCGACCTCCTTCGGATGTGATGGCGACTTCGGTGGTCCGCGTAATAACCCCCATAGTTGGTCTCACCATTTGCTTTCGGCTCGATTGACTATCCGTAGACGTCCGTCTGTCATTGTTCGACTCTGCTCCTTGAACAGAATATGTATCATGAGGCGAATCGTTGACCTTGTGTTCATTACTCCAACCAGACGGTGTGTCGCCCACAACGATTGTTGTTCCATCTTTTGTCAAGGAAGCCATATGCACGGCGTTGTGATTGCTGAGCTTGTTGAAGCCACTACCGTCTTTCGTATAACCTTTACGTAAGGGGCCAGAGTCATAGGCTTGACGACGACGACTTGAACCGTCTTGCAAGAGGCGAGGTAAGAAGCGTTTGACCAGCAGTTTGAAGGAAGGAACCGAGGCAGCCCAAATGCCAATATTGATTTCGATGACGGACCAGTAAAATGGAGGGCTAATCACGTAGGTGGCGTCTGTGGAGGTGAGCATGGCCGGGATGAACGTAATACGGATGATGGAGGAGACACACGCACTGAGCGACTTGTCAGCCAGAAAATGATATAGCAACGTCGTGAATTGAAAGCAGCTTACAAGAGACCCAGGCAAAGCATTACACCAACGGCAATCTTCTGCTTTCTGGGGAGCTGCAAGTGCCAGACCAATCTCATGGGCAACAAATATGTCAGAAGATCTGTGCCGATATTTGTTCCTGCATTGGCGAGGTAAAATGCATTGATGTTGACACATTTTGCGTTTTGGACGTTGGTATCCCAAGCTGCGCGAATTGGACGGCATTGAAAGATGCAGACAAGAACATTTGCAGATGCTGAGCAGGCGACAATGGTCGCGACAACAAATGATAATCTGCGCAACTGTTTGTCACCTAATCGAGCATACAACGCCAGAAACGAGCATTTGATGAATCCCAGACTGGCATTGTAGAAAACGGATGAGGCGTAGACCTCCTGAAGTCTGGAGTTAGATTCAATCATGACAAGGCTGGGAGGGCTTGAGGACTGACCTTCATATAGACTGAGAAATTCTCGGGACCCCTGGCCATGACAACTTCGATATGATGGCCCATGCCGTGACTCACGCCTATTTCTCATTATTTCCATGTCCTCCGTGGCAATGTTGGAGGCCCTACAGAGAATATTCATGACCATGAAGGCCCATGTCAGGAGCTATGTGTTTTCATCAGCCTGTCAGCTTATCGTTCAAAAGTATAAGACGTACAGCCGCGCAAACAATCAGATCTAGTTGCACATTAGCAGAGCGTCCCTTTCGCAGGTACTGGGTTGCTTACAATCATCAAGTCCAACATGACGGTGGATGAGAACTTTGGTGAGCAAACGAAGGGATATCACCACCAAGGTTATGGCTCCAAAAGAAATGGCAATAGCCAGCACGACCGGCCCCTGAGAGCCTGAGCGCGGAGGTGTTTCAGCCATGTTGAATAGAAATATATAAGAATTGAGTATGCCCTGGAGTTAGTGTTTTGGTACTCAGGTTGTGATGGTTATATAGACTGCCTATATGCTCCAAGAGGAGCCAGTGCCCATCCTAGCATGGCCATCACGAGCGCAACAGCCCCCGCACCGACGTTGTGACCGTCGCGATTCTCTCTCTATTTCTTGTTGGTGCAACACTTACTACCAGGGATGTCCAGTAAGGTGGATATAGGGTTATATCTTGCTCCTGCAGATCAGATGCCTCGCCCAATTCTCGAGTACCAACTTCTCCCCGCCACCGGTCAAGATGCTTACCATCATACAGGGGTAAAAATGGCGTGCTGAAACTTACTGGATCCGGCTGTCAAACTGTCTTCCGGCACCCAATGGAGAAGTCAATACGATCTACGGTGAGTGGAACATCCTGGTGTCCCCGATGCTTGTCGTTAGCCATTGAGCGGCTAGTGCACACTTTACACGGTTTTATTCGCTGTACCGTGGTACAGTATGCAAGGTCTCGGATGGAGTCCATGCCACTGTCCGACGGTTATCCGGCGCCAGCCTCGTACGACAACAACCGGATAACGGTCGATCTCTTCGCGTGGAACAGGTTCCGGCCCCTGGTTCGGCCTGAGGAGGAAAAATGCCCGAGCAGCAGGAACAGGTTAACGGCGATAATAATGTGAGGTGGGGATTTCTCCACAAACCTCATACTGGAGTGCTAGTATGGTACGCCCATGCAATCCTGTCTAGCGGCATCCGCCACAAGGGATACAACTGGCCAGGCGAATGATTGCTGCTTCTAGTACGCACCAGCCAATATTCTGGGAGTTTCAAAATAGCAGGGCACCCATGCAATAACCTCAGTACGGACCCGGGACAAGAGGAAGAAGCCCCGATTGCACATGCAAATGAAAACAAAGTTGGGCTCCCTGAACTCTTGCTCCGTTTCCTTCCGTAGAGATTGAGTGCCTGACCCTCCTCAATGCCTCATTTGCAAAGCAGATGTTCTAGCACTTGAACTGCCAACAAAGGCCGAAGGATCTACTCATTCCAGACAAGCAGTCGACAGCGGATGATTAACAATGACCCTCTTCGAAAGGACCTATTTCGACAAGCGGTCTTTAAACATGAGTGATTGTCTCGGTGGGCCTCGTCACGCTCGCGAGACTGTCACATGCCTTAATGCTTGTTCACACGAGCCAGTATGTCAATCCAAGATTGCTTCAACGTTAGACGGAACCACTCTGAGACATCATGCATCTCCTCTTCCTTGCATCAGGACAAGGACACGTTGGACGCGAGTCTTGAGGAAACTCTCGAAAGTTGTTCAAATTTTTTCCTGCTCAATTGCACTTTTGACCAACCGGAAATGGTAAACTGTATTTCGTGAAGGAAGTACCCACTGGCGGTCCTGCCAACACAGTGTCCATCAAGCCTCCATCGTGGGCAGTTTGACACCTAAGTCTTACGTATTCTTAGTAGGTATCCTCTTCAGAGTCATGAGAATGAGGCTGGACAGGGGAGATCGTCTTTTGTCGCCGAGGTGGTGTACCTACAGAGTAATCCTTAATTCGACAAGGTGCGTCGATTCTGTCCGCGGAAACACCGCTTACCCTCAGCGACGGTTCGATCAATGAATGCATTGACAAGGAAACATGAATAGGTCATGCCGTCGGCTTTCGGAATATGGGCTCTCTCCGTACCGAAAAGAAATATTGCTTTTGATGCAGGCACTGATAGTCAAAAATCTTTCGCAATCAGCACAAGGTCTTTCCCCCACGTTCCGGAGTTGGAGTTCAATGGCTAGCTCTCTACATTGCTGATGGGAGAGAATTACCAGGCAGTTTTGGACAGACTTCAGACTTACCCAGGAGCTACAGCATGCTCTATCAACGAGATAATGTTGGTCACGGAATATCTCAATGGACGACAACCACAACCATGGTATGCCACTGACTCAATCTATTGCAGTCTCTAAGAAGAGCCTGGCTCACGCTACGGGTGCACGCTCTGTGAGCTTCAACCATATATCTGTCCAGTAAGCTACTCCTCCTTTGACCACAAATTTTCCCATGTTCTCCTGGTCGACTATCTCTGGTCGAAAAGTCCGGAAGAACTGGAAGGCTCCATTAGCCGGGCCCGGAGCTAGACAGAGGTCACTTACCTGCAATGGTGTTTTGTACAACTCCATCAGAGCGATGTCTCGCCCCAGGCAGACTCTCGCGCCATAACCAAAAACCATGGAGTATTTGTCTAACATCTTGGCACGCTCTTGGTCCTCAAGCCATCTCTCGGGCCTGAACTTCGCCGCATCAGCCCCCAAGATATTAGTATCACGACCCACAACGTATGGATTGCATGTAACCTCTGTGCCCTCCGGTGCGTACTTGTCGTACAGCCAAATACCGTCTTTGCCTGCAATGCGTGGGAAGATGTTGGGCGCCGAAGGCCAGAGTCGCATTGTTTCTTTGACGCAGGCAACGTAATAAGGGCAGTATTTTATGACCTCCTCGTATTGTGGCATTGCCGACAATTTTCCAGCCCGAGTAGCATCGTCAATTTCCGCCATAAGCTTAGAATAGATCGCAGGATCCGACATGACCATGCACATAAGCCCTTGAAATGCAGTACCCGTGGTGTCGGCACCGGCGAGAAGGACCAAGAGGACTTCTGCTTTAATCCAATCCATGTCCATGGGATTGCCATTCTCATCACGCGCATCCAAGAACCTGATTCATCATGAGCAGGACCCTTGCGCCGGGGATTTTGGCTTACGTCTGTAAAAGATCGATTCGTCCTCCAGTAGTGCCGGCAGCAATGTCTTTCTGTCTTTGGGCGATTAAGCCGTCCCGAAAACGCATCAGCACACCTATACCGGTCTGATCTTCTGGTTTGGCCACGAGATACTTTTCACCGATCCAGGTCGTTTTGATCCAGGTCGTGAAAGGGTGTAGTCTTGCCATCAAGCCGAAAGCGGGTAAGCCATCATGGAACCCTTGAATGAGGCCGGCGACGTCGGTCTCTTGCTCAACAAAGCCAAATGGTGCGCCGAAACCAATCTCCGAGATTATATCATATGCCACATATCTGTACCGTGTCAGTAGGGAAACAGCCTCAAATATGGAGAATAGAGAAAAAAGGAGGGAGAAAACAACCATACCATAAAACACAGGTTTACTTACACAGCCCAAGGTGCAAAGTCAAACTTCTCGCCCTGTCGGACAAATCTATCCTTGAGTTTTGCAACCCAATCATTGATCCTGGCGTCGATCAAAGGTTCCATTCTCTTGACATTGGAAAAGCTATACTGCAAGAACATCATCAGTGCTGGTGAAAGCTTAGAGTCTCGCGGAGGCGGCATACTGGACCTGCAATGACCTTCCGAAAGCTTGCATGCTGTGTATGGTCTTGCATATTGAAGACGCTTTCCGTCTTTCCAAAGCTACCGGTGATATAATGGTTAGATTTGTCGGCGTAGCGATTATAGATTATCGGTAGCTTTGTGACATCATTGACCACGAGCAAAGTTGGAGTAATCCTCACAACTGGGCCTAGAAGACGCACCATGTATTAGCATCTCCTCCGTGGCCCTCGATTCGCAGGGATTGACGACTTACCATACTTGCGGTGCAAGTCGAGCATATGCAGGTGCTCAGTCCCTTTCAGATTGTAGAAAGTGATATATAGCCGGGTCACGGATGCCCAGAAAGGCCCTGGAAATATCTTGAGGGGATGGAAAAGTCGGTAGTAGATAATTTGATATAAGAACTTCAGAGCGAAATACAAGCAGAACGCCAGACCAATTCGACTGATCATGGCGACAGACAGAACCTCAGAGATAATAGTCACCGCGGCCACCATTGTCACGACTGGTTGAACCGATCGCAATCCTCATGTGAAGAGCGTATTTTTGATTCCGAACAGTCAAATAAATAGCAGACATCCTCTTATGAAGCTATCCTCGGAGCAGCACCATTCCAAGTAAGTGGGTTCCATGTGTTGGGATGGAACCGTTGGGCTTTTTTCGGGTGGAGTGAGGAGGCTTGCGTTGCCTCGTGTGATCCATATCAAGTTTCACAGGTGAGAGATGATCGACTTGCCCCATGCCGTGTACAGGCTAATGTTCCGTTCAAAGACCCCAGGGTGCTGAGCAAGCAGATTTCTTACGAGCGTAAGTAGCGTACGTTTTGTTTATTAACTCGCTTTAGCGAGACAGCCGGAAACTACTCATAAGGGACAAGTCCCCGAGTGGCCCCAAACGGACGGCCTGTCGTGTTAGAATCGGGCTCCACCAGCCGCCAGGGCTCAGATAATTGGGCAATCTCGCCACAAGCCGTTCCACACCCCTACACGCATAGCATGCGAATGGTTTCGACGGCGCAGGCCTCTGCCCTGGACGGGGAAGCACACGCTGTCCGCTTGATGGCCCTGGTAAAGTCCAAACCTTTGCTCATTCAACAAGCTAGGGCTCCTTCTTCAACTAGTTGCCGTACAATCCAACGGTCTTGGGGACCACCCAAACGGCCAAAGCCAAATTTGCCTCTAAGAACAACAGAACAGTGGGAATGATCCAGAAACGGATAGGTGTGAGCTGAAGATGCCGAGACTATATCAACATTCTTTTCTGAACAGAATCCTTTGTCTTTGTTTCACCGAACAACTTTAACTTACTCTAATCTTTCATAGAACTTGGGGCATCTATGGCACTCGAAGGTCGCAAACTCTATCGCGACGCCCTCGTGGCAGGAAGCCTAGGCTTCATCACCTTTGGGTGGGATGCTGGTGTATTGGGAGGAGTTCTCCAGACCCCCGAGTTTCAAGCCGCGATCGGAGTATGTATCGAAAGGCCTGAGATTTCTTCACAGCCTAATAAAATGGACAGAATCCGACAGACACCTATCAAATCTCCATGGTCACGTCGACTTTCTTGCTGGCATCTTGGCTGGGATGTATGGTCATAACATTTTTGGGTAGCAGGCTCGGACGCAAGACGTGGATTTTGGTGGGCAATTTCGTGGAGATGATTGGCACCATCATATGTGCGTCATCGTACTCGTACGGACAAATGAGTAAGTATAAGGTCCTGGAATTTTTGGAGAGCATTAAGCAAATTCGTCCACAGTTTCTGGCAGAGTGTTTATTGTACGCTTTTCGGGTTCTTGATTGACGTCCAGCAGCTGATGCAATGAATAGGGAATCGGTAATGGATTTTTGACGTCAATGATCCCTGTCTACGTCGCCGAGATGGCGACTCAGAAAGAGCTCCGCGGCCGAGGCGTTAATGGTATGATTGCAGCCGCATCTCTCGGAACCGCGCTTGCATATTGGGTGTAAGTATATTCTTCCCAACTTCCGTTTAAATCTAAGGTCTGACCTCGGCCACAGCGATTTCGGAATGGTCTTTCTTAAAGACAATTCAGTCATCTGGAGATTCCCAGTAGCGCTTCAAGCGCTTTTCGCCATCCTTACCATAGTGGCTTTCGGGAAACTGCCGGAGACACCCCGCTACTTTTACATGAAGGGTCAAGATACAAAAGCTGATGCTATTCTTGAGCAAGTCTATGGAGCCCCGCTTGATCAGCCCCAAGTTCAACATGCTAGAGCTGAGATTTTGGCCGCTCTTGAACTCGAGCGTGCCGAGCAAGCAGCCCTCAAAATTACCGACTTCTTCCGGGACACTTCGAGCATGCAATCCGCTCGCAGGATCCGTACAGGTGTGATCTTGGTCGGTATCGCGTACTTGATGGGTATCAACGTCATCTTCTACTACACAACGACGATCTTCCAGATATACATCGGCCTTGAGCCTCTGACCGCCTCTGGACTCGCTGGCGCTTCGACTACGCTCCTCGCCATCACAAATTACATGGGAGTCTACTGGCTCGAAAAATTTGGCAGACGAACTTGGCTCCTCGCAGGGGCAAGTCTCCAGACGGTGTTTATGGCTATCTTCACTGGGCTATTGTCATCTCCTGGGCCTAAAACTGGAGCTGCCGCAGCCGCGATGCTTTTCGCCTGGATTGCGGTCTTTGGTCCTACATGGGGTCCAGTAACTGTAAGCTGGCCCTTTGATCCAATAGGCTCTGTTAGCTGAGAATGTCTACTCACCATACGCACCCCAACAGTATGTGTACGCTTCCGAGATTAACCCTCTCAGATATCGCCATATTGGATTCGCTCTCAGCGTGTGCGCTCAATGGCTTATGTCGTTCGTCACCGTCTTCGCGGGACCAATCGCCATCGCCGACCCCAATGTCGGATGGAAGACGTGGATCTGGTTTTTGGTGTTCAACTTCATTGCTATTCCATTTGGTAAGCCCTGGACCGTTCCAGAACCCTTTTGTCGTTTCCACAGCACCCAGCTAACCAGGAGATACAGTTTATTTCTCCTGCCCTGAAACCCGCGGTTATACCATGGAAGAGATCGATCTGATCTTCATGTTGGACAAGGTTAAGGACACATCGGCCGCAAAGACTCTGCAACGAGAGGGCGCTGAAGAGTCTGCCAGCTCCGCCGCGAGTATCAATGAACAACGAATCTCCGCCGAAAAGAGCGCCGCATGAAAAAGTTCTCAGGAAGCGCCGGGGCTGGTTTCTGTGAGTCCGCATCAGTTGGTGAAGTTGAAAGCTCTGTGCCTGAGACTTTTATCAAGTGGCTGCTCAGCCATAGGCTCTCCTCGCCCTGCGCAGGTTAAAGCGGCGACATCACGTGGTTTCAGACCGCTCAAAGAGCGGAATTGGATCGCCTAGAAAATATGGTTGTGAAGGAGATGTTGAAAGAGGACAAGGAATATCAGCTTTTGGCAGGGACGAACTTGGATCAAGTCACCAGATCTCCTGATACTATGGTACATAGTAAAGCGTCGACAGAAATGGAAGACAAAGTCTGAGGCGGATATCGGAGCGGATCTCGTACCCGGGGCTTCTAGCGACCAAGACGCTGAGCTATTGGGGGAGTCGTAGGCCAAACTACGCTGATAGAAGCCATCTCGCAGTAGTCACGCTTGCGCAACCAACAGGGAGGGCATCTTACAATGACTTGTTCAACAAGTCTCGACCCGAAGAAGTTCGATTACATATGTCAAATTTTGTACGACGCGCCGTTGCTCCCTCAAGTTGGACCGTTCTTCCCCGTCATTCCACTATGTTCTTTCATCCTGATGGTGTTATTACCTAAGTCGGTTGCGATTGCATCGATGGCAGGACAACGCGGGGCAATTCTTACATTCAAAATTGTATTCCGCCAGATAATGGTAGCAGACTTCACATTGACTGTCGGGCTGCCCACGATATTTCCATTGCGAACGTCGCCCATGCTCGCATCCCACATCTTCATAATGGATTAATTCATCCACACCCGGGCAAAGACATCGGCTCTGTTCTCTTCTGCCGCTCTCGCCACCATGGCGTCGTACATCACTTGGTCCGCAATATTGTGTAAACGCGTAGGGATGTGATAGTATACGCGTGTAAAAAGGTGTTCTGTAGCATAGTACGGATTGCCGAATTAGGCCTAGACTTTTCTTCATGAGGTTAGAACATTGGAGCTCCGGGAGCCTGCGGCCAATCAATCCACTCTAGCCATTTTAAGATCCCACTCCAGTCCAATTAACAACGCCCTCCAATCCCATAATATCACTGATACTGGCAAATGCTGGAAGTCAAACCTGAGGTCGTGACAGGACTTGGTGTTGACGAACATGCAGCTCTCAATGCTATGGGCGTACTTGGCTGGCAAGGTCATCTTCCTCATTGACAAAGCGACCAACGAAGAGATAGACGAGCCAAAGAACAAAGTCGTCGACATCGCCGCGGAATTCTTGGAGAGTAATACTGCCATCGGCGCCGGTGGTCAATGGGAGTGCGGCACCCGAGGAGATGGATGTCCGTGACGGCCACGACGTAAAGGAAAGTGCCCAGACGATCGCAGTAAGTATAGATGCGCTACAGTTATACATTACTATTCCATGGAGGAGATGCGGCATTGATCAAGAAGTCTACTCATAAAGTAGTCGATTATGCCGCCATTGTCCTGCTTTTCTCGCTCTTTGTCGTCCTCTTCGGCCACCGTCACCACATCCTCATTGCCCGTGGGAGGTGGTCGGGGAGCTTCATCTCCAGGGACTGTTGTGGACGACTGCTTTTCAGCATTGCCTTGGGGCTCTGGATTGGAAAGCGCTGGCTTCTGGTCGATGTCGGTGGACGCCATGGGCGACGCTGGTCAAGCGTATCGGGAGAAAGACTGACGTGCACAAAGGAAATGGCCAATGGATGGTGGACAGAAAGGACGTCGGAAGAACTGCCTCGACCGTACAAGAAAATGCGGGCAGGTACGTTCCCATGGAGCCCGCGTCCATCAACTTCTTGATTCGTCATACACTTAGCTAATAGTAGAAAGGTTCCGTCGGGCGGCAGGGGTGCACTAGTCGTGCTGTGATTTTCAGTGACGCCAGGGCTTTGTAAAGACCCTAGGAAAGGATCTACGCATCGTACACGCTTCGAGAACTATATAGTTTGACGTCCCCCGGACATCTTCGAAATAAGACAAAAGTCCTCCGTAAGATCAACCCTGTGTCTTAGCTCTGAGCGGAGTATGCATATGCCAAGGACTTGGCGTGTCGCAACTGGTAAGTTGCAGTGCGGATCAGATAAACTACAGATCTTATCTCTTCCGCACATCGTTCAGGATCCATCTCCATGGCGGTCCACTGCCGGGCAGTGTGTCTGTGGGAGAATCTGCTCGACGGAGGCATCCGCAGTAACTCCAACTACTAAGAATCCATGCTCTTGACGTCTTTGGTAGTTGTCTTCGAGGCCGGAGTAATAGCTTGTCTTCGGTTGGGAACCGTTTCGTTCTTACGATTTGCGTCTTGATACCGCCTGTAACAATGGTGATGACTTTGATCCCGAGCAGCACCACCTCAATGCGTAAGGTGTTGGATGGAAATCTCTTGAGTGACCTCGAGAGATATGGTCTCGGTATCTTAAAAGGCTTTAAGAGCTTCGGCGGTACGGGCGATCACAAAGACATGCCATCCACGTTTATGAAGCGCGACGGCCAAAAAGGTGAAGATAGGCCCCCTTACCCTGTGATGAGACGGATTTGAGTCACACCGTTGTGGATGCCATCTTGGTTCGGATTGCAGCAAGTGTTTCACAGGAGCTCCGCCAATTGTAAAGCGTTGTCCTCGGTATTCCAATAGTCAGAGATATCGAACTATTTCTGTTGAAGTTCCCTTGCTCCGTTGAGCCATCGTCATTGCCAAAAGACGTCGTCATCATGACATAACCGAGTCATAAATACTCCGCTGGGTCTAAATCTGGGACGTACTCATTGTGGTCTGGGCCCATCTTATGTGTGAAACCTGTGAGTAGCTTATTGCCCTAGTTAGAGGGACCACCTTCTCTGAAAGTAGTCAGCAATACTAGAGTAGATAGTCAAGAATTAGCCACAGTAGTGGTAGGCTGAACATTCAGCAAAGGGAGTGGCCCGGGTAAATGAATACACCCCCCCCCCTTTCACACACACTCTCTCTCTGCGGCGATGTTTGGCCGCCACTTGTTGCGCTCACTCTTCCCTTGAGGCTCCGTCAACCTGTAGTATCGGCGGTAAAGAGAGCATGTCCTCAATCAGTAATTGAAGAGATGCTGCGCTTCGTGGCCAGCTTCAAATTGGAAGCCACGCTTTCTCCACCCATAGGAGTCCATTCTTCAGCCATTCTGTGGTATTTGCGTGCTTATATTTGTGAAAGCCGTGTTCTCCATCTGGAAGATCCAGCCTTAATTCTGAGTCCGGCCACAACTCTCGCGCTTGCCTGACAAATTCGACGCTCCCTGCGGCTGGAATTCCCGTGTCTTGCTTTCCATGGTATATCCACAGTCTTGCTTTTGGCAAAGCAGAATATAGTCCCAGATTGACTCTGTCCACCGGATAGAGTATGTCTTCCGCTCCCAGGAATTCGCAAAATCGTCCATGTTGAATGACTGCCGTTCCTAGATCACCTCTCGCGGGCGGAAGAACACTTGATACTACCGAACTTGCTTTCATGGTCTCGAGGTGATTGTCAATGATCGATTCGGGTAGCATCGGTACACCGGTCATCACCTTTTCAAATTTCTGCGTGTAATATGGAGCTCGAAGATCCAGCATCGGATAGGCGGCGATCGCAGCTCGAAGCCCGGGAAGGCCAGACAGGGCGGCCTGAACCACGAGATAACCTCCCGCTGATTCACCTTCAGCTATGATACGCGTTCCGTCAATCTCGAGTGATGGATATAATGAAGATAGGAATGCCTGAAGCCCGCATTCAGACGCCCGGAGCCAGTCCCAGAAAGATGAAAGGTCGTCCAGGATGTCTAACCCTTTGCATTCGGGCATCAAGCGGTAGTCGGCGGAGATGATAGGGACGGCCTGCTCATAAGCATATTCCAAGAGGTAGGCGGGAAACCATTCGGGATACAGCGACATGCCAGTAAACTGATATGGTCAGTTCTTGTCTTTCTGTACTTGCGAATGACCAAAATGCACGCACCATGCCACCGCCATGAAACCGAACAATGATCGGTACTTTCGTGAGACCTCTCGTTGTGGACAATTCCACCACCAAGTTCCTCGGAATGAAAACATCGGCCACTATTTCATGCTCGCGGACTCGTTTGTAGCTAGTCTGATGTACTTCGAACTGGGAATACTTAGGGTGTTTTATCAGGTCATCCATCGCCTCAGACGCATCGAAAAACTCAATTAGAAGTTAACGCCGGAGGTCTCCAAATAGTTGAACTTCAAAACAAGAGGAATGGAGGGGACATGCGATGCTTCTACTTAAATGTTGAACAGTAGCCAATACCCCGCTATTGGAAAAAGGGTTACGATTCCTATTCAGGATATAGGGGGAGAAAAGGGGTCAACCAAACGTGTATATACTGGCAATCTGGCAGGACCGGTGACCAACCAGAAAGAGTACTCAGTAACAATCAATGAACGCCCACTGGTTTGACAATAAAAGTTTTTGATGCTGATCCACGTGATATTTTCCAAAAACTATGTGATTTTACGGAGGACTCGTCCTATTTCGAAGCGTGTACGAAGTGTACAACGCTTCCGAAGGTCTTTACAAGCCTTGGCGTCGCCACATATCACAACTACTCCAACGGTACGTCTCCGATTAGATCACGCCCCGAACCTATCATCGGTGATGTTATCTTGCGTGAATATTTCTTCTATGCCTTCAGCTTGTTTCAAAATGCGTCAGGTTAACGATCGTCTCAATCTCCCGTGTGAGTACAGGCTGGCACAATGGTGAATCTGGTCTGGGAGGAACTGATCGACGCAACCCGGCCCTTTTTCCTCAGATATCATCTTCACAAGCCGCTTCTACTGCATTTGCACAATCCTTTGCAATAAGAATGAGTTCACCATGTACAGCGCCATTTAGTTTCCAGCTAAGGCTGGAAAGTTAGATGACTAACAATACTTCACAAGTGATCTACGCTTTGCTATCAACTGGTCACAGGATCACAGGCCATAGGCACTGCGGCTGGTTTGGGCTCAATTCACGACCCCGAAGAGGGTAAATGAGGATGTCAGCCTTTGGGCCATGTAAATTCCTCCCACGAAGCCTTAATCATACGGCGATAACACCGTCAAATGACTGATATAACCATCTCCTACCTGAAGGGTGATACGAACAGAGTTCTTGACGCAGAAGATCCTGAGAGGACCAGGGCCATAGCCAAAGGTGTGGCGCAGGAGGAAACTAAAGCGAAGTTGGAAGCGCTATATCTGGGTCACCATTGAGAAAACCTTCCAGGAGCGCTTGTTTCTGTTCAAATTCGATGGCGCCGTCCTCACCATTGCATGCTCGTGTATGGCCTCTTTCCCGTGTCGTCCCTTAAATCGTGCTGACCACTCGGCCCGGCCGCATATTTTATTACATATCGGGACCAGCCCAATATCAATAACCCATTTGTATCCGAGGTGGGAGGCCCGGCACCTTCCCTGTGTGCTAGAAGAGGACGACTCATTCTTCCACAGGAAAGAAGATCTTAGTCTGTACAGGGAACAGCTTAGCATCATGCAGCTTGCTGGACTGTGGGCTACCTAATCGGCGAGATCCCGAGTAACCTGATTCTCACGCGAATTCGACCGTCCATCTGGCTTCCGACATTGAAGGTCATCTGGAGTGTCCTTACCTTCTGCTTAGCCAAATGCCGCTCGGATGGTCAGATTTATGTTGTTCGCTTTCTAATAGGTATGCCTCATCACAGCCGCAGCAGCATTTTGAGCGTGTTCACAGATTTGACATGCCCTGCTGAGAGCGACTTCTACCCTCGGATGAGTTACGTGATTGAATCATGGAACCGTTGTGACGGACTTGGGCCGACGTTCAGGTATATTCCCAGCCTCAGCGGGCATTTGGACTATGATTTCTAGTACCTTGTCGCAGAAGTATAGAGATTGAACGGAAAAGGCGTGCTGGCTGGCTGGTAATGGTAGGCCCTCATCAAGTAGCTTTGGACCTCCACAAGTTAACAACCACCAAGCCGTTCGTGGTGGATGGGATTATCTCTCCGCCGGTGGCACTAGCCGGTTTCTTCTTGGTTCCACATATGCTCGAAAACTCTAGGGCCTGGTATTTGAAGAATGAGGGGCTGTGAGCGTTCCATGACTGTGCCTGCCATCAGGCTGACCTCTATGTCAAGAAAGTTGCCTTTGGCCAAAGACGAAGGGGAGGCGCTATCGGGCACCATATACAAGATCCAAAGTCAAGAAGATCTTCAACAGCTGGCACGTACCTATCCTACCATGCAGGGAAGATGTCGGTGGAGCAATCACACGCGAAGGTGAGTTGCTTGATTCCTCTGTGTAGCCTATATGGATCTCCTCGTGAATATGGTCAAACTAGATGAACTCCAATGCGCTCTCCATCCACCGTGTATGTTTCCTCTTACATAATTTTATGCACGTAACCCCCCGCTACACGAAAAATTTGAATTGCACATGTCGGGCCTTGGCTCTCTGTCATCGGCTAGAATTGGTTCGCATCATGCATTTCCGATATCGCATGATCTCGGGCAAAATGAGTTGACCTTCCAAGCATCATTTCACTTTCGGGGTGGAGACTAACAGAAGAAAGTGCATTGTTGTTCACCTGGGAAGCAGCACCATCGGTTCGATGGGTGGTCCATTGACGATTATCTTATCAGATGAAAATTTTTCGTTGCCCATGATCAAGATCAAGTAAGTACAACATGCTCTCCCGAGCCCAAGCCGGCAAACTCGGCGGGCAGGGATATCTGAGTGGGAATAAAGTTATCTGATTTCCTTTTGAGTTATCTGATCCGGATGGTATCCGCCGCCAAGCATCTCCAGTCCCTGCCAGAGGGAAAAAATTTACCGCTGTTCTTTTGGTATTTTTCATACCGGCTTCTAGATCACGCAATGACCTTGTTGCACAGCTCCGCGATTGGATATCGAGCCCCCAGAAGCTAACCACGCAAGGATTTGCTTTCCCTACGACGACCCATGGATCCATTGAGCCTGGCAATTGGGGCGAGGCACTCAATGCATAGGCTTTTCTCATGGATTGTGGAAGCTCGACCTACCAACACATTGTTCTGTTTAGCAGACTCCTTTCCGAAAGAAGGCACTGACGAGCTCAATAATTGCGATGGACAACAACACGGAATTTGATACCACAGCTTTGGAATTGGTGTGTATTGGCTTTGGGACTACAGCTCTTTCGGTCGCTATTGCACTTCATGAAAGAAAGTCTATCGACAAAACGTGGTTTCTGGAATCCCAACCACAAGCAAGATGGAAGCCGAATGCCAGAATCCCATCCGAACGTCTGAGAACGTCTTTTCTCAACGATCTAGTCACATCAGAAAATCCACGGTCCAAATTTACGTTCTTGAACTACCTTCACTCAACAAACCAACTTATTGCCTATGCCAACAGCTCCCAGCTCTGTCCGTCAAGAGAAATGTTTACTGATTATCTGCGATGGTGCGCAGCCTGTTTCCAAGACCAAGTCAAATTCAACAAGTGTGCGACGGCAGTATTACCTCTGAGACGCAAAGATGGCCCTGTGGAGCTCTGGAAAGTGGTGTATTCCGACTCAGAAACTCGACAGCAAAGCTCTGTGGCAGCAAAACAAGTCGTTATTGCGGTGGGAAATCAACCAAGAATTCCTCATCTACTATCGACCTTTAATATTCGCCCGCGCGTCGTTCATTCGTCAGAGTGTTTGGATGTCATTCCTTCGGTATTATCAGCAACTGGCGGGAAATCTCGGCTTGCTGTCGTTGGAGATGGTCAAAATGCAGCCGACGTGTTTCATTATCTTCAAGGCATAAGAGAGGACCACCAGGTGACTTGGTTTACTCGAGATCCGGTTCTCCAAGGGATGGACGAGACACCGTTGTATGTCATTCCCTTCCCCGGATTTCTTTTTCCTCTGACTTCTTTCGTATAGTGTTGTCGACAGTACCAAGCGACCAATATCAAAGATGGGACAAGTTTTACCCATTGAGCTGAGAAGAAGGACGGACGAAAGTTTTGTTCACGAAACTCGATCTGTCATAAATTGTGAACTTCTGAAGAGCATTTATGAGGTACAATACACCCAGAGTGTGAAGCAAAGGGACTCCAAAAAGTGGAAATGCCAAATTAAGCTCCAAAGTCAACTTCTGAAGGCTGAAGAGACCCCTGATCGACGGATAAAACTGTCATTCCACCCACCTGATCCTGAGGAAGCTATGACCGATGCGAATGTGTTCGACCTGGTAATTGCCGCCACAGGTTACGAAAGGAATGAATACAAAAGACTAATGGCCCCATTGATGGATCTTCTGGACGGTCGCCAGATTACTGTGAATCGTGAATATAACGTGAATTTTCGTGTTGGTTCTTTGGCTCCTGGATGCAGTATCTGGTTGCAGGGATCTTTCGCAGATGGAGAAGATGTAAGCCCCATTCTCTAACTGATTACAACGAAGCTGATTATTTGAATAAGATTGATGACGATCTCTATCCGATGCTTGCGGAAAGAAGCAGAATTGTAGTGGAGTCAATGTTGAAGCAGCGAAGTCAGCAATCTCAAGTGTCAATTTCGGAAGACAGAAGTGCAAGATTGTGATGCTCTGAACCCCATAATCATACGATGTTGGGGGAAACTGTGAGGAAATGTAAACGTGCGGACCTCTTTGAAAAGATGAATACACAATCCTGTAGATCTGCGAATCCAAAATCAAGAGCCTTACAAGCATCACAGTCAATATCTACTACATGTCTATAGTTTTGGTCTCCCTTTAGCAATAATTTCTTCAGCCAATCTTGCAAGCTCAAACTTTCTGACTTTGCCACTCCCTGTCAAAGGAACTGTGCTCGGAATGTCGCCTTCGCCCAGCCAGAAAACAAATGCCGGGGCCTTGTGTCTTCCAAGATGTAATCTCACCCAGTCGCGTACGCCATCATCACTGAGATGAGAATACCTTACCTCTCCAGTAGATGCACGTTGCAAAAATGCTGCCACAACTTCTCCATATCTGCTATGCTTTACGCCTACCACTATGGCACGTTCAATCGCTTCATGCTGGACCAATCTCTCTTCAATTTCGAGAGGGTAAATGTTTTCTCCGCCTGGAGAAAGAAGTCAGATCTAGTAATCAATTCGAAACGGCAACGATGCTCTCACCTCTGATGATTATGTCTTTAAATCTGCCCGTGATTGTGCAGGTTTTGTCCTCGTGGAAAACAGCTTCATCGCCCGTGTGTAGCCATAAAACGCCACTTTCATCACGAATCATCACCTCAGACGTCTTCTCGGGGTTCTTCCAGTATCCTCGCTGTAATTGATACCCGGCGATGCAAAGTTCTCCACGCTCACCCACAGGAACAATTTTCCCATGGCGGTCAACTATCTTTGCATGTGCATGGGGCATGATTTGACCAACCGTGGCCAGTTTTAAATCGATGGGATCATCATGAAAAGCATTGAAGCATGTTGGAGATGCCTCTGTTAGTCCTGGAGTTAAAGCATTAGAATATATTCCGTGACAAAGTGGGAGGCAATCCTTCTTACCGTAGCTACTGGTGAATTCAGTCATACCGAACTCGTTGACCAAGAGTTCCATAAGATGTCGAGGAACTGGAGCTCCTGCAATGATCCCTGTCCTTAAACGATAGCAATCGAAGTCTGCCGGTCGAGGCAAACTGAATATGGAATCGAACATGGCTGGAACTCCGTGAAGTGCCGTACACTGCTCCTGGGAAATTGCATGTAGACATGCTGCAGCGTCAAAAGTCTCAGTGGGATAGACTACTTTTCCACCATGAGTGAGAATTGCCAGAAGTCCAAGTACAAGCCCGAAACAATGGAATAATGGTGGTGGACAACACAAAACATCCTCTTCGGTGAGTGCCATGCGATCACCAATAAATCGGCTGTTGTTGACCAGAGAACTATCCCGTATCAGGTTCCACATTCAGCATTTCAAAAAGCAACAACTCTTGCACTCACTGATGAGTCAACATCGCAGCTTTTGGATTTCCTGTTGTCCCGCTGGTGAATTGAAAGTTACACACGTCATGAGTGCTCAAATTTTGGGAAATCTCGGACAATAGCTCGTCGGGTTCTATGGCTCCCATTTCCGCAAGGTTGGTATACGAGCTGAATTGACCAGGGTAGCCGCGAAGAATGACAATATCGTCAACAATTCCGGGATTTTTCGTCAGGTGGTGAAGAAGTGGCCTGTTGTCATGATGGCTGATTCTAGGTGTCGTGAACAGGATTTTGCATGCTGAAGCCATTAGAAGCGTTCCATCTACCTCGTGTCACGAGGCTTACCAGTGAATTTCAACGCATACAGTGCTTCAGATGTGGTGTAGGTGTTGTTCAAAATGACCAGGATGCATCCGACCCGCATACAAGCGAAGAATACAGAGACGTACTGTTCACAATTTCCGGCCATGATTCCAATTCTGTCACCTGGGCGAACTCCTCGAGCAGCAAGAGCTTTTGCCAACCAGATGCTCTCTTGCTTTAGGTAGTCGTATGTCCATCTTGCTCCTGTCCATGGCACCACCAGACATTCTTTGGAGCCGTACCGTCCGCATTGAAAATCGAGAAGCTCGCCAAGGGTAAAGTTTAGTAATGGGACTTCGGAACTTCCATGGAAAATAGAGAGAGGAGGAGGCGGAAATAGTAACGAGTCGGTGTTCGTTTCCAAAGCCATCGCAACCAAGGATTATCTGGTGTTCAATGATCGATGTATCGCTTAAGGGATCATAATGTTTTACGTTGCTTCAAGTCTCAAATTCTCCTAAAGTGTGAAAGCACGTGCGACTCGTATCATCACAGAAAGGCTTGCCGAGAGGTAGGGTTCCTCCTTGTGAAGCGGTCCGGTCTCGGACGACGTAGAGAGATCTCAATAGTTACTCCCTCCAAAATTTTCCTCGGACCAGATCACCGGCGATGAGTTTGCATGCTCATCAACGTACTTTTTTTTTTTTTTCCGTGGGTCTGGAAATGCAACCCCTGTCGATGAATGCTGGAAACAATTGATTCTTTCGGTTAAAGTATGTATGCGGCTCGGTAAGGATTTGGGAAACTGATGGTCATGATCTGGCTCCCGTCCCAATGCGTGACCGGGGTCGGGCTGAAAGAAACTTCCAATGCTCGTCGGTCACCTAGTGAGAAGGTTTTTCGATCCTCGCTACGAGGACTTCCGCACTCTTACTTGTCAAATTGAATACGAGACCGCAACTCTAGACCTCGTGTCGCAATGCATGAAGACGTATCGTCTCATATCAGAGTGTTTTAGTGATCATGAAGCGAAATGACAACATTATATCTCGAAGCTAGATATTGCGACTCTGATGGGACCCCCTTAATGCAAGATTCGTATTTTCCTTTCCAAAACCCATCGTCATTTCACTCCGATTTTGATGAACTTTTACCACGATTTCCTGACGGATAATTTGACAACTCTCCGGGTATCGGATTTCAGCGGCGAACCCGGAACCGCTTGAGCCCCCATAAATCCTTGCATCAAGTTATTACTTCTGTGCTTGTATTGTTGCTAGTCAAAAATGGAGATTGTGAATAGAGAATAGTTATGACTGAATGCTTTTGGATTGGTCAGCGATTGACCTGAAATGCTTTACAATCTACCAAAGTCACCAAGAGGGTTCTATATACCGACACCAGCTCATCTTAACCTTTACCTCAGCCAGGGAAGATCTGCATCTGGCTTCTGAGCAAACAATGTGACAGTTCCAGCCAGCTCCAACAGCATTCCTGTAGCGAAATCAACCCAAGATTCGCTTGTCTCAATTCCAATGCATATTTCTCCTTCTTTTGGAAACGACACAATTTTCCACTCCTGTGCTGGTTCAGGATGAGGATTCAAGAGGCCAACTCTGCAAGATCCTGATCCGAAAGGTAGCGTGTCGAAATAATCAATGTCTTGGTGGTGAACAGGTGAGTCGAAGAACTTTGTATCCGAGGGCCAATTGGTACAAGCTTGGGTGATTTGTTTTAGTCCAATCGCTGCGTACTGGCCACATTCGATCGCTTGATTCTGAACAAAACGAAGAAATTCAATTACTGTAAAACGGTTTTCGAAATCTATCCTCACATGATAGCAAGGGCCCATAATTCTGTCCGCGTCAAAGTGCTCAAGGCTGCGTCCTGTGACCACACTTCCGAAGGTCACATCCCGTACATTGAGGTGTCGTGCGAGAACAAAAGCCCATGATGCAGTCAGCAGTGTTGCCACAGTGATATCCTTTGGTCCACTCTCAACGTCGACATTCCGGGTAATGAAAATGGATTCGGATGACTTCTCAATACCAAATGGTGGATGCGACATTGAAAGAGATGATCCAGCTAACAATCCGCTCCAGCACCTAATGCATCACCGTTTCTCCTCCAAAACCGTACGATAAATGTATGATGAGAACGAAGGCGTTTCCAGTATTTGTTTGCCTTCGTACGGGATGCCAATTTGCCACATCAATTCAGCGAGAGATATTCCGTCGTACTGGGCGTGCGAGATTCTCAGCACAAAACAATTCTCGATCTTCCCTTTGATGAACATGAATTTGAGGGAAGTTGAGCCCAAACGGAACGGCTTTCAATGTCAGCCTCACAAATTCGATGCACCGAAGATTCCAAATCTTGGTCGGCGTCATATTCTTCAATGGGCACATCCCAATCTTGTAAAATAACTTGAAGAGACTCCCCGTCATGATCAATGAAGACCGTTCGTAAGATCTCATGAGAATGAACCAGTTCTTTGCAACATCGAGAACGCCTTGTTTTATCGATTGAATGGTCAAGATAGAAGAAGTGGTACTGCACGGAGCTGCGTGGAGAGAAAATAGTCGCTTCAATGTCGAAGTGTTGCCGCTCTGTGGTGGGCAAGATATCCACTATTGTTCTGCTTGGGTCTGCCAGGCGTGTTTGCACATGACTAAGAATAAATTCGTCAACGTCTGGAGTGTTCAGACTGGAGAATGGTTGATGGATTTTGAGAACTTCGTGGGGAGGGGATGCTTGTTCTAGATTTTGAGCCATTTCTGCGCTGCTACCGACAATTTGAACCCATTGAGTCGAACTGCTGAAACCAATTTCATGGCTTGAATTGAGTCTCCTCCTAAGCGGAAGAAACTGTCATCTTGATTAAGCTCTTCTGGCTCGATACCAAGAACTTGACTCCAAAGCTGTTGAAGAAGTGTCTCCTTTTTACTCATCAGACTTGCCAAATTCTTCCGTTCTGCTTCAACAAATTGTTGACATGCTGATTTCAATTCCGAAATGCGTACTGCGGACAGTTTTCGCGACAATGATTTCAGGTCCTGTCGGCAGCTTGTGGGAGTTCCCACCAACTCGCTTGTGACATATAAAGATGGAATCATGTCCCAGGGGAGACGCTCTCCAAATGCCCTTTCAAGGCCGGCAACAGACTGTGCCGGCAAACGTGGTAATCGCATGAAAGACAGACCAGACAAGTCTTGAGATTTGTCTCTTTCGTATTCTCCAATATCCGCTATCGGTGCATGATTTGTTTTGCTCTCTGGCCTGTAAGTGAAGAGTGCAGTAAGTAGAGGAGCCGTGGAAGAAGTTTCTTCGTCTCGAGGATGATGAACTTCCACCACTATCTCGATGGCTTCTGGCAGAAGATCTCGCCGTTCAATTTCAAGGAGATCAATGTCTCGCCCTTCAAACATGACATGCGTGTCCTTTCGACCTACAAAAACAATTGTACCATTGCTGTCGTATTTCACTAGATCCCTGGTTCTGTGAACCCGACCATGACGACCAGCGAATCCTCCATATCCTGCGATCAACCAAGGAGAATCCTCTAGGAAATCAGAAGAGCATAAAGGACCTTCAAAGCATGAGTTCTCCAATCGCGCCAATAGGTGTCAGCTTATGGGTGCGTTTTGGGCCCACAATCCAGGAGACGACTGGAGGCGGATACGGTTGCTGACTGGTGAGATTTCTCGAATGGTTAACTACTTGTTAAGCGATGTGGGCGCATGCTGATTTCTGCTCCAGATTTCAGAGTAGTCTTGGCCACTGATGCATCTGGTATTGCATAGCAACATTTCTGGATGGGAGAGCAACTTTTGTACGACACAATCGAATTGAGAAAGGACTCTTTGCATCTGTGATGTTGTGATCACCCTGGAATCGAAGCTTGCCACCACCAAATATCCATCCGTGTTCAATGAGCACACGAGTATCAACGGATAAGTATTGAAGTTGATCGCTTCCCCGGCGGCTTCAATGTGTGACATGGCCATGAAGTCTGCGAATATTCTGCAATCCGGTATGCTCATAGGACATTCTTGCAATTGCTTGATCATGAATGGTATCGAGATACTCCTTGACTGCCCAATGATAGTTGGAATTGTAATATCACACCTAACGTGTTTATGTACCGTAATAAAATGCTCGAGTTGAGAGTCAGGCTTGCTCAAATATGAGCGGTATGGCAATGCAGGGAATTGAGACCCAGTCGCACCTCGAAGTTGAACTCGCCAATATTGCTTTGAATTCTCGCGGACAGGATCCACCAGATATCTGATGAAAAGCTTCATCTCTGATGGGCGCACAGTTTTCTCCCCTGCGTAGCACCGTCTCAAGCGTTCAAGGATCAGTAGTGTCGACCACCATCGTACAATGCATGATGGACAGTCCACACAAAATATGTTTTCCCATCTCGGTCGCCGATGATTCCAAATCTTGTCAAAGGAGAGCCGAGCTTTGTTGGAATGCTTTTGTCCCAAGTACTCTGCAACGTTTTGGCCACTTTTCCAAGAAAAACTATCTCGGGCAACCAGTTGCATCAAGCCATGGCTGCTGAATTGGGCTATTCTGGTTCTCAGGATTGGAGACTGAGCGACTGTATCTTCCCAGACCTTGATGAATTTGCTCATATCAATGTGGGTCGGAATCGCCGCTACTCTTTGTGCAACGTAGACTTGAGAATCCTTTGCCGGGAAAGGCATCAAAACTTCTTGAAGGGGTGTACACGGGTAGATATCTTCCACCAGTGAGGGTTCAATACCACATATTTTTGCTGCCTCGTCACAATCGATCTCAGGAGGCCAGGATTGGCTGATCAAGGGGAATGTCGCCACATCTGGTGGTGACGTTGAGAAAAGGCTTTCAGTGTTCAGCGCCATTTCATAGAGAATTGGATGACTGAAAATTTTGGCGACGGTTAAGACAAGGCCCGACTCTCTCGCTTTGGCTACGAGTCTCATTGCCGAGATCGAATCACCGCCCAATCCGAAGAAATGGTCGGTGTTGGAGATTTGGTCCACATTGACATTCAATGTATGACACCAAATCTGTTTGATCGAAGCTTCAATTGGGGTGTCCGGAGCTGATCCGGTTGTTTCGTTGAGCTTAGGTAAATTTTGTACGGCCAGGTTTGATCCCAAGTTCTCGCAACCGTTTCCGGTCTGTCTTTGCACTGATGAGGATGGGAATTCGAGTAACTGGAATGTATGCTGTCGGGACCATGTATATTAGTACCGATCCAGACAATTGTCATCGATCTCGTTCAAGAGCCTTCTCAAATTGGGAGCAAGCGAAACTCGCTCGACTTCTCCATCAGTACTCTTCTGCGGTTCCGCGACGAATGTGACCAAAATAGGCTCTGAATTGGACTGAGGCACCCTCCGCATCATCGTGAACCGCGTCTGCAATTCTTCTGCTCCCTTGCCAGAAGGCCAAACCGTTCGCCGCATAAGCAATAAAGTACATCACGCCTGATCGCACTCCTGTGGCAATTGCTTTCTTGATACCTTCTGTCTGCGAAGATTTCAGATTGCCTACAAAAATTTGTTCCAGCCGAGAATTGGTGCAGAATGCCTGGACCACGATGACGTTCGAAAGAGCTTCTGATGCAATGGACGCAGCAGACGCTCCATAGTCGGAAACCATCCCCGAATACTTCTCGATATAGTGGCTGCCAACAAATGACATCAAAAAACATGCCGGAACGAGTGAAACCCACATTCCTGCCAACTTTGAATCTTTGATGAAGGCGACAATGTTTTGCGGTGACAAAAAAAGAAAGGCTGGAGAGACATATTCCAACTTTCTCTGATGTTCCAAAGCGAATCGTCTGAATATCGCCATTGAGTCGCGAAGATACTTCTCCGGGAGTTAGATCGTCAAAGAAAGACGGCTCTTGTCGCAAGAGGTTCTTGAAATAACATTCTCGCAATCGTTGGGCCAGTTGAGCACCAGTGAAACTCCAGCAGGCGAGATGAACATAAATGGTGACAAATTGAGCGATGGCAAAATACAGAATGAGAAGAATTTTGGAATTGACATCGCCTTGGTAATCGTTTGTTCCCTGGTTACAAGTTGCAGAATTGGAGTCGTCGACGAGTTGACCAAACAGAATACCGATCAGTGGAAAAGAGATACCTGATGCAATGGCAGAAATCGCCCCCGTGGTCAAGAGAAGAACGTCGACCTTAGTTGGTTCTGCTGAAACGAGCAACCTCAGGTAACGCGTGGATTTTTGAAGGACATGGCTGCCAAAACGCAATGATCGGTTCCTCCGTCTGCTCGCTGGGAGCAGCATGCTGCGTGATGAATTTCATTTTTTGAAATCTCCTGCTCCGATGCTCGCTGCGACCAAATGGGCGATCCTGAAGTTGACATGGTGAAAGATGCAAATCCAAACGGAATTGATAGTCCAGCAGTTCATCGGTATTGTTGTCAGATATTGGATTTCATTTCAAGAAAAGCAGAGGGGTCTTTTGAGCCCGCGGTGTCCTCCGTGTTGAAAATGGTCCGATGTCGGTGTCGTCCAATTGTCAAAGTGTCAAGCTTGCATTGAGATTTGGAGAGCGTAAAGTCCGGATTCGACTCGGATGTTTTGCTTGGGAGATTTTCAGTCTCGTCTCGAAAAAATAAGCTCGCGATCATCTTAAAGAATGCCAAAGGACAAGGGGATACTGTCGAACAAGGTCTCATTGAATGGCCGAATAGTAGTAAGTGCACCTTTATTGAAAAGGGGTTATCACCCCTATGCAGGTTTTAGGGGTAGAAATAGGAGAAGAAAAGGGGTCAAACCAACGTGTATATATACCAGCAATCTGGCAGGACCGGTTGTAAGGTAGACAGAACATTTAATACATCTCAAGTTGTTCCCCAGTTTGACAGATACCTATCCTCTTCAAGGGCCTTGTGATATGATATGCCTCGTTGTGGACGTAGCACCCCGTCCACATTGGGCCTAGCATGGTCACGTGGGCCGCGGCCATCGTGGCCTTTTTGTAGCTTGCACCTCGTTCAGTTAGATGCAATCAGTCAATCTTCTCTCGGTCCAACAATTACGGTCAAGGTGCCAAAGAATTTTAGGTACTTAGCCAATTTATATCTCTATCTACACAACGTACGTCAACGCTGCTGCCTATCAATGGTGATCAGTGCTGCACACTCGCGAGTGCCACTCGTGACCACTCGCCACTCGCCACTCGTGAGTTGCGACGATAAGCAATCACGAGTGGCACTCGCGAGTGGCTTAGAAAGCCAATAAATAGTGGTGTAGAAATCTGATCGGTCCACATGGATAGGCTAACCCCATCGGATCCAATCCATGGCCCACCCAGGAATGGGTAGAATGCCCGCCTTTATCTGCCAGAACCCCCCTGATCGGATCCAGTCTATGGATCACGTGTGGACGATGTTAATCGCGGTGTCCCATGACACGTACGATATCCCCCATCGGATCCAGTCTATGGACCATATGTCGGCGATGTTGATCACCATGTCTTAACGAGGACAATGCTGGAAGGTGTATGCGACGCGAGTGGATATTGCGAGTGTTGAACAAAGGGCTATTGTGTATAGGCTCCACAGCTGAAACACTGGTGAGAGATTTCCATGGACGACGACGTCACTGATGGTTGCTCTGTGTAACGACGTAGTATTCGCACGTCTATAAAAGAAGCCTCAATGCCTCGACGAGTGGATAGAGAGAAGGGAGCATTCAAGACATCTCGAGTTGAACCCAGTTTGACAGCGAGTGTGCAGCACTGATGGTGATACAGCCTAGTGAGCGAGTTTTGCAGAAGGAGTTGGTCTACTGCGAACGATAGGCCACCAATTGTTCATGTCGAACAATGAGCAGTACTCCTTTACTGGGAAAGGGTTATCACCTCTATGCAGGATATAGGGGAAGAATGGGAGTAGAAAAGGGGTTAACCAAACATGTATTTATACAGGTAATCTAGCAGGACCAGTTGCCAAAGAGGTAGATCGTTCAATACATCTCATGTGCACCCCCCCAAGTTTGAGAGTTCAACACCTACTGTCAAACTAGGGAATGCCAACAGAATACGAATTGAATGCTCTGTCTATCTAGCAACTGGTACTGCCAGGTTACCGGTATTTATACACGTTGGTTGACCCTTTTTCTTCTCCTATTCCTACCCTTATATCCTACATAGGAATGATAACCGCTTCTCCCAGTAAAGGGACCTAGGAGCAATAAAATGATTTTCTTGTTCACGCTAGCCATGGGTTTCAAGCAAAGCGAGGTTAACCCGTACGTCGGACAATATATATTTTGGCTAGAGTTCAACCAAGCACAAGATAATGTATCGAAGCACATCAAGCTTGTCGACACAGCCGTCATACCAAATATCCCACGCAGGATAGAAGAGGCCAAGAGCATCATTAGACAACCAGTAAAGGACCTTTATTGAAAAGATCACGTATACATGCAAGTTCTACCGAATGTATGTAGAACAGCTTGAAACGTCACCAGCGAGGATGAAATACAATATGCACATGTGGATGCTCTGGCCGAGGGTTACGGTAAAGATACGAGGATTTCCTTCAACAGCGGGAGCAGCCATTGTACTAATAATCCCCAACCATCCTTGCAGGTTGGACATTGACTACAGAAGACATCGGAAATGCTAGAGTGAGGAGCGGATGGCCGTTGCTCATTCGTCCATAAATTGTTATTAACAAAGGTGTTATTACATTAACAACGTCTTTGGATGTAGGAATATCTTCCTGTCAAGCTTCTTGAATTGAAAGAGTGCTCTGGCTCTCCTCATGAGTGTAGGATAGAGCCAATCTATATATCTATCCAACGAGTGTACGTCACCATTGCTGCCTGTTAATGGTGATACCGCCTATTGAGCGAATGTTGGAAAATATCCTGGTCTGCCATAAACGATTGGCTAGCATTTGTTCAATGGTATTGTCCAACACTTCCTAAGTTCCAGGGTCCGCTACAGTACTACGGGCACAGTTCTCAGGTGCATATTGTAGCCACAGGTCATTCAGGCCAGAACGGTAAGGATTAGTAAGCAGGCTTATCGAACGAAATGCTATTGTAGTGAGAGACCGTAGACATGAGTTCATACGGCAAGACTGAATGCCAAATCCTTGAACAGTAGTCGATGTTCCATATCTAGCTTTGCGTTCCTCATGGAAGCCCAATAATCCTGTGATCCCCATTGACATATCTTGGGAACGTTTTGAGATATTTGATCCTCCATAAGCTTCCTTCACTGATATCATCACGAACCAGAGCTGCATGGTATTCATGAGCCATGACAAAACAATCACGGTCTCCAGTTTTGACACCTTCACCAAGACGATAGTGGTGAGCTTGTACGTTGCACATAACTTCAGCCGTGCTTTGGGTGAGAAGAGCAACCCGAAAGTTGCTCAGGAGATGCAACGTGTCCATCCGTCCCATGGTCTCAAGAAGGCCATCTAGATGTTGCTCCCTTGTTGCGCAAGTGTCTTGCAAATCAAAACCCTTGTCTTTGTATGCAGAAAGATCCAGGCGAACCTCGGCGGCCATTGATGATGCAAGAAGCGAGCGATCGCCTTTGTCAATGCCATAGCTCCATCGTAAACACGCGTCAATCACCCCTTCCCTATCCGACAACCCTGTGGTATAGGGCGATTGCGCAGCTGTCGTGGCCATGAATCAAGTTCGGGCCCAATGCTTCAAAGTATAGCTGATATGATAAGTGGTGCCTCGCCGACGTATCTGAAAAAGAGATGACACTCTACCTGTAGGTAAAGCAACTAAAAAGCCTGAATAGTCTCGCAGAGACTGACTGGAGCGTTAACTGCTAAAGGCTAGATATATGCTAATTGTAACTTTCAGATCTCTAGGACATGATATGCCCAATAGAGAACTTGCATCGATGGACAGTGTGGAGGGCGCATTACGAGTCGTTCCGTTCGACAACTAGGGCCGCGCCTGTGAAAGTATTTCTCGGCAAGCTCGAGGCGGGTACCTCGGACAAAATCTCTAAAAAGGCAATTAAGACACTGCTTTCACACATGGCCTTGGACCTGACAGACAGATCCAATCTCCTCTGGATACCCATAAGCATCACCCGCCTTTTGATTCAGCAACATAGCGTAGGGAAACTAGAATACCTCATGGCTATGTATTGGTGTCCACGGGTTCTTTTAGTTTCTCCCGGAACTGACCATCGTGGGCTATTTTTCCAAGCAACATCGAGAGGTCCATGGAGGGTGCTGCTTACAAGGAGAATGCTTCGTCGACGACAACAAGATTTTGATCGACACGCTGTTAGAATCATGGACCGTCTGCGCAGATGTCGACGCCACAGTACACGTTTCCTTCCCTTGCTGTCGCATCTGTTCATTCGTGCTCCAGTTCATAATATGGCAAGCGCATTGGGTGGTGAGGCTACCAACCCCGGTATGTTTAATGGCACACTTGTGAGAAAGAATTCATACCTTCCCGCTTTCTTGCAGTACTCCCCTAAGGTCTTGAGGTCCCATAGTTCGCCAATAGACACGCCAAAAAGACCGAGAAGGTATTGATGCAGTACTAGGACCGAACATATCAGTCGAGGTATAATGAACTGGCTAGATATGGCGCTTAAGGTGAAAAGAAAGGCAAAAAGGACCACTTACCTAGGTCGGCAATGCCTCCCTCACGGTTACCTATGCGTGGTGGTGTTACCTCAAAGGCCAGCATATCTCCTGCCACTGCAGAAAAGTGGTGATTCCAAATCCACTTTGCAGAATTGATATTTCCTTCGATACCAATAGCTCTCCCTGTATTGAGAAATCTTTGTTGCTCGTCGGCGTCCGCTGCACCAAGGTCTTCAGTATACCCTGATCTGATGACAAGAATATCGCCAAAGAGCAATTTCGTGCCTTGATATTCAGCAATGGACTCGAGATCAGAGATGGTAATGATGTGGCTGTCGAAACAGTTGTATGAAATCCCTTTAGCTTCTGCCCACGCTCTGTAGTCTAGTAGGACTCCCCGCCCGGCCATACCGCCCCGTGCATGCCAAAGGTCGAGCGTTGGTAGTTGTACTTCGTTTTCAAACTTTTCTGCCAATTTCGACTTGACCGGTCGGATGCCGTTGTATGCCAGGCCGGTAGGCTGATGGTAGAAATGGACGAGGCTGTCCCACTGACTGGAACTTTGGGTGTTGAATTCAACTTCATCTTCGAGCGACCACACATTATATGGGCTGTCTTTAAACGTGTGGATTTTATGTCCAAGGCCTTTGCGTCCGAACGGTGGCGTTCTAATCGCACCCATGGGCCAGTTGAGCGAGATAGAAACGCCATCACGAACTTCTTTGGACGCCCTTTGCACCACCTCCGGAGTCAAAAAATTGAGACAGCCTAGGCGATCTTTTTGGCAATTGCTATCGAAAAGGCCCCAGGCGCAGCCCTGTGGCATTTGGCCAACCTTGGGCAAGGAGTCGAACTCCGGGATATCACCAGGTGCGATCATGATTCACACAGTCTCATAGTCGTTTCAAGTCAGCTCATGAAAGTGCACTCAAGGGACCGACCCGGTGTTGATTCTTATGTATTGATGATTGATGCTAAAGCTAAGCCCTCAGAGAGCTTGGGCACGGTTACAATCTGCTTGATCGCGACCGAATCGTACAATACGAGGTTGATTCGATGAGGTGCTTTATTTCCGCTGCCCACACCAAGGCTCTCAGCCTACCATAGGTAGTGATCAGAGCTGAAATGCAAGCCTTTATATGATTCAATGAACAAAATGGAGTTTTACGACTGTTCTGTAGCGAAAAGCTGAGATTTGCCTTGTTCCACCTCCAAGCACTTTGATAGCCTTATAGTCACAGCGTCTTGCCGTCATGCACGGCATGACTGCTCTTTAGTGTTCCCTTCCAAAACAATGTCATCGCCGGTCATTGAACTACCTTGTATTCAATTTGGGCCATTTGTCAAGTCATGAGAAGACCTAGTTCCCAGGACGGATGAGTAAGTAGTCTTCAGATAATATCCCAATCTTTGACTATAAGCCAGATCTCACGGCCCGAAGCTTTGAGCCAACACTTTTCTGTCATTACGGGTCGCTATATTGACAGATTTCTGAAAGTCCAGGCTCTGGGCTACACAAATGGCTCTCGGGATCTGACATTGTGCAAGCTCGCTGGACAGAAATTCGGAGACCACGAGGGGACTCAGCCAGCCAAGCATCGCCGGGTCTGCTGTACTCCGAGAGGTGAACCTTCAGCAAAACTCTCAAGGAGACCTTCGGATAATATACTGCATGTGATGATTGGGCTTTGTCTGGTCCGTAGAATCAAATTTATGATTGGTGGATTGGATATCCAGCTGCTCCCTGCACAGAAACGGGTCTTGCATGCTTCATCTATTTTTCGTACGACTCGTAGGCACCCGCCACTTGTAAACGTGCAATTAATACTCCCCTTGCAAGGCCCCTTAACAGCTTTTTATGCTCTAGGGAACGTGGTGTTGCTTCACACCTCAGGACGAGATGGCAGACAAGAATGTTTACACATTGGAAGAAATCTCTCGACATAATCAAAAGGACGACCTGTGGGTGATTCTCCACGGGAATATTTACGATGTCAGCGAGTTTATGGTCAAGCATCCGTATGTGTTTTTTCCTGCGCTTCACTGGCCTTTAGCCACCGTTTCTAACGGATCAAAAGTGGCGGCGAGGACCTCTTATTAGAGCTCACTAGAGTGAATCATGACGGAACAGCTCCTTTTGAGGATGTTGGCCACAGTGAGGAAGCACGGAAGCTTCTGGAGACTTTGAAAATGGGGAAGTTGGCGGACCTAGTATGTGCTCTCGTACACCCTGCCTGTTCCCACTTCATTGAGCACCGAAATATTTGCACGCTCCAGGGTCAAGGTACCTTAAGCGACTGGCTTTGCACCTTTAAGTGCGTAAAGAATTCGACGGCGTCCTACTCTGAACTACATCTCTTGTACTTAGGAAAACTGACTCTTCCTCCCAGCCTACCGAAAAGGTTTCGAAACTAACCGAAAACGGTCACATAACGCTTACATCGGAGCCCTCATCCTTCGGAAGTTTACCATGGCTGATCGTTATTGTTGTGTTGTTATTAGTGTTTGCTTTGACGAGATGAGCTTGAGGAGGATGTTGGTGAAGAATTTCAGCTATCTAAATCATATATTCCGTGAAGAAATTTCTCATCAGAAACCATTTGTCAGAAAATTCGATTGCTATTTGCAGCTCGAATCTGTTCCTCAAATACCTAGTACGGCTTACCAAACGTAGCGCGATTGGCTTGACTAGATTTCTGTGAATAGATAACGGATATCCTTAGGGATATCGTCTTCTCGATATCTGAAGTCCATAACCGGGTACTTGATAGGGTCTTTCGACTGGTTCGTCCAGTCACCGCGGACAATGGCTTCCAAGCCACCTTGCAAATTTCGGCATCGTATGTCATAGTTCATAATGATCAAGGCGAGTAAAGTCTTGATCTCATTTGCGGCGAAGAAACGGCCTGGACAAGCGTGTTTCCCGTGGCCAAATGTCAGGTTCGTGGAGGTGGTCATAACCCATTGATGCTGATTTTCTTGCCCGGGTTGCTGGCGAAGCCGGTACATTCTCCAAGGGTCAAACGTTTTGGCGTTCTCCCAGAAGGCATCGTCTTGGCTCATGGCAAAGTAATTACACCAAAAGTGAACTCCTTTGGGAATCACGGTGCCATCACTCATTTTCCAGTCCTGAACGGTGCACCGCTGCAATTTCACTGGCATAGTCTGTTAGAATACTTTTCCGTAGAAGGGCTTCAGAACTTACGCGCCGTAAAAGGGCACAGTCTCAACGCTTCAGTAATGAAGCTATCGAGTCTTTTGAGATTGGTGAGTGCTTGCTTGGTCCAGGCTTTTTCTTGCTTGAAAACCGACTCAATTTCGTCGCGTAAATCCTGGTGATACTGAGGATAAATGGCCAAGAAGTATATGGTCTCCAAGAACGAGATGCTGCTGGTGTGAATAGCACCGACATTGATGTGTAGCATTCTGTACACCAAGTGGTCCACACGTCGATCTTCCGGAGGTGCCACATCCAAGACCCACTGAATCACGTCCTCCGGCTTCCTCTTTTTCCACTCATCGTGGCTCCCTGCAGCGACATACTTATCTTCCTCTTGAATTCTTTTTTCAATCACCGGAGCCAGGTGCTTACTCGCCTCGCGTTGAGTTCTATGGATATCCGTTGCGTACCACATGATCAAGGGCTTCAGAAAGCTCGGGTAGGAACGAATCTTTTCGGCACCTCCAAACAAGATACCAGCGTAGTTGATCGATAACTGCTCAAATTCGGCATTACGAGTAAGCTCGATGCCGAAGAGGAGCCTATTAGCAGTACGTGTGACGATCTGGAATCCCAGTGGATACATTTTGTACGACACCCATTCTGTTAATACTAATGAGTTTGACTTCCAAGGGGATCAAAAGCTGGTGGACTTGCCCTTTGACTTTCCTACTCGTGCGTTCAGGGTCAGTTTTGCCTCCTCAACGATGTCAGGTAGCTTCGGACCCAGGCTCTCGGTCAGACTTTTGCGCAAAGGTATATCATGGTGGAATTGGTTATAAGTCATCTTTGGGTGAAGGGTATATCGCAGTTGTGTCAGCTAAGAAGAGCTACGGATCAGTTCAACAATGGCCTTCGACGAAATAGACTTTTGTACTTACTTCGTTGTTTGCCGGCAGGTTCTGTACGTGAGTCTCTGGTGCACGTCGGACCTCTTCGATGAATCGTGGTGCCACAACCATCAATTTACCCTCCGGTCTGGTTACCAAATAGTTCTGTCCTTTGCTAGAATATCTCTCGTAACCAGTAAGCAGTACAGAGAGCGCGTCCGTAACCCATAACTTGGCATCTTCCCTGGCTCCCCAGATCCAGGGCTTGGAAGAAAGCCTGAGAGTCGGTACGTCGGGATATTTCTGAAAGTCGATAAATATCCATAAGTACATGAGAAGACCCAATGCTGCGATAGCGACGGCCACACTCTGCAAAGACCATGGCCCAAGCAGATCGGAAGATATGTGATCTATGAACGTCATGGATACAATTCGCGGCAAGGCAATCTTGAAACTGATGACTCTCTGGATACTGGCTGCAAAATTCACGAAATCTCAGAGTGATACAAATAAGATATCTGTTGCAGTCGTCGAATACTGGACATGGTCCCCCGGGGGGGTGGGGGCTACGTGTATGCTTGCAGTGTGGAGGCAAAGCTCTTGAGTATCGTAAGCTTCGAGTCGTCCTCGTCCAGACCAGCCCAAGCGAAGGGAGATTTTTGTGGAGAACATAGCTACAAATTCTATAACTCCATTGCAATAGTGGATTGCCGTGTATAATAGTTAGGCTACTCGTAGTGATGTTCGATAATTTTCTGCTTGATTCAACAGGTTCGAGCGGCATTCCATTCATACAGGGCAGGATCCCCTCAACGGAACGAGCAGTATATCAGAAGATAATGTTCAAGGCAAAATTACACTGTCTTCTCACCTGATCAATCCCGTATCTGAGAACTCTTTTGCCAAAAACATGTCTAAATCAACTTACATCTCCCTCTTTGCCGCTCACCAGGCCACTTCGGATGTGGATGCTCAAATAGAATTCTACAAGGACTTCGGCTTTGTTCTTGACAGAGATTATGAACCCTTGGAAGGTATGACACTGCGACTACGATCATTGTTGCTGACTCACAGTACCAGATGTTCCCGAAGAATACTACTCCGCCAGAGGCGTCTCAAAATCCGATCTCGTCAAGACGGCTTGCATGAGGCTGCCTGCCGATCCATTCATGCATGTCATTTTCTACCAATGGAAAAACTTGTCGCGAGGTCCTGCTTGGCCTGCACCATTCAACCAGATCGGAACTCGTGGGTTTTCCATGTTGGTTGGAGACGTGAAGGCGGAAGTCTCGCGTATCAAGAAGAGCTTCCCCCAGATCAACTTTCTGTACGACTCAATCACTATCAAGCGCAAATGGGGCAAGACCACCACTGCGCTCTTCATCGACACTGAAGACATCCTCGTGGAGCTTGTCGAAATTGAGAAAGGATCACGGTATGATCCTGCAAAGATCCGCGTCCCCGAGTTCAATGACATGCAGTGGCTCCATTTCATGCTCAACTGCAGTAACTACGACAAAACCATGGAGTTTTATCAGTCCTTTGGGATGTATCATGATTCTGCAGTCGACTTCCGTCCGGAGGTGGGCTTCCATCCATTCGGCAAAGCGCATTACGCAAAGCAATGGATCGATGCTTTCAATTTCAAACAAGACGACCTCACCGGCGTTGGATTTTTGCGATCTGACCGAGATCCTAGCGGAATGCACCTGGAGCTGATGAAATATAATCTTGGTTTGGACCTACTTCCCAAATGGCGCTTCTCATGCTGACCGCGATGATAGAATCGATGACAACCCCGGATGACAAACCTACTTGGCAACAAAAGGGCATTTGTCGATATTGTTTCAGAGTAGAAGACTATGCCGCAGGTCTAGCTAAACAGCGTGCTAGAGGTACGAGGATTTATGTCGCTGATCAGAGAGGTGTGTATTGTTGTCGGTGAAGTTAAAGACTCAAACTGACTTTGTTGAGGCTGTCTAGGATGGGGAGACACTCAATGGTTCTTCTGTGGAGATGTGGACGGCAATATGTTGACGCAAGAACAGTGGTTCCCCCAGCGATACTGGGGGGAGAAGAACTGAACTCTTAGGCATACTTTACTGAGTCCCAGAGGCAGAAGAGCCCTCGGTAGCCATTAAGAGCCTCATCGGTTCGCGTTGGAAAACGCTTTCGGAACATGGAAACCGTTTTGAGGTTTTCGGGTGAGTTTAAAGGCAGAATTAGGAACGTTAGGCAACAAGTCAACACAAGCTTGCATATGTCATTGGTCGTAAATTCGCAAGCTTTTGTGTTCCTTAGACAGTATGCTTCGGAAGATCAGAGCTTCCTGCATTCTCAGATTGCACGGACGTCTGGCCAGAACGCCAGCTACTTTTGCCCAAGTCATGTCCCAGGGTTCGTCCAAGTATTGCGTGACCCCACCAAACCTTCCGGGCTGGCATCTTCTGGATGACCGATCACGTCCACAATCTATGATGAGAACAAATCCGGGCTATTTTTTGCCCCTTTTTGTTGTGATCCGGGGCCTCGAATTCGGCCAGGTCACCTGAAACGTCGTAAGATTCGATCCCCCCTTTCCTTATTGTCTCTTCAACTCAGTAGACTAGACACGGGGCATGAGCATTATGTCATCTCACCTCCACAATAATCATAAAATGACTGCCGGCGTTGTTCCATTCCAAGTAGCGTTTTTCGACTTCGTGTAAGCCTTATCCCGAGTCTACACGTTCGTACAACATTACGTCCATACCACAATCGGGACCTTACCATGGCTTCAAGGTGCCACCATGCTGCAATGGCTTTCCTGAAGAGTTATGAAAACCTGGATATACAGTCCATTCTTGCTGTTCGCACACCGACATGCACACATTCTTATATCTCTGCTAGTGGCGAAAGTGCTCTATACACAAATGACCTCTACGCCGAATTCTACAAGCCTATCCATAAAGTCCTCAAGAGTTGTCTCTTTTCCGTGAATCGGATTATCGCTGACGACCGTACGAATCAAGTCGCATTATGGACCACTATTCACATCAATTTCGTGGTTGATTCCGTGGGACCCTACAAGGGCGATTATGTATTTTTCATCGAGTTTGATGACCAACAACAGCATGCCAAACGTATTCTGGAGTTCGTCGACAATCTTGGAGCACGAAAATACATGAAACTTGTATCTCAAGCGAATAAATTGCTTGTAGATGCAGGAGTCGACAAGGAGGGTACACCACACCTTTGACAAGGAGCAATATCGCTTGAGTGTGAGCCTACCACCCGGATTATTGCAGAAAAGCCATCCCAATCGCGCTGATGTTCCATGTAGATCAGATAGGGCCCTGCTCAACCGCAACAAGTGAAAGAAGAGCCTTACGAGTGGGTGTCGAACATATGACTGGCGGACTAGTATGTAGAGCTTGAAGAAGCAAACGAATGTCCAAGAGAGCAGCTCGAGTAGATAGTGAGACTAATGAGTCTAGATCGACTCTGAGACTAAGCAACCTGCGTTCAGATATCTTATCTAGGGTTCCAAAACCGACTTGCAGAGCCTTAGTCGTCCTGGACCTATTGACGACGGCTTTACGCGATTCGGGCATCAAACTTGACGTGCTGAAAATATGGTACTCTTTTTCTCAGTGCCAAGCTACGTCAGTTTCTAAAGAGGAGTGTTGGCAAAATAACCGAGAGCATATGCAGGGTTCTGGTATGTCCCATCAATGACGGTGGACAAGAAAAATATGCTGCACTTCGACCTGAACGTCCAGTGAAGTGGCCAATTTATGTGGACTCACTGTTGTAGGCTCTCCACGTTCCAGAGAATAGACAAAAGTACCTCCAGGTTGCGGTATCGATGCATACTGGTCCCCCACCCCCCACCCCCTTTGATTTGCGCTGACTAAGTTCGAACAATGAACAGTACGCCTTTACTTGGGAAAGGGTAATCATCCCTGTGCAAGATATATACTAGTAACCCGGCGGGACTAGTTGCTAAAGAGACAAAGCATTCAATACATCTCAATTTGCACCCCAAGTTTGACACTAGGGCATTGAGCCGGGGAGCCTCTCGGGAGAGAGACTCTTGGCAGAGAGTTTCGGACAAAAAGAGAGTGGGTCTAGAACTGTCTGCGCACTCAATTGGCCCTTGTTGTGCGAGCATTGTCTGGAGGTGCTCAGCGCACCCAAGGGGGAGGTTACCAGACGTCGTCAATGAAGGAAGTGGCCATGAGGGCGGCAGCAACAAGAGGGGTTCAAAGTCAAAATAGGCACTACAACGCTAGGGGAGTCTATGCAAAGTGCGACACCGAGGTCTCGATTGTGTGGCTTTCTATCCGCTCGCACAACAGGAAACTCTCTACCAAGAGTCTCTCTCCCGAGGCATTCCCTTGAGCCAACTCCACGCAGCAGTGAACTACCCTAGCAGTACGGAGTAGAGACTGCCCTTTTTTAATCGACAAGGCTGTTGTCGGACCGCAAGGCTGATATTATTAGTAACCCTGCACTGTATGCGTATCTTCATCCTTGGTAAACATGAGCGTGGTTGGTGCAATCCTTGGCATTTTTGCAAGCAACCAGGAGTACCCTAGCGACGTCAACCTGCTCATAAACGTCACCCCTAACATCAAGGTAGCAAAATGAGGTGTAAATTATGATGTATTGGATCCAAAGTTGACTACACCGTAGGGCGTTGTGCTATGTCTGCTTGCTATTATCGAAGGTCAGCCTGAATATGACTTTGCTGAGATGGTCACTCCCAGGAAGTGGCAGGCTTTGCCACTCGGGGGAGAATCAGGCACATGGGAATTGGTGCAATGTGGTCGAGTAGCGACAGGGAACTAATCCCAACGTCATGTTCATGCCAGTCTTCACCCAGCCAATCTACCCTCAGCGGCGTCTCGAAACAAAGACAACGATACTTGGCATGCAATTCAGTAAAGATTACAGCACTACGGAGGAATGAATTCGCCTGTGAGAATGATGGCCGGGGGGAAGGGTATTACTCACGTAGTCTACGTCGGACATACTGGGGAGAGAGTTTGCGATGCAAGTTTCCGCAGGCTAATCAAACCCTGCGGAGGGATTTTCGACTCGTATGTTTCGATAGCTCAAAAGCTAGCGAAACTGACTAAGACAGTGCGGCAATCCGCTCCCGGCAACCGAGACGCTGGGGTAGTGGAATCGAGTCCCACATGACCTGACAAATCGAGGTACCAAAACTTCAAGCTTTGGCCATTTGTGAGTTCTTTACCTCGCTGTAGACATTCCTGGTGTTGTAGAGCATATTTTGACTTTTTGACCTCTTGTTGCTGCCAATCTCATGGCCACTTCCTTCGTTGACGATATCTGGTGGGTCCCCTTGGGGTGGCTGAGTACCTCCGTGGCCCCCTTGGGTGTCTCGTAGAAGGTCTTTCGATTCCTGTCACTAGCGAGGTCCACAATACGGACAATTTTCACACAACTAGACTCAATCAGTGCTTGAACAAACATTCTACCAAGAGTCTCTTTCCTAAGACATTCCCTCCACAGTTTTTGGTTTCCTCCATTTAGAGAAGCTCTGTGGCGTCCCGAGGCCCATTTCGTTAGGTTGGGTCATCCCCCTACTTCTTTCCACTAAGACATGCCCACGCGCAGTTTAAGCTTTGACATGTGAAGGGGCCTCGTTTAGGTGAGAAAACAAGTTGGAATGTCCTCCTGTGCGCGCCGTACCCGTCCACCGTAGCTGGTCTGGTCCCCCAATGCCTCGACACCAAAGAATTCGCTGCGCAAGGGCAGTAGCAGATAGCAAACTCATTGCACAGCTCACGAGATATCCTGAGATGAACGCATCTTTCTCTTCCAGGACGTCTCATCACCCAAACACGTGTCAAAGCAGGAAATAATGATACAATTTGCTTAGTGCATCGTGATTTTCGATTCCCCAGTTTCAGTAACTTGGCTATGCATTATTGGACTTCTTCCCAGTCTCTGAGAAAGCATCAGCTCCATTACACCGTGCCGAATCTAGAGGACGAAACGGCCTTGCGTGAAAGTGTTATGGTCTATACTGTGGCATATAAGCTGTTCATCCAGTTCTTTGTGTTTCTTTTCCCTGAAACACCTAATCATCTTTCAATCTGCAAGGAAGTCACTGTTAACCGCAATCATGGTCGTCTATCACCAGATGACGATGAAGTTTAAGCCCGACGTCAGTCCGGAGCAAATTGCTGAGGTAGGAGACACTATCATGGGCATTCTATCGGGTGTCCTTGGGCACGACCCTGTGCCCTTTCGTCCTCTCGGGCAGGCCGCATACGAAGCGTCGATTTTCAGCACCCTTGGATCACCATGCTCATATCTTGTAATTCAGGTGATCGAAACGTCTCTTGCCATGAAAGATGCATGCATTCATTCCGAAACCAATAAACCCTACATCAAATCGATCACGGGAGGGAAAAATCTCTTTGTGGTGCCCAACAAGGTGCGTTTTCTGGCCATCGTGCTTGTCCGTAAAACAGTCATACCTGGGAGGCAAGACTCTGAAGGTGATCCATTTGTCAGTTTTCTAACATCTGATCGGCACAGCCCGGTTTTACGCATACCCTTCTCTACGAGTTCGAGACGATAGAAGATTGCAAATTCTTTATAGAAAAAGACGTCAAGCATCATGAAGCTCGCCGATTTCGAGGGAGGATAGAGGATGCAGTCTTGCTACACTGGAGCCCAGATGAGTTTTGAGCTGTGAAAGAGAGGAGAGTTAACCGGGCATGGTGCCTAAGAATATGGTGAGATGGTGCAACAGATCACTGGTGACCAGAAGATGACTTGTAAACTGCTATTCTGCATACAGAGATGTGCAACCTCCTATAGAAAAGTATCAAGAGCATGGTTATGGCAACTTTCAAAACATACGCCACGAATGCTTGCTTCGCGTAGCAACGTGCGAGACGTAGTCGAATGTCAGTTTACGTTGCTAACAAAACACTGCATTCAACTTCGGCAAAGGAAGCAAACTTTACATAGATTCTAATGTCTGACAGACAGCTGGAAGAAGCTGTTGGTTTTATGCTGATAGGTTCACGTCACCATTTCCGCGTGCATCAAATGGATGCCAGCGGGGTACGGATGTCCTTCGTCGCCAGCAATTTGATGAAAAGGGATCGAAAAGCCCGGGGCTTCGAAGCCTTGAAACTGGTCAAACGCGAAATCGCCGTCACACATGTCGCCGTTGGGATCCATGGTCTCCGAACTGTCGTGGGATGGGTTGCCCGAGTCATTGACTAGACCATTTGGGAGTGATCCCCACGAGCCTGTTGCCCGCGTAGAAGGTCTGGTTTGGGTACTTTGGCCACTCAGCGACTGGGGCAGAGGTGGCCCTAAGCGCAGCCACTGGTTGGCAGTCGGATTTGACGCAATAGGCGCACGGTCCGTACCCTCGGCATTCGTCGAGGGACATTGAGCCGGCTCCGCCGGTGGAGTTTGCACGCATGATTGCAGCTCAGGGAATTGCGTGAAGAACGCTGAGCTGAGCGACCACTTTCTGATGTCGAAGATGATGGCCTCAAACTGGGAGTCTAGACAGAGCCCAGAGAAGTCACTTTCGACACTCAGCGGTAAGCCCACGCATACATGGTCGATATCCAGTATCTGGAAATGTCGGACGAGCTGAATCATGAGCGCTTTGACATTGTAGTTATGCCAGGTGTCAATGAGTTTCTCGCGTAGACTAGGCCTATGTTCATTAGTCTTCGGCCTTATCACAATCATGCTTGACTGGTCCAATGTGGAAGCCGCCTACCAAAGCAAACAGTCGATGAATCCTGGGTGCTCCTGACACAGCTGGGACTCTGTAGGCCAGAGCCACGGTGGCACCTTGAGAAGATTTTCACGACACGGGAATGTCAGGAACTGCAAGTTTCGGCGATCAGCACGAGAGAATCAGATCCACCAGGTTCGAGTGCAAGTCTACGCACCATAAAAAATTTGTAGACGGCCCAGTAAATAGACACGCATTCCAAATTTGATCTGTAAAGTGGCCGCCACCTGCTGACGACTTCGCAGGCACAAAGAGCCACCGAGCGACGCTGGCATTCCATCTCCGAGAGTGCTGGAAGCACTCTTTCTTCTCCTGCCTCGGGAGGAGATATGGAAGATTCGCTTTCAGGGACCAGCATATTGAGAATATCCGCGTAGAAACTTTTGGCAAAAGTGCGTTGCCGGATTATATCTGGTTGCAGACAAGGGAATTAGAATCAGGCTATTCCCGGTAGCAAGAGTTGAGGCATGATTCAACCGCTTGGAACAAGGTAAGTAAGCAGGGAGCGGATCAATCTTACCAGTTGTCAGATACATTGGCTCTCGGTCCAGAGCCAAATTCTTAATGAGAAAATCGAAGCCAAGCCCATGTTTGTTTACGAGCTTCCAAGTATTGACCTGTTCGACAATGTAGTCGACGGGGAAAAGTGGCGAAGTAGAAACGTCCTTCAAAGGGGCCAACATGTCCCTAAACATGACCGAAGTGAAGAAGGGCAGCGACCCGTCTGCCAAAAGACGGTCGCAAACTTGGTCGGTTGGACTTGTACCGGGAAGGGATGAGATGCTGTTTCCCACCGGCAGAGGAAGATTTGGGATGGTGGGTTTCGGGCCATTTTCCTTATCTCCAGTCTGGCTCATCTCGAGGCACTCTTTGCTGCATAGGAGGATTGTCTCCATCCTGGTCTCATAGCGGTCCAAGGCCGCTCGAAACGCGGCATTCTCCTCGATGAGATTGCGAAGCAAGGTATTGTGCTCTCCTTGCACCAGCAGATGGACCTTCTCCTCCAGTTGAGCAACGCTGCGTTTAAGGAGTTGTCGAGTTCTCTTCTGGCCAACTCGATCCACCAGTCTCTTTCGTTCGAGCTGTTTCTTTGTGAATTTGGCCTTCCAATTGCAGCCGTTGGATGGCTCTGATTGCTGTGCGGACGGCATCGAAAACACCCGGTGAAGATATGAACACTGCAAACAGCTATTGAGGGCTTTCCTGGGATCTGAGATGGAGTGACGCTTTGTTGAAAGGTGAGGGTCGGAGAGGTGTGTACCGGCATGGTAAAACGAGGAATGAAATGGAGAATGGAAAATTAAAAGCAGGGAGACGAAGGCCAAGAGCCTTGTCCTCCCACCACCACGGGGTAGTTAAAAAGGCGGGGTAGAGAGTCCGGGCTTGCCCGGAAGCTATTGGGTGTATTTGAAACCCCGTGTCGCCTACTGGCAAAGTCAATCCGGGTACCATTCTGATATCTGCCCCAGAAGACTTGTATGTCATACATACTGCAGATCGTGTGACTCTACCAGATCCTGCTTGTCAGATTATTTCCGCTCCCAGAGCACAGGGCTTATAACTACAATCTTCACACTTTAGCAGCAAGAGGATCCTTTCAATAGTACTTCTTACGCGCATCAAGATTGGTGGAGTCGTTTTTTACGAGGAGTGTCACACCGTCAAAGGCTAGTGGAGACAATTAATCAAAATGCATCACTCCGGCCAGAAGGTGAGCCAATGGCCGTCTGGGCGGCGTCTCACCCAAGTCCCCAAAGGCCTCAAGGAGGTCAGAGTATCTGCTCGCGATTACTTGTACCTGAGGCCCCAGGTCCTTCTCACCTTAGGGCCCCGATCATCCATGCAATAGTCTCCTCGCCATTCGGTTTAATCGCTTGCCATAGGCTGTAAGCCCATGCTGATTGGCTACTCAATCGAAATACGACGGCTGCCCTCGTCCGTGCTGACTTAGAGCCACGCTAAGAGGGTAAATGCTTCCTCCGATCTCGGCCTCGAGGCGGCTAACTCGGTACTAATAGACTGTGGAGTCTAGAGAAGGAACGCGTTGTTCCATCCAAGAGAGAGAGCAAGACGAAAAGAAGGAAAGGCGCAAGTTGCCAAGCTAAACAGCCTCACGTGACGTTGCCAAGGCAACGTGTCACGTGACTGGCCAACAGGTACATCACAGGCTTTGGTGTACATACGTGTGCAGACTATCCTTCGGATTTTATGAGATGCTTAATGCCTCTAATAAATAATAACCTATTTTTGCTTAGATGACCGTGCGAAGTCGGGGCTATAAGGGGTTTTACACGACTTGCCGCACGATCCAGAGCCTGAATTTGGGGGAGAACGTCATTTCCAAATCGAGCTCCAAATATCCCGCCGTTATGTATGGCAGGCCCTTCTAGCCGCTCCTTGAATTATGTCGCCAATGCAGCACATGCTAGCAACGTCTATCGACGATCTGTTTTCATCCCTCGATCGTTCCCGCTGGGGGTTGACGCGCCTACTTTTTTAGGCCCGTACGAAGTAGCTCTGTGCGAAGACGTTGTCATTCTGCTAGAGCATATGTTAATCAACATGACTACGACTTTGTTTACCTCGTGTAATGTAACAACGATACCACGAAGGGTGAGGGCCTGTTACGAGGGGTGTAAGGAGAGAGACCACGGAACGCTGCGAGTGCACAGGGTAGGGTATGGAATAGCAATGTACTGAAACCTGTCTATCTACCTAAGACTCTTCTTATACCTTTCGATCCTTCTTTCTCTCTATCCGTTTTCGGCGTCCAGTCCCCTTCCATCGTTTACGTCTTCCTGCCACTCTACGGCGGCTGGGAATACGATTCGAGAGGTTGGGAACTCTGTTCGATGGCCAGAACCTTTCGTTCACGGCGTGGGATGTCGAGGTGCTGATATTGCTAATCGTACCCCGAGGGTACGATTACCATCACATGACATTTGGCTTTTGTCACGGAATTTGTACACCGTGGGTGTCACATGTAAACTAAGAGTTCTTTATTATGATGGTGTTCCGTACTTGGAACCGTTACCATAAGCTGATATAAGGCTGTAGAAACATTCGAGGGAGCAATAGTCCCTCGGGGAAAGGTAGGCGGCAACCATTAGCCATGCTCTCCGCAACTGGCCAAGTTTGTTGGGTTCAGATCATAGGAAGCAACTTGTGGAGATGCGTACTTTACAGATTCCGCTGCTGTGGAAGCTTTCATCAGGAAATCATGATGGCATGGTAACTCGATCACCGGCATCGTATGCGACGAGTCGAAACTTAGGCCGGTTTCATTGGATTCCGAGTCTAGAACAAGCGGGCCCAGCTAGGTATCGCGTGATGACGCAGCCTGGTAGATTTCTGTCGTTAGCTCATACACTCTTCCCCCCACCACAACAACAGCCTCAAGCGTGAGCGTCATAAAACTCGAAATGCGCTTTTTGCTGGATGCCAATTGATATAATCGTTTAAATCTTGCCCACTTGGGGGCGGCGAGCAATCGTGCATCAATTCAGGTGTCTCTGCCAAGAGTCACAATGGAGTGGGAGGCCGATGATGCATTTTGGACTCCATTGTTCGAAGATCTGGCACAATCGGACAATGCCTCCAGAGACACCACCAGCGGCGACAGTTGCGCAAACATGTTATTCGATCATGAAGATATGTGGCACAGTCCCACCTACACGGACTCTTCGACATCACATTTGAGTCTATGTGTCAAGCAGGAAGTAAGTGTCGTGGGCAAAGAGGATCGTTGTAACTTAAAGGATTATGAGTGCGACAAAGACTTCCTTCAGATTGAAGAGCGTCTTCTACGGTCAGGTTAGTAGAGTCTGAGAAGGTGAACAGTTTCTGATATATCTAACACACTATCAGTCGGCCTTGATGTAGTTGCCAACTCAGTCAAGTCCCTGGAATCCGAGGACGATGCTGCATCGACTATCGACCAGCCCATGGTAAGCGTAATGACTTCGTTCTTTCTGACATTACGCTGACTACTGAATCTTCTAGACAGAACCCATAGCTTTGTCCTCATATATGCAGAATCGCCTTGTCAGTCTCTACTTTCAAACGGTGCATACCCTCTGTCCGTTGATGGACATGGTAGCCTTCAAACGGTGGTATACTGAGCAACCCCGAGTGTCTTCGCCCCTCAAGGAACTTGTCTTTCAAGCAATTCTGTTTGCTGCCTTCCAACACCTCAGTAACTCCGAAGTCTGCCAGACCCCGTTCTCCTCGGTCATCGAGGGCCAGAAAGCTCTTTTCAACTATGTGCACTCTCTCTATAGTGCTATCGAGTCCCAGAACGAAGGCCGCGTCGAGCTCGTCCAGGCCGCGCTGCTGCTGACTTATTGGACACCATTTGACTTTTCCCAGGAGGTCAATAGCTACTGGGTGGACAAGGCCTTCTATCACGCAATGATTGGGAAGTTGCACTTGCGAGGCCAGCCTTACCATTCGGTGATTTGGTGGTGTTGCTTGGTTCGAAACAGGACCATTGCCCTCGGCCTTCGAAGCCCTCACAAATTAAGGCACTATAAGCCTGGCCCTATGCTCCAGGTTTCAGACTTTCGGCCATCTCTTTTGGTACGAGGCATGGACTTGCGGAGAGCACCCTTACTTGCAGCAGAAACCTTCCTATGCTTATGTAAAATTTCGGTTGCAATCAACAAAATTGTTCTCTTAAGGCACGGTGCATGGCATTGGGATACGTGGAGGACCTATTCCACTTCACTGGATCAGATCAAAGAAATTGACCAAATGCTCGACAAAACAATGGGAGAATTCGAAGTTCTTCTGACCAAGTACGACGAACGTACCTTCTCCAGGTCCTTCAAGGCATCTTTGCACTCAGTCCGTATTATTGGCTCGTAAGTTCATGTCTGCTGGGCCGGAAATTCCATTTGCTTGGTCTAACAATGTCAGGTCGGCAAAGGCGTCGCTATACGAGCAATGTCTCACGATGCCGCAAGCTACTGAAACAATGTCATGGCTTCTCAACACTTTAGCCCTACATAAAATCAAAGAGGCGTCTTTGGCCACCGCTGTCCAAGTTGGACAAGCATTGACCGAGAATCGAGTGGAAGATATCCCGCTCCAGGTGTAGGTTTCTCCATCCCCTGCCTCTCATCTCGACTTGTCTCACGCGCCGCACAGGGTGGCTTGGATCACTCTTCCACTCGCAGTGTACACAATACGCTCAAATTACCCTACGCGCAATCAATCAGACGAAGTCTTAACTGAATTTGACAATCTCAAATATCTTCTCCATGCCATGTGCAAACGTTTCTCGGGAGTTCAGCATGTTGCAGGCCTCCTCATCAGCCTCGACAAAGCTGCATCTTCTATGAGGCAGGACCTGCTAGAAAGTAACGAGTAAGTGAGGCCGTTTCGTAATTGGAGGGGTCCGAACTGACTTCTCTGCAGGTATGAGGTTGTCGAGACCAAGCTTCTCATTCATGCCACCAGGATGATTCATTCAAGCCTGGGGCTCGGTGTAAGGGTAGAGAGCTAGATCTTGATTGTGGGAAAACCATATGTACTTGAAAAGAAGGAGGCGCAGGGCGAAGTCAATTACATACTCCACTACCAGCCATCCAGTTGCATGTACTATATTACAATCAGCGCCTTGTACTGTCTCTATATCGTCCCTATGTTTCTATACATTACGGCCGGACGTTGGCAGCAGATTTGAACGAGACAAAGATCTAACAAGGACTCTGGAATCATTAGAATAGAGCCTTGAAATTAACCACCCCTCCCCTTTCCGAATCAGTTCCCTTTAGACTCCGCGGATGAGAGCGGATTTCGGTAAGTCCGCTATCTCCTCAAGTCCGGATAAGTAGCTACAATTAGTCCTCACCCAAAGTCAGGCTGACACTGTGATGCCCTACAATATGTGTCCATTGGCCCTGGTTGCACTAGTGGTGAAGTGGATCACAGGGTGGCAGATATCGAGGATGTCTATATAGGGGAGGATGGTTCCATTCAGTGCGTTGTCACTTGGAAGTCATCCTTGATCGCCATGGAGAATCTCGCTGGCAGAGAACTACGGCGGCGATGCGAGGAGCTGTTTGGGAGGAGGTATGGGCCCCAGGAGCTGCAGAAGAGGGCTGCGATTAAGCGGCAGACTAAGAAGAAATGAGGATATACTGGTTCCCCCTTGGTCTGACTGGGAAAACGGTTGAACACTGGAAGAGGGTGACTATCCCCGAGTACACGGGGATTATGAGTTTATTTTTCACTATATATTGTGTATGGTCAATCTAGACGATGGCGAACTCCTGGTGTGGCTGTCCCTGTACTGGGTTTATACGAAGCATTCTGTGGAAATTTTGCCCACTTGAAAGAAAACGGTTAAGGCGATGGAGCGAGTTGTCGCGGGACCAATATTATGATTAGGTGAATAGTTGTAGGCTCTTCAATGGGTCTTCTGGGTAGAGCCTTACTCATCTTCTTAACTCAACTCGCCCTGAACTCTGACGGACCGCACGTATTTGATAGGCTAGCAGGTCATGAGTAGGCTTCGAGAACCCTGAAGGCAAATCCCAAGATGGGCAGACGTGAATAATATAGAGGTCCGGAAGTCCCTACCTCGATGGGCCACCAAGAGCACCCATTTCCTCCGAAGTGCAGGCGGCTTAGGAGCCCCAAAAAGTGCAACTTGGCGTACAAGCTTGGCTCTGCGCACAAAGCGTGTAATTCGGACTTAGCCAAAAAGGAAAAAAAAAAAGAAACTACACAACACCCCTCCTATAGCCAGTATATAACTCACTTATAGATGGGGCGCCCGCAGCCAGCGAAGGTTTTCAGTCAGAGCAGTTCAACCAGAGGAGAATCACCTCCCACAGGTATCGAGTGCGACATCAACAATCACTGGCTGGAGCATTACATTTACCCATCTAGGGCACCTAGAAAGCTCAATGGAGTCTAGGCCGGACAACCCTCTTACCTTACCTATGATCGAACACTAGTAAGGCCCCTCAATTCTATCGGTTCGACTGCAAGCCTAGTGTTTTACCACTCGGTTACGTCCTTGATAGGTCAACCACGATTTGGTGTCAATTTTAAAGCAGTTCTTGACATTATAAAATATAAACTTGATTTTTTTTTTGAAATCGTCTGGTTAGGGTTGGTGTTGTGCGGCGACGCCAAGAGCGACGAGCCGGCCAATCATGTAAGCATATGGCTTAGCGTTATCACGTAACTTTTCCGGGATCACGTGTTAGCCCCCCGAGAGGGCGCCGATGAAATCCTGTCAAACTTCTTGTCGAGGTCCTGAGGCTCCTTTTATAGACATGCGAATGCTACATCGTTGCACAGAGCAACCATCTGTAACGTCGTCGTCTATGGAAACCTCTCGTCTCTATCCAACAAATCCCATCGGATCCAGTCTATGGACCACTCAACCCCGAACGGATTAACAATTTTCCTAGATCACGTGCTCCCCCGGGGGGCCCGCCTCCCAACTCGATATTGGATCCGATGAAATCCCCCTCTCGCCTATGGGCTTAGCCCGTACAGGGTGTATGAATATCGCATCGCATCGCATCCCCCTCTCGTCGCCCATCGGATCCAGTCTATGGACCACCCGACCTTCAACGGATTAACCATTTTCCGGGATCACGTGGTCCCCCGGCCCATGTGGCGGGGGGCAACCCTACTCGATAGATATCGATATCCTCGATATCGAGATGATCCACGCATCGGATCCAGTCTGCGGACCACCTAGAGAAGCTCTACTAATCACACTCGAGATGGTTCGTAACGGAGCGTGAACGGGTAAGCCTCGACGTCGAGATGATCCATGAATTAGATCCGATGGCCGGTGATATTTCATCGGATCTAGTCTGTGAACCACCCAGAGTAGTCTGATTAATCACACTCGAGATGGTTCATAACCGAGCGTGAACAGACAAGCCTTGAGTTAGCTACTGAAACTATTCGCTTACTTGAACTTGAGACATTAACGTAGCATAGTTAAAGATTGAGAAATACTTCAATCTTATCGATGACTCGCCTCTCTATGTTGCTGCTGTTATTCTGCACCCAAGCCTGCGCTTCGAATACTTTGAGGACAAATGGCAGAAGCAGCCAGATTGGATTCGACGTGTAAAGAGATCCTTTCGCGAGCTGTTCGACGAGTACTATAACGAATGTCATGGCGACGCCGATACTGAATCCGACGATCAGCAAGAAGGACCAAAGTCAGCCTACCACGAATACAATCAAATCTCGTCAGAATTCCTCAGCAGAAAGCGGAAACGAATAGCGAAAGATAAGGACAAGGATAGCCTAGAGTACGATCGCTACATTAAGTCGTTTGACGAGAAGCTCAGGGCTAAAGATCCACTCGTCTGGTGGAACCAGCATAAACCAGACTATCCTCTCCTCGCAAGAATGGCTTTTGATCTCTTCTCGATACCGGCTATGAGTGCAGAAGTCGAACGAATCTTCTCGTCCACAGGAAATCTAGTTACAGATGATCGGAACTAGCTGGGCGAGGAGGTGTTGGAAGCTACTGAATGCCAGAAGCACTGGATAGCTGGAAATCTTGTCTCCTAGGATTTTATGTCAGTTAACTGACTGAACTTTCAATCAGGCCGCGAATTTCATCAGTCCAGTTAATCAGGTAAGCAACTCGATATCAGTCAATCAGGAAGACTGGCGATTATGTCAGTTAATTGACTATTGGCTACGCAGGCGCAGCTTCCCCAGCCTGGGTATAATTGCCATGTGAATCCCGACAATAAACTAATTACAGTATTTTAGATGAGTGACACGATTGCGTGGGTATCGGTCGATGCTATTAACGCAGGCTATTTAAAGACCAGTTTGGATCTTTCGCAAGAAGTGCACCAGTTCGTGAAAGACCCGCATCGTTTATTGATAACTCTCCCCTCGTATACTGTACGAGGGAGACCATTTCCGGTTCCTGACGTTTATTCCATATCGGGTCCCGAGACCTCTTTTGGTCCCTGGTTGAGAACGGTTATAAAAACCCCTAGCAATACCAAAGAAATCTCTTATCCCCACACGACGACCTTCGCCATCTAATATCTTTATTGTTCAAAATTCAAGATGTTTTTGCGATTATTTAATTATTCATTGCCTGTTGTAACATAAAGAATAATGCCTTTCGCACTCAAAGCCGACCTAAACCAAGACGCAATTAAGAAGCCAACTAAGGGAGAAGAAAGTATTAGAAAAAGAGGCCGTAGCCGAAGAGCGAACGAGAACTTTGAAAAACGCAAACGCAGTCTCCTCAGAAAGTGCAATGAGACAGTGGATAAATATCAAGCAGATATTTACATCGCTGTCCGTCGAAAGCTCCTCTTCGAAGGACATAACCTCCTAGAATTTGCATCAATCCTGCCTGAAGACCTAATCGTTGAAGGTAGTAGAGGTAGGTGTGGTAGCGTAACGCCTTCGTGGACGATGTTTGAATGCCGGTGGATGTGCGCTCAGCTTGGCGGAAAACCGGCTTCTTTAGTATATTCGCACGCCACTTGAATTCTAAGCTGCGCCGTGGCGCACGAACTCGAATCCGAAGTATATCTTCCATCGAGGTAACCTTGGACTCAAATGCATTATCGAGGATAGCGATCGTTATCATAAGCAGAATCGGATCAAAATAAGAGTGTCAACTTCAGTGAGAATATAAGTCTTCTTAAGAAGTTGTTAGCAGGCTTGCATCGAATCACGATAGAGACACCTACGGGTTCGGTCTTTTCTTCCATCCTTTAGTATACTTTAGGGTGATCTCCATCTCGCTTCCCCTCCGGATTCGGGAGCATCACAAGTGTCACATCCTCATAACAGAGAGTCTTGATATCCTCCCAGTCTAAATCCATTTCGTCGATGTCGCTAGGTTTATCATTTTCCCATCCAAGGTAGTGCTCTCTTTGCTTAGTTCGATCGGTCGCCTTATACACTAAAGCCCCCGGCCTTGTTGCTGTGTATGCGGAGAGAAGAAGTAAGAGAGCGAGCTGTAGTCGTTGCCGTTCGTCCGGGAAAACCGACGTATCCAGAACCCAGTGATGATGGAGAACGAGAAACACGTCGTCAATATCCATAACTGGCTTTTTCTCTCACACTCGTGTCGAGGTTATACTCAATGGTCAAGTATTCATCAATATACTATTATAGATCAGCGACTAGTTCCGATGAATAGATAAATCTTTATACTCACATCGCGGACCTCTTCCATTACTTTAGCATGTAAACCCTTGTCAACAGACTTTCGGTATAGCATACACCACACTCTCCAGTATTCATCTAAAGTGCTTCTTTTCCGAACTCGGGGGTAGATGTCCAAGATCCACTTGAGGAAGGTCATGATATCTTTTTTAGTGACGCTCACGAGGAAGCAAAGTCTGTCCTCTCCAAGAAATAGACAATGTCTAATTGTGTCACTAGCTGCGCCTCTTCTCGATATGTCCCATAGGACGCACATCCTTACCTTGTCCATGTCATCATCACTCCCCAAATATTTTCTTTCGTCGAGTCCGCATAATGCTTCTTTACAGTACCCTTCTCAACAAATTATCGTCGATATTGTCGATAATGCTCAGGGGAATATTAGGCCGTTGGCCTTTGGTTGAGACGCTGCACAGCCATACTACCTCCACGAGAGCCCTCTTCTCTTCAACTCCTTCCCTCTCCTAATGGTAGTGGATGTGAAGCAGTAACTTATACGTAGAATAGTATGGTCCGAGGAGGAATTTCTCATGAAAAGGAGAGAGACAATACTCTCATCCGTCGGTTTAAACATAAAATTTAAGTAGGGCCAGTCGATTGCATAAAGAGAAGTAGGAGATGGGAAGATGCTGGGAAGTTAATCTGGGATGGCAGGCTAGGTTAGCGTTGTCGTCAATTGTGATTGTGCGCGCGCTGCGATTAGTCACCCAGAACGTCAAAACAGCATCTGTAGAAGTTTTTAAGGCCCCAGTTGATATGTTGCCGTTGTTATTGGTCTTCCTGTCACCGTCGACCCTCTTGACGGCATTCCTGACTCCCCATTCGTTGAATCTCGTGATCCACCGGCTTAAATTCGTTCAGCATTCATTGATTGCCTAGAGAATCAAATCTGTAGTGAGGCTGAACCTGTGAATGCTGTGCAACGTCCGTGTGTCGATCCTGAGGCTGTCGAAAGCGATCCATCTGCCAATTCACATCAAAGTTCTCGGCCCTGAAGGTATTTCTCTCCAGGACTGGCCAGCGAATCGAATACGGGCAGGGAAGTTCCCAGGTGTTGAACAGTTGGACAGTAGCAAGAGCCCCTTTACCGGGAAAAGGAGTTATTACTCCTGTGTAGGATATAGGGGTAGAAATAGGAGAAGAAAAGGGGTCCACCAAACGTGTACAAATACCAGCAACTTGGCAGGACCAGTTACTAGATAGACAGAATATTCGTTGTGTGATACATTTGCATTATTCAGTGATGCCCGCCAAGCTGCAGTTACAATACCCAAGGTACCAAGTAGTGTAGTGGGGTGCTACATGCACAGACTATGTAAGGGGAAAACAGACATGGGTGGGTAGAAAGTTGGGGAGTGCATCGAGTCTTTCTTAGTTGGGGACACACACATACACGCGAGGAGACACAGAACATAGAGAAATGAAGAAACGAGAGCTTCGTGTGTGGTTGCTCAAAGGCCCTGACGACGACATCCTCCCTGAATGATAAGCACTCAAGTTCTAAACCGTTCATCACCTTTACAAAGACACAAGACCTTCGTGTGACATTAGAAGGCTGGCCGGACCCCTTCCATCTCGCATGGAGCATGCACCACCAGGGGATCTCCACAATGCTGCCTAGGGATACTGCGGTCTTGCCCCATCTTTTCCTGAGTATCGTTGTTTGGAAGCCTCTGCGCTCCAACCTCAAGCCATTGTCGTAAGTTACAGATTTCAAAGAGCCTTTGCTCAACTGGTCACAAGGACGAAAGACTAAATAGTCCTGTCAATGCCGGTAATACCCATTCAAAGGTGTTTACGCACGAGCAGACCACACATCGCGATACCCGCTTCTGCTGCTTCAACATGAACGAGCAAGCCGGGCCTCCGCTTCGAATGAAGCTCTCTGCGAACGAGACTCCCGGCTTCATCAGATTTCAGAAGCGTCCGCTGAGAAAACAAGCGACCTGCTGAACCTCAACAATGAAAGCTTTCACGCTTATTTCCATTATGCAGGCATGCACAGTAAGTGCCTCGTGTCCAAGAAATGTGGCCGCATGCACTAAGTCCTTCAACTAGATCATATTCTCCATCATCTATTGGTGATTTATGCCTTGGGCGCATCTCCAGAACAACTAGAATCCGCATACAGACGCAATGCAGACTATCAGAGGCCAAGGCGAGACAGGTCATCGCTGACTCTGAATCTGGCCGACCCTGAACAATTTCGTCAACATCTCGAAAAGCCAGAGTATTATGAGGACTACCTCGAGTTTTTCAAGGGCGAAGTCACGACCAAAGGAATCGAAAAGACTCTGAAGGAGTACGTGTTTGCTGGGACTGAGCGGGCCGATGACATGCTGGCTCGAATGTATGGTGGTAAGTAGCACTATGAATGCGCCGTACCGAGAACCAAGGTATGCTGATTGCGTCGTCCCGATCTAGGTCTTCTCCATCCAATTATACACCTTGGATACGGGCTTGAGTTCCAGCAGACTCTTATTGTGGCCGAAGCATTAGCCTCCGCGGCAATTCACGACACTTTCATGGCCGGAATTTGCATTCCAGCAGAAAAGGCAGCACGGGAACGAGCCTCGACATCCCAGGTGACCATGATGTCCTTGGTCCACCACTTGCAATCAGAACCCACGATATTAGCCTCGATCTCGGAGGAGGAAACCCACAATAAACTGGCCACCGACCTATTTCCCCGGGCTGGGAAACTGTTGATTGACATTGTCTCCGAGTATACGGTTAAGCCCGACTAGCTGGAAGAAAAGCTGGCCGAGATGATCCAGACCGACTGCTACTTATTAGCGGCAGCGCAAGCACCCGGGCGAGCCATAGCCTTTGACTTTTACTTGATGCATTGCGTCAACTTGTCCTTTTTCACCGCGGTCTTCTTGCGGCAAAGTTGGCTCTCGAATCAAAACAAGTGCCGGCTGTTGGAGTGGAAAGTCCGGCTCGATCTTGCAGTGTATGCGTCGTGCAAGGCGCCGCGACTATATCCAGAACGCATCACATCGTATAAATCGCAACACCCTGGTGATGGATCGGCCGGACTACAAGCGTCCAGAAGTCGTGTATTTTGAAGATACATCTGAAGAGGTACTTCGACTTGTGGCGCGCTGGATCAGGTTTTGCGGAACGAAAATTGCGTGGAAAGAAGTCCCAATGCTGGAAGCCTAGGGTTAAAGATGCCGTGCTTCTGTCGATCCTACGCCGACCTCGTTGATAATCACGTATTCTCCATTTTTAGGACAATGAAATAACGCATCTCGATCTGGGGAACATTGGACCGCGACTAATCCCAGCACTACTCTCTCCCTGGGCTGGCTCCTCACCAGAACATAACATGTCATGTGTTACTCTGAAAAGCCTCAACCCATTCCAGCTCCTTGCCCTGGTAACGCCATTGATAGAGGGGGAGAAAAACAATCCGCTCGAATATCGAGGGCAGCCAGTTTGATTTGCACTGTTATAGCGCGTGGCTTGTTGCCGTGGCTAATTGGCGTTGGCGTTGTACGTAGAATCTTACAGCATGCTCTCGAACAAAGGCCCCTCCTCTCCCAATCGCACCTAGTAATAAATCCAACAAAGTCACTACCTCACGGAAGCACATTGCGGCTGGCCCAAATATATTCAAGTAAAACACTTGCGCACAAATGCCGCCACTGTTGCAGCTCGAGTGTAGCTTTGGACATAGTCCTTTTGAGGTTCCTAGGACCTCGGGCCTTCGAGTAAGAGGACCTCGGTATCTGCTACGACTCGTACTACCTTCACTAGTCACAACTTCAAAATTGCTGACTGGCAAAAACCCCATAATACCTTTACGTGATTGTGTCTCTTTCGCAAGAGCATCTCTCAGGTGTAGAACAGCAAGAATTCGAAGATGGGTGCCACCGCTGTGCTCGATAGCGAACATATACCTGCTTCGCAGAAAGTACCAGTCATCGCTAGACCGTTCGTCTCTGAGCGAGCTTTGAAAACCCTGGATCTGGTACGTTTAAGAGATGCTTTTCGAGAGTCCCGTCATTAAGGACAATGTATAAAGCTAGAACGGTTTGTGGAACAGCGATGCATCCCGGCGGATAAAGTGTACGCCCAGGGACTAGGAAAGGATGTCAAAGGCCGCTTCAAAGCTCATCCAGAGATCCTGGAACAGTTGAAGAGAGAGGCTCTGGAGCTTGGACTGTGGAATATGTTCTTACCAAAGGCGCAGTTCAAGGAGGGAGCCGGCTTCAGCTGTCTCGAATTCGGCCTGATGGCAGAATATCTCGGCAAGAGTGACGTTGCTAGCGAGGCCACAAACTGTGCCGCACCAGACACTGGCAACATGGAAGTGCTTGCAAAATATGGCACGGAGCAGCAAAAGAAGCAATGGCTTTCACCTCTTCTGGAAGGAAAGATTCGCTCCGCTTTCTTAATGACGGAACCGGGGGTTGCCTCGAGCGACGCTACAAATATTCAGTTCTCCATCAAGCGCGGCCGCGATGGATATATCTTGAACGGAGAGGTGAGAACCCCCCTCCAAAAAAAAAAAAAAAAAAAACCCCTCAGTAGCTCTCTGAGCATAGAACTTGGGCTAATGTGAACAGAAATGGTGGAGCAGCGGAGCCCCAGACCATCGGTGCAAAGTATATATTTTGATGGGAAAGACGGACCCAGACAACCCCAGTCCCTACCGACAACAAACCGTGCTCTTAGTACCCGCAGACACATCCGGTATCACGATCAAGAGAAGCCTATCTGTGATGGGCTATGACCACGCGCCACACGGCCATGGTCAGATCAAGTTCGAAAATGTACAGATACCTTTTGATTCTGTCATCCTAGGGGAGGGGCGAGGTTTTGAGGTTGTTCAAGGTCGACTAGGGCCTGGCCGCATACATCACGCCATGCGAGCAGTGGGAAATGTAAGCCGTCCTCATCTTGTCCCAAACCCGGTACAATCGCTGATGTCTTCTGTGAAAGGCTGAGCGAGCCTTGGAATATTTGGTGGCGCGGTTGTCAGATCCAGCCAAAAGGCCTTTCGGAAAACAGCTTTCAGAACATGGCATCATGCTCGAGCGAGTTGCACGAAGCCGGATTGAGATTGACGCCGCTCGGTTGGCTGTGCTGAATGCGGCTATCAAGATTGATACCATTGGCGCAAAGGGTGCTCTTAAAGAAATTGCAGAGGTGAAGATTATCACGCCGGCAATGGTCATGCAGGTTGCAGACCGGGCCATCCAGGCTTTTGGTGCAGGTGGAGTCTGTCAAGATACTCCTCTCCCAGAAATATGGACTGCCGGTCGGATAATGCGTATCGTTGATGGACCCGATGAAGTCCATCTTATGCAGCTTGGCCGCAATGAGAGTAAGACAGGACCAGCAATGTTGAAGAAGATCGCTGCTCAAAATGAAGTGGCTAGAAAACTATTGGCAGAGTATGGGCTAGAGGACCAGGATCCGCTGGTGCTCAACAGGTCTACGGGAAGTGCTTCGAAGCTTTAGCATCGGTATGAATCATTATGCCTTGAAGAGTGAAGCTAGTGTCCGAGTTTGCGTTCGTCCCTCTGCTTTGCTAGCATGGCGTTCTCGAGCTTGAACCTATGACATAAGAGGTCTTTGTGTTCTAGACAATGTAATTAAACTATCTCCGGAGCGCCTGCATAGGCCCGCTCGTCTCGGTCTCGCCTCAACCGAGATGAGACGAGACGAGCGCCACCAAGACTAAGCGAGCGCTCAGTCTCACCAAATTCGTCTCAGCTCCTTGAGAACCCCGCACACGACGAATCTATGACGGACTGAAACGCGAAGAAGCTCAAATCGTGGCACAGCTGCGCACGGGGAAATGTCGTCTTAACAGTGCCCTTTACAGCATTGGGGCGGCAGACACGAAGTTGTGTGAATGGTGTCAACGACCGGAAACAGTGCGACTGTTGAACAAAGGGCTATTGTGTACAGGCTCCACAGCTGAAACACTGGTGAGAGGTTTCCATAGACGACGACGTTGCTGATGGTTGCTCTGCGTAACGACGTAGTATCCGCACGTCTATAAAAGAAGCCTCAATACCTCGACAAGTAGATAGAGAGAAAGGAGCATTCAAGACATCTCGAGTTGCACCCAGTTTGACAGAGGCATATCATATGCAGTTGCAAAAGTCGATGTTCCCTGAACACAAGCCTGTGCGTTTAAAATTGTACTGGAGAATGCTTAAATCCGGTGGACGCCACCCAACAATATCGTAAGAGCTTTTCGTTACTCATCCTCGGCTATTCGTCCCATTGCAAGCGATGTCCGCGCTACCACACGCGTCCTGTGTCCAGGCCGGACAATATCACCCTTCTTGTTCAGTTGAAGCGGAAATGGGAGGTAGGCACATGATTAGAAGTCACTGACATTTGTCGCGTTGGCTAGCATACGAACTATGAAAGCAGTTTTCAGAATGTTTGTAGCATGAAGTCAGAAAATCGGAGGCCAGAGGGACATGTCACGTCGCAAAAGCACGGTCGGAAAGTTTGGTAAGTGTTGACGATCAACACCGTTTCTGTACTAGCCATTTGATGGCGGTAGTCAGCCATCAGTACGTAGATCACAGGTTGGTGGCATTTCATCTCTCCCGTCGGCGTACCCCGTCCGGTCCGGATCTCTAACTGGCGGATGTACCTTCTTTGAGCAACCTCCAGGGCCTGAACCGCGACGGCCGAGGTACGCAGACTGTACCAGACCGCCACGACGACATTATTAGCTGTGACTTATTCAGAAAGAGGGTTGGAGCTAATAGAACACCAGGCGGAGTTGCCCTCAAGTGCTTGCCTCGGCACCACTAGTGGGGAAGGACCGTTCAATTATTCTTCCGAGCAGTTCGTTTGTTTCGACTCGTAGCCGTTTGGAATTCTAAGAACTGGGGTTGACCTTTAACTCCGGAGAAGTTCTTCCGCTATAATCATGTCACAAACGAATTCGCAGTTGTTGTACGTCGTTCGCCCTCAAGCTAGGACGTGAAGACCAATATGCCGATCCGATCCAACTATCCAGATGTTGACCTTAGAGAATGTGATATCTTCTCATTCCTCTTCGACCGCACTGACAGGGAATTTCCAGACCACAAAGGTAAAGCTTTCTGAGCGCCCGTCCCGCATCTCTCTGACGCCAATCAAATAGTGATATTTCAAGACGCAAACGACACTTTGCAGCCCCTCACATTCGCCGACGTGCGTGGGAACGCCATCGACTTTGGCAAGGCTCTTCGAGATAATATAGGGCTCCAGACTGGGGACGTGATCGCGTTGTTCACACCAAACAGTATCGACGTTCCGTGCGTGATCCTGGGTGCGTTATGGGCCGGGGCTATCGTGTCTCCATCCAACCCTGGCTACACTGCGACCGAGCTCGAATATCAGCTAAGGGACAGCGGCGCAAAGTACTTGGTCACGCACATTTCTATCCTTCCCCTCGCCAGGCAGGTTTGTTCCAAAGTTGGAATCTCGGACTCACATATCTTCTTGGTTGGCAGGCCGTCAGAGGAGAAGACGGCGCCAAAGCATTGGACGTTGTTTAGAAGCAATAAGGCTTGGCAGGAGAATCAGTCTCCTGCAAGGCAACTGAGACCAAAGGAAGACCTGGCATTCCTCTCCTACTCATCCGGCACCACCGGGAAACCGAAAGGCGTCCAACTGACACACTACAACGTAACAGCCAACATTCAGCAGATGCGCGGTCAAGAACCAGTGTCATGGGATGGATCCATAACCGTACCCAATATTCCTAATGCGCCCAAAAGTGGCGACAAGATTCTTGCTTGCCTGCCATTCTTCCACATATATGGACTAACTTGCCTCATGATCAACCCTTTATATACTGGTGTCCACTGTGTCCTGATGGAGAGATTCGACATCGAGAGCTGGTGCCAGGTCGTCGACAAGCATCGAATCACTGTTGGCTATATTGTACCCCCCATTGTGTTGCTGCTTTGTAAGCACCCGGCCGTAGAAAAGTACGATTTGAGTTCACTCCGGATATGCTCCTCGGGGGCAGCTCCTCTGACCAGAGAGCTTGTGGAGGCAGCGTTCGCGAGAAAGAAGCTTCGGGTCAAGCAAGGATATGGAATGACGGAAACTTCACCAACACTGTTCGCAATGAGGTGGCAGGATTGGAGGGATAAGGTCGGCACCACCGGACTTCTTGTGCCCAACATGCTGGCAAAGTTTTGCACTGTACCCGAAGGTGAGAATGAAGGAGCAGTCGAGCTACCCAGAGGGGAGCTCGGGGAGCTCTACGTCATGGGCCCGAATATTTTTAAGGGCTATTATAAAAATCCTGCCGCGACTATGGCGTGTCTACATGATGACTGGTTTAGGACTGGCGATATCGGGTTTATGGATTCGGAAGGGAATCTAACTATCACCGACCGAGCAAAGGAGCTGATCAAATACAAAGGCTCTCAGGTGGCCCCTGCCGAGCTAGAAGGTGTTCTCGTGGATCATGAGCTAGTCGACGATGCTGCAGTAATCGGTGTGCCATTGCCCGGTCAGGGTACTGAAGGACCGCGGGCATACATTGTCAGAAAAGGCGGTATGTCCGCCGTACGAAAAGGAGACGAGGACAAAATCCATCAGTGGCTCAACAGCCGGGTTGCCAACTACAAGAAATTACGTGGTGGGATCGTATTCGTGGACACTATCCCCAAAAGTCCGAGCGGAAAGATCTTGAGAAGAGTCCTCAAAGATAGCATTAAGAAGGAATTGCAGCAGTCGGATTTGAGAGGAAAGCTATAGTGCACGAGGTAGGAATGATGTGAGGGCATTACTCACCGGAGTTGGGGCCCTAGTGAAGAAACAGTGATAAAGATCATTTTCCTCTGCCCAAAGAAAATTCCATGTACTAGCTGGAAACTGGAACTTATATAAAATATGGGACAAAAATTTGGGAGAGGCTAGGACTATCTATTGCACATCTGTTAAAGGAGACAAAAACTCACATTCGCTAGGACCTTCACATAAACCATTCAATGCATGTCAAAAGAGCATACACCCAAGCCGGCTGCGACGGGCACCTGGTGCGTGTCTCGCAACATTCCCCTTCTTGCGTAGGGCTCTTTCGTCTCTATGTTAGAAGTCCACCATCAATTATGGTGACGGAGCCGGTCTGAAAGCTCGCATCGTCGCACAGTAGATATGCAATGGCACTTGCGAGCTCCTTCCTGCAGAACTGACAGTTTTTCCAAGTTTTCGCTTTGATCGAGTCAATCTCGCTGAACCGGCATCCGCTCAACAGGTTGTTCAAAGATGTCAGGATACGTTCGCCGGGAAGATCGACAGCCTCCTCAACATAGCAGGGGTAATGGATACAAACGATAGTGTCAACAGCATGAGCGAGGCTAACTGGGACAAAATACTTGCAATCAATCTGACTGCACCAGCATTGCTTTCCAAATATGTCACCAAAGTGTTTTTGAAGCAGAGAAGCGGCTCAATAGTGAACATTTCGAGCAAGGCAGGTACGAGCGGGGCTGCCGCAGGGGCTGCATATACCGTAAGCAAACACGGAATAGTAAGCGGCGAAAAGACTTGAGGCTTTATATATGTCTGACGCCCAAGGTCAGGTTGGGCTGACAAAGAACATTGCATGGCGCTTCCACAACGAAGGTATTCGATGCAACGCCATCTGTCCCGGAGGTATGATTCTACGTTGCTCTGAGGTCCTTGGTCATCAAATGACGAATTATCTCTTAGGCGTCGCAACAAATATCACAAAATCCATTGACGTGTCCAAGATCGATAAGGAGGCAACCAAACTCATAGAGTCAGTGATGCACTAAATCGACCATGCATTCAAGTCTGTTGGCTGACAAAGACTCCAAAAGGCCTGTGGTGAGACTACATCAAGATGGCTTCATGAACAATGCGGCTGCTCCCAATTGCATCTCTAATTTGATGGCGTTCCTTGTCTCTGACGCAGCGTCCGGAATTAATGGCGCCATCATCCCAGCGGACAATGCCTGGAGTTGCATATGATTTTGCATGCCTCTTGACGACACACAGACGAATGCAGAATGGGCTAGCTAGAACATCTTCAACAGAGGCATGATAACGCCATACAAAGTCCCAATGACTACGAGAGTTCCTTTTATTCGTTCGTCTTTGAACTTCAAAAATAGTTGGTCAAAAGTTAGGCTTAGAAGTTCCACAACATTTCCCCAAGGGTCTTGCAAATACGCCGTTCTTTCTCCTCCGGCCAAGTCCATCTCGCCCACCACGCTTGCGCCTTTCTTGACTGCCTCCTTGACCTTTTCCTCCACATTTGGCACTGTGAGACAGAGGTGGAAGTAACCTCCTTTGGTGTAGGTTTCTGGGCCCCAGTCGATCCTTTTATGGGGTCCACTATACTTGGGTTCCGGAAACTCGAAGATTTCGAAACCCACGCCGTTGCCACAGGAGAGCAGAGCGATTTTCATCGCTTTGAACTCGGGTCCGTAGACTATTCAAGGGGTTAGAACCTGAACCATTCGGTGATCAAGCTTGAGACTGACTTTTAGCTGTTGATTCGCCAGTGCCCTCGGTACTCTTCGCAAGAGTTACCGGGACTTATCACGCGAAAGCCAAAGAGCTCAGTATACCACGCGACGGCTGCATCTGCATCTGGGACAGACACTGCGACATGATTAAAGTTCGCATTTAGAATGGGAGGCATGCTATGTTAGCTTTTGTAGACTTTACGCTTTCGCTTCTAGAGTCTCGCAAGAATGGAGAGACAGTGTTCCCTGAAAGTTCCAATATCCATCTGGTATATGCGCGCCACGAGCAAGGAAGAAATAGATTCCATTTCAGCTTCGAGAAAGCTGATAGTCGGATAAATCGATACGAAAAATGGCTGGGCCGTAGCGCAATATTTTCTGCCGACCAGAAGCGCGGTAAAGTGGAAAATTCTGGTGTTTTGTGCTACGATTCCACGAACTCCTGATGGCTTCTATCAGTCGCCCTTCTCCAGAGCCGGCCATCGGCAAAGAGTGCACAATGGGCTGTGTATCGAAAATTTCGATGGATTCTTTATTTTCTTCGGAATCGATCTGCTGTTAGTTTCTGCTCCTTGAATATCCCAGTTTAGACTCTAGCTCAAATTGACAGAAGATTATTAGTTTCTCTGGGCGTCTAGTACGGTGCCCATCCCCCGTCGATGGAGAGACCTGTACCGGAGATGTACCTGCTATGGTCACTAAGTAAAAAGGCTACTAGATCCCCAACTTCCTCAGGTGCGGCCACCCTCTCAATTGCTGGGCCTGGCAGGGCTGGAATTCCAAGCATTTGCAAAGCCCCTCTCAATATTGGTGTGTCTACCGGGCCCCTGAAATCAAAGTCAGCCGCCCTCGACGGGGCCGCCATGGAATTCAAGGTACTTACGGACAAATGCAGTTTACTCTGATCTCACGGTGACCGAGTTCTTTGGCAAGTGACTTCGTTAGGCCCAGCACCCCATGTTTAGCGGTCGCATAGCCTCCATCTTGCGGGAGTCCCAGCTTTGAATTGGCGCTGCCTGCTGTTACAATGCTACCACCATCTTTGAATCTCCCTGGCTGTAGCTGTGCCCGCAGGCAGTGGAAAAGACCTGTCAGGTTGACCCTGATCATACGATCCCATTCTTCATCCGTTACGTCAGCAATTCCATTCGGAAACCTTTTGGTGGGGGCGATGCCAGCGATATTGGCCACACCGTCGAAAGGTCCAAGGGCAGAAACGGCTGACGCGATCCAGGACTCGACGGCCTTAGAGTCTGCCACGTCCAGAGATTGTGTATGGATTTGTCCGCGCGCTGAAGGGAACTGCTCCTTCAAGGACTTTTCGAGGTCAGCAAGTGCTTCGACTTGAATGTCTGCTAGAGTCAGAGATGCTCCTTGGGAATAGAGGTGTTTTGTGACGGCAAGGCCAATCCCCGAGGCAGCACCGGTGACAGCGAAAACCTTTCCGGTGAAATCAAATGGGGCCTTTTTAGATGGATCCATCAGGGCTGTATCACCACTTATCGACACATCGGCTTAGACGATGGAATGGCAAGCTTTGTACGGCAATGTGCGAAGCATGAAGCTTGAGATCGAGGATGGAACATGTAAACTAACATCTAAGTATATCTTTCTGGGGGAGAATTTTTGGTCTCGGAGACTTACCTCAATTGGCACTAGTAACTTAAGTGAACTGGTAAGTTACTTGGGGAAAGACTGGGGCACCGAAGTGCTTATTTCGACTCGTAACGTACGAGCACTGCAGGTGTATTATGGCGCCGTACACGATCCCACGGAGAAGTAGCTGTGGGGTATACTATCCTTCCGGTAGAGCTCATCGCGTCTAAATCAGAACTCTGTCGGCATGACCGTATCTCGCAAAAGCCTTTCTCGGCTCTGTGATACTCCAAAAAGTGACCCTGCACCGCACCACTCGCCCTGGATTAAAGTGACCTAACATATAACATGATCCCTCTTGTAGAAGGCGTATCTTCATTCCCGAGAAGTCAATTGATGTCTCAGACCGTGTATGTTACATGGACCGACGGGGTCGCGTAGTGGCGAATCACTGAATGCGAGTCGTAGCAGGAAGGGGGCCTCAGACCATCGATTCGTAGAGTCTACTTGGCAGTCTGTTCCATGCAAAAGGTTACCCGCAAATTAAGAAAAGCGACCGAACCATCTCATCGCTTACTACGTCCCTCCATTGTTCTTTCTTGCCCGTTTGGTACCGTTCCAGAAGTGCCTCGAAAGAAAGACAGCCGGCCAGCATCATGGGCGACAGTGGAACGAGGCAAGTCGACGAGGAGTTTGAATACCCTGAGGCGAAGCCTGCTATCCCTCTTCGAATTTTGGACCAGTACCATTCGAAACCGTCGAAAGTGAGGATCGCTTGTGCCGGCGCAGGTGCATCGGGACTATGCCTGGCCTACAAACTACAGAGGATGCTGGTTCCAGGGTCCTGGGAGTTGAAGATATTCGAGAAAAACAGCGAGGTCGGTGGAACTTGGCTTGAAAATACTTATCCCGGAGTTGCGTGCGACATCCCTGCGCATATCTATACCTTTACTTTCGATCCCAAGCCGGACTGGTCTCAATACTATGCATCTGGTGAGGAGATCGAGAAGTACTTCAAGGGGTTTGCGGAGAAGCACAGCTGCTACAAATACATTACTTTCGAGACTAAAGTAGTCCAAGCCGAGTGGGACGACTCGGAAGGAATCTGGAAACTGACCCTCGAGAACCAGAAGACAAAAGAACAATGGCAGGACTGGGCGCACTGTTTTGTCAATGCCACAGGTACGGCCTTGCACGCTGGTAGGCTAACAAGGAAACTAAAACGAACAAAGGTATCTTGAACAACTGGAAATGGCCTGACATCCCTGGTCTTCATGAGTTCCGAGGCTCGTTAATGCACTCAGCGGCTTGGGACCACAATGTCGACTTCACTGACAAAGTCGTGGGTATCATCGGGACCGGATCTAGCAGCATTCAAATTGTTCCAGAACTGCAGAAAGTCTGCAAACAAGTACAAGTTTACATGCGAAGTCCGACATGGATCAGCGGTCCATTCGGAGCAGGGCCGATGAGCAACGACCTGACGAAAGAACAGAAGGACCAGTATAACTTCACCGAGGACGACAAGAAGAGATTTTCAGAGGACCCTGAGTATCATTTGGATTTTCGAAAGAGGACCGAGGCAGAATTCAATACGTTGTTTGGTGCATACCAGCAGGGATCTGAGCTAAACAACTATTTCCGCACGGTCCTCGCCGACCTAATGACGCAGAAGATTGGACCAGACCATCCGGAACTGAAAGACTTTATTATTCCAAAGTTCTCTCCCGGATGCCGCCGACTTACACCAGGAAGCGGGTTCTTGGAGGCCTTGATACAGCCCAATGTCGAGCCCATTGTCGGGTGTATCGAAAAGGTCACTGGCGACGGAATGACGGTGAAGGATTCCAAGGGTGTCAGCACTCATCGCAAGGTGGACGTGCTTGTTTGCGCCACTGGATTTCAACCTGCATTCAAACCTGTAATCAAGGTTATCAACGGTTTAGGAAAGTCGATCGACGAAGACTGGGCCACAGGACCTAACTTATATTTCGGAGTTTCAGCCCCTAGGTATGAGTCTGCCACCTTACACCAGCCAACATGACTTACGCTGTGACCAGATTTCCAAATTACTACACGATTGTAGGACCGGGAGCGACATGGTCCAATGGCACTTTGCTGCCTAGTATCGAAACGACCGTAGAGCATGCCGTCAAGCTCATGAGGAAAATGCAGCATGAAGGCATTAAGAGCATCGAGGTGAAGCAAGAGGCTGTCGACGAGATTTATAGTTATTTAGACGAATACCACAAGACCACTGTATGGCAAGAGGAATGCCGCAGCTGGTTCAAAGATGGTCGCATCAAGAACCGCATCTATCTGTGGCCTGGTTCGGTGAGTGGCCAACCCCTAATTGGTGCAATGTCGCTGACTCCTGAAGACAATTCACTTCTTGAAGACGATCAAAGACCCACGAATGGAGGACTATAACATGAACTACCGATTTAAGAATCGGTTTATGTACTTGGGGAATGGAAATGTCAAGGCAGTCTTGACCCGTGACGTAGCAGGTCTATCACCTTACATTCGGGCGAGTGACCATGAATGGTCTGTAGAATAGGTCTACGTTGGTAGCTGCATTGTCCCTTAAAGCAATTTTTAAACCTCCTATCGTGCATTATTCCTCAAGGCGGATCGTAGACGAACGTTTACGATCAACAAAATGTGTGAGGGTGTACATGCTCGGTGTCGGCTTCAATCGACGCCTCACGCGAGAAACGATTTATCTATATAGGGTTGTTTGGATGATGCTCTCTACGAAGTTATTGCCCCTGGATGAAACTCCATCCCAAGGCTTCTAATGACTAGTAGCCCAGCGCCCAAGTTTTTAACCACCCCCAACCAGCTTAAGCCCCCTCGGGGGAGCCCCATGAAACGAGCCAGGAATGCAGGCAAGTGTTATGGCTCCTAGAAGCCGATCTACCTCCTTCTAAAGTGTCGTAGATTTCGCTCCGACTCGTAATTGTCGAATTCGGATCATTTCCTGCCGAACATGCTGTTCTGGTTGGACACTCCAAAGGTCGCCCTAATGAGCATCGCTCTACTGCCGAGTAATCCTCAAGTGAAGCCCTAAATCGTGCCAGTTCTTGGGGCATTTTTGGAATCTCAAAATAGTCTCGATAGGAAGGTAATCTGTTGACTTGAGACTGCTTTCTCCCCACCTCTCCGAAGCACCTACAGCTTTTGAGCGATTGATTGGACGGCTGATTTCCTGCACAATGTCCGACGCCGCGAGTGAGGTCAAGCTGAAGAATTTCAACAGCATATTCAGCCTCGAGGGCAAAAACGCTGTAGTGACGGGTGGTTCAAGAGGTCTGGGGCTATATGTTGCATCTGGGTACGCACAGGGCAGCAATAAGGAAAGTGATCAGTGTAACATGGTTTGCTGATTGAGATTGTTAGATTTCTTCAAGCGGGCTGCTCAAAAGTCTTCATTACATCTCGGAAAGATAAAGCCTGCAAAGAGGCTGTGGCAGCGCTGAACTCCCTTCCCAACAAGAAGCCTGGTGCACAGGCAATCTCCATCCCGGCCGACTTGGCCCAGGTTTCTGAAATCCAACGACTCACGAAGGAGATCGCAAAACATACAGACTATATCGACATCCTCTTCGCTAATGCTGGGGCGACTTGGGGGGCACCATTCGGAAAACATCCTGAAGAGGCTTTCACGAAGGTTCTCAACCTGAACGTCAAAAGTATCTATTACATAGTACAAAACCTGGAACCCCTGTTGTCTAAGAATGCGACAACCAACAATCCTAGTCGGATAGTCATCAATGCGAGCGCTGCTGGGATCGGTGTTGGAAGTCTGGGTGAAAACGCGACGCACGCATACACCGTGTCCAAAGCTGCCGCCATTCATCTAGCAAAAATCCTTGCAGTGGAGCTCGGAGGACGAGGGATTGTTACAAATGCGATTGCACCAGGCTTTTACCTCACCAAAATGGCGGCGGGCCTCATCGAATTGACAGGAGGGCTTGCCGTCCAGGCAGCCAGGGCACCCAACAATCGACTTGGTCAGCCTGAGGACATTGCCGGACTAGTAGTCTTTTTATGCAGTCGTGCGAGTATGCACATCAATGGTGCCGTCATTACGACTGATGGCGGAGCTGTGCTTGGGAGCTCGAAGCTTTGAATGAGTGGGAAGTAGCTGTGGTCACATTGGTAAGGGGGACAGTAGCTTGGATATCCTAACATTGCATTGTTTCGGTCATGACCGGTTTTCCTATACTAGTTCATCCAGGCCAGGCGATTCTCCCGCAATTGTCATCGCAACCCTAGAGTGACCAGGGGACCAGGACTAGCAGTGGAAGCGACTAGGCGAGGCGCGAGGCTGAAAGGCAGATCTTTGCAACACGTCACCGTCAATAGCCCATTCAAATAAGCCTTTGTTGGAGGAAAAGACCTAGACAATGTAAGACAGATCATCCTCCAGAATCAAGTACAAATACCAAATATTTCAGGATTCCACCCACCAAACGACTAGCCATCACCGGAAACGCGATACTACACACTCTACCGCTGGGCGATTCTGCAAGGGAGCACTGAGATGAGTTTAGCCCGATGGGCTCAGGTCGAAGGACTTTTGCTATTTTCTCCAAGCTTTTTCTAAAAACTCTCTCACTGTCACAGGTTTGATGCCTGGAAAGTCATCATTCAGTGAATGAGCTGGCCTATGGTCAAGCATCCCAGCCTCGCACCACAGACCAAATTGGGAGAACAGCTTCCTGGCTTGATCATTTGGCCACGACTCATACACGTGCTTCTGGTTTGGAAGCTCTGTAATCTTTCCTACTCTCAAATCCTCAAGCGAGTCCCGATGGATCTCGAATTTAACACCTTTGATGAAAGAGGATGGTCAGCCCCTGGCGCTGCCTCAGTGCAATTACGCATTTGCTGAAAAGCCACACTTACCCTTCGCTTCCTCTGCGATCTGAATGAATTCGTTCCAAGTGACCTTGTCTCCAATTATATAGCTCTCTTTCGGCCATTTTGGCAGGCTTAGGCTGGCAATGGTGAACTTGGCAATATCGAAGGTATAGGTAAAGGTGACCGGCACGTCTCCAGAGCCGGGAATGCCAGCGACGTTTGATTGCATGTCCACGCAAATACATATGTTTGTCAAATATGATTTCACATGAGGGACGCCGTAGTAATCGAGAAAATATCCATTGTAGATTGCCATATACTCCAGAGACCGGGATTTTTCCATGGCGTCCATAATAACAAGTTTAGGCTTGATTTCGGGGATATGTGCCTGTCTGCATAGCCATGCTCATGTCAGTTACGGTACGCAGATCGGCCATGGCATGGCATCCGCATACTCGGGTCCATAATGAAAGCTCCCCCAAATGCTAGGAATATATCTAGTAACAGTATGTGCTTGGTCCGCTGCTTTGATCAGGTTGATTTCTGGTTGCAGTGCGGTCAAGTAGTTGATGCAGGATATCACTATCTCTACATTCTTATCCTGGAGCAATTGCGTTATCTCATCTGGATTATCGTAATCTATTGCAAGAATTGGATATCCCAATTCTTTCTCGAGATCGGGGTATTCCTTGTGAGGTCTTGTCAACGCCGCATAGGAAACATATAGTAACAGGGCACCCTCACCTGACGACTAAGGACGAATAGTGAAAACTCCGGATGCTCCCGAAATTCCTCGACGATAGCCCGGCCGAGGCCCGAGGTCCCCCCAGCTACGGCAACGACAGTCATATCTCTAGGTTTGATCCTCTACCTATGGCTCGCAGTTTCAGGCCTTGCTTCAAAGCCTATACTGGCAGTCTGTAGTCGGTGTCAACCATGTATTTAATGCACCAGATTTCATATCAACCCCGCAATACGAGTCGTAATGATACTGCAATGCGTTATCCTTGCCACACGCGGTTTTCCTCAGCCGAGGTTCATTTCGACGTCGTAGCTAGTAGATCCTCCCCTCCTCGCTCACCAGCTAGTGGTACCTGAGGTTTCTTCATCATCACATGCGCCATACAGACTTCATATTAAGGCCTTTCTACCTTTGTACTCTAATATTGAATGAGCCTTCTCTGTACGCCCTTTTGATTCCATTCCAAAGCTATCCCTTGCCTGCAAAAGGCGTGTGAGCTCATAACGGAACAATGAACTTCGACCTTCCCTCAGATCTAAAGCAATATCTTGATCGCCTCGACGAGTTCATCCACGAAAAGATACTCCCGTTGCAACGCAAAGATGACAATGAGCGGTTCTTTGACTATCGAAGAGAGGCGTCGAGGACTCAATGGACGAATCAAGGGCTGCCGACGCCGGAATGGGAAGATTTACTAGGGCAGGCAAAGCGCCTAGCAGATGAAGCCGGGTTCTTTCGATTTGCCTATCCAAAAGAGTACGGTGGATCGGGGTCAACGTCTCAGAACCTATATATGTGCGCCATCAGATATCACTTGGCAGCGAATCATGGAGGCGGCTTGGGCTTAGCAAATGACCTCCAAAATGAACATAGTGTCGTTGCTAATGACCCTGTAATACTGATGTTGCATTACTACGGAACACCGGAACAGCAGAAGCAATTTATTCCAGCAACGATCAAAGGAGAATTCCGCGCCACATTCGGCCTGACGGAAATATATCATGGCTCGGACGCGACGTTTCTTGATACCACTGCGACTCCAGTTGCTCTGGAGGGCGGTCAAGCTGGGTTCGAGATCAACGGAAACAAAAAATGGCAAACAGGGGCTCATCACGCAACTCATTTTCTCATCTTCGCCAGAACCTCGGGCCGAAAAGGTGCTGCGCGAGGCATTACGGCGTTTTTAGTACCCAAGGGAACTCCGGGTGTACAAATCGAGTCTTATCAGTGGGCAATGAATATGCCAACGGACCATGCTACAATACTCCTGGACAAAGTCCGTGTACCAGCTACTGCTATCCTCGGCCCCCTAGATGACGGCCTTTCAATAGCCCAGACATTTACACACGAAAATCGCATCCGACAAGCCAGCTCCAGCTGCGGTGCGACGCAATACTGCATTCAACGCAGTATCCAGTATGCCAAGGATCGAAATGTGTTTGGCAAGTCACTGTCGTCTCATCAAGCCATCCAATGGCCGTTGGTGGAGCTTGCAACCCAGGCCGAGATGCTCAGGCTACTAATACTTCAAACTGCTGTTGAGATGGATCAGATCGTGGCCGAATGCAAAGAATCAAATGCGAAACCATGGATTCGTATCGAAAAGGAACTGGGACACAAAATCGGAATGTGCAACTACTACGCCAACCGTCTCTGTACTCAGGCAGCAGACCGTGCGATGCAAATACACGGCGGGAATGGGTATTCGCGAGATTACCCTTTCGAGCATATCTGGCGGCACTTCAGGCGCTACCGTGTGACAGAAGGAAGTGAAGAAATCCAGATGAGGAAGATCGCCGCCTATTTGTTCGGGTACAAGTCGACTGGCAAAGAGCAACAACCTAAATTGTAAACGAGACTGCGATACTCTATTTCCCTGAGGACCAGGCTGTGATTACAACACAGAAAAAACTCAATCTCAATAAGAGCGTTGACTGAAATCGTCATCGCACACTCGCAGAATCACGGATACAGATCAAGCTCCGTGACGGCGCCCCGAGTCGGGTAGGAGAGAAGCTGTTGGCGGTCGAGTAGATTGGTTTGGCTATCGACAAAAGCACGTCTGGCATCAGACCTACTGCAAGTTCTTACCGATGGTGGTGTGGAATACATCGTATCCACATGATCACAGTGCGCATAACTCTCGGATCATGAAATGTGGTCAAAGAAAGAGAAGTCTTATTGTTACTGATATTCTATATTTGGCCCATGACACCTGAATTGAAACACTTCCATGCAAAGAAAACCAGTTTTGAAGGACTTGGCGTGCTATCACCCAGGCGAAGACATCATCCGACCACTCCTTGGGGGAGAGAGGGTTCTGACCCAGGACTTATCGAAACAGAATTGGAGCAACTCTGGAGTCAATGCTACAACACTTGCATGATTTGGACCAGCAACCAAGCCAAAATCGGGGGCCATGTCCTTAACTACTAACGAATAGGATAAGCAAAGACGGCAATTCAATCCATCATACCGTTGTTACTTGCGAGAGGGTATCTAAGGTGTCATCCAAGGACATGATTCTTGGTTCAGAAGGACTGCATCCGGTATTTCACCATTTGCCCCGTTGAGGACCTAATTCTACCTGCTGCCCAACCTACTGCCTTTGCGAAACTCTCGGATAGGATCAGTGACAATTCTTGCTATCAATCAAGTCAATAAATGATGCCCCTGACAAGGTATGGATGGCCAGGCACGGGATTATGGGACTTTTCATGTTTACCTAGGTTTGTTGCCAAGCTCGTTATCCAAAACAGACTTGAAATTTTGCATTTTGACCATTCTTCTATCTCAAGGGTACCCAGAAATATACCTCCTGCATTTTTAGACCCGCGGCAGTCTTCTGCTGAGCGTATGTATCGTCTAGTCTGACGCGTGCTTTGCCAAGCGCGTGCAAGCCCCATGCGAACCAGAAGCAATACTCGTGCGTTCCTCTTCGGGTAAGATCCAGAATGACAACTTCAGCTATGATTTCAACCTACATGTTAGGTAGTCATAGGCTTCAGCTCGCCTCTCAGACGACCATTAGCAGTGCCAGAGACTTCCATCATCGAGTGAAGTACATTGTAGCCAGCCTCTTCCGATGCCTCCTTAAAATGATCTCGTACAAATTCTGGAGTGTATTTTCCCTGCTGTGTCCAAACACCAAGAGTTTCTCCAATGAAGTACCTGCCAAAGCTGGCCCCGTGAGCATAGATGAATTCGCCCGTGGTCTTGCAGGATTCATGCAACAGCCACACCACTACTGGTGCAACGGCCCATGCGGGCATCGCTGAACTCAACCACTTGATCATCTCAGCGTCTCTGATAGTTCCCTCCATCATCGGTGTAAAAGCGCCAGGAGCTATTGCGTTGGACTGTATGCCGTATTGAGCACCTTCAACAGCCAACGAATTCGACAGAGCGTAAAGAGTGCCTTTGGCACAAGCATAGGCCGCCATGTGCATGGGACCAAGGACGCCAGAGGAAGAGACCATGATGATGCGGCCGTAGCGCTGATTCTTGAAATGTGGCCACGCTGCTTGTGTGATCAACCAGGCGCCCCTCGAAGTGGGAGGTCATTACTTGACGAAAGTCATCCCTAGAATATTCATCACAAGCACGCGACATGAAGTTTCCCGCATTGTTGACGATAATATCGATCCTGCCAAACTCGTTGATTGCTTGCGCAACAATCTTTTGAGCGTTTTCGGGGTCGGCCACGCTTGCGATGCACTGGGTTGATACTCCACCAGCCTTGGAGATGATATCACTGGTCTGCTGGGCTCGTTCTGTAGAGATGTCGTTGACTACTACCTTTGCACCGCGTTTAGCCAGTAGCAAGGCATATTCGCGACCACAGCCTGCTCCAGCTCCTGTGACGATTGCCACTCTGCCATCGAATCGTAACTCTTCTTTCGGATCGATTGCCATTGTTCGCCTTGTTGCTCCGTTGTGTTCAGATTGGCCAATGCCTGAGTTGAGCTGAAAAGAGGCACGTCTTGAAATGGGTGTGAGGACATTGAAACAACTCTTGTCCGAGTAAAGATTTTGCGCAAATACAAGAATTGATTGACTAGCCCAGTCGACAGGCTGAATTATATTATACGAGTCGGGTGTTTCGAGGCCCGCCTCTCCTTCCTATTGGCCAACCACGTGACGTGACGTTGCCAAGGCAATGTTACGTGAGGCAGTTGGCCTGGCAATGTTGCAACTTGCCCCCCCCCCTTCCTTTTCAGTCTTGCTCTCTTGTTAGATAGGACAATAACGCATTCCTTCACTAGACTCCACAGTCTATCACTTCCGCGCTCTACGCTCTGTCGCGAGCCTGTAAGGCCTGTGAAAAGGCGAAAGTTAACACTGGAGCGACTGTGGATGCATTTCGAGTACTTCCGGCAGGATGGAAAGGGTGTCCAGGTTCTTTTACGAGACTCTGGGGGGTTCCCTGCCCGCATTTAGTTCGCCGGCGAGTCCTGGATTGGGATGCCCTCAGAGTCGGCGTTGAACAGCCTCCACAGGTTCAGTCTCGCCACAGATTTGATTCTCCGGGCAATCAACGAATGCCAAGCGAGCTTGAGCGGGTGGATTGCGGGATTCAACGAATGAGGAGTTAGGTGTTGAACAAATGGTGACCTATCGTTCATGGCAGACCCACTCATTCTGTAGCACTCGCTTACTAGCCTGCAACACCATTGACAGGCAACAACGCCAAAGTACACCACGGAGATAGATATATAGATAGGCTCTATCCTGCACTCATGAGGAGAGCCAGAGCACTCTTTGGTTCCGCCAGACTGCCGGTACTCACCGAAGAACTGATATCTCTTCCCTCGGCGGAGAAGCGAGCTGGTGATCCCGATGATGTTGCCTTTGTTGTCGGATTTCTGGTTTCTGAGGAAGCCCAGTGGATCAACTGGAGCCTTCCTAGTGGCAGAGGCGGCTCAAGACTTTTGGGCTGCTTTGCTGGGTTAGAGGGCCTCAATACAAGATCCCAAGTGACAGCCAGTCTTTCCTTATGCGGAAGAAGAACCGCTACAGACTGCTTGAATCAGGGAAATCCACCACGATTGCTCTATCCAACCAATGAACATCGCTATGAAAGGAGTCAGCATGACCTTGGGAGGACAGATACCGCGGGCCCTGGCAGTGAGTTCTTCCCTTCAAGCCAAAGTAGAAGTTTCGTATGATATGGAGGGTTAGCCCCGATGCGTGATAAAAAGATGAGGTGTCCAAATCGTAGCTCTGCGATTGATGTAGAACATTCACACTTTTGCTGACCAATGGATGTTGAGGAAATTTGTGCTCCAAAGGATGTGAAACTGTTGGCTTACCAGTGGTCTGACTTAAATTTTTTTGCTGAATTTCGACTCGTATGTTCCGACGAGGGGGTTAAGATCGTTCTCGGACTACTTGCCCAGCACGCCATGGGGAATCGGCTTGTAAGGAACTAAGTCAGACCGCCCCTGATACACGTCCGGGTGTGCTTCGATAACGGCCCTCGGAACATCGGATAAAGAAAGGGCTTTCTAATAACTTATACTTTCTGATTTCTCACCTCTTGGTTCAACAAATATGCACCTCGTTGGCTTTACGCCGTGTCGCGACCTACAACACCAGCAATACACGGTCTCCCCAACTCCACACTGATCCTCACCATGTTACAAAAGCTCCATTCGCAAGCCGAGCTCTTGAAGACTTCGTTCAATGCCCTCTCCGGGGAGGCCAAGCTCGGTACTTGCATTTCTCTTTTGGGCGTATTTGCCTTCACATATTGGTGGCTCTTCACGCCTCGATATCCGAAAGCTCCGACTTTGAGGGTTTCAAAGAAACCATGGATCTTTGGAGAGCTTGAAGATGCAAAATTATATGTGACCAACAGCATCGACTTGCTTCAGATTGGCTGGGAGCAGTACTCGAAGCATGGTACCAACTATTTGCTCAACACGCCCAAAGGAAAAATTTACATCGTTGCGCCAAGATACATGGATGAAGTTCGTCGCGCACCAGAGACACACGTTGATAACACTATTGCAAACAGCCAGGTATATTGCTTCGTCTCCGTATCTTCAGTTGAAACCATTGTCTAACGGACGGGTGTCTTTTCTAGCTGACCCAAGTAGCCTGGACGCTCCACCGCCGTCTTGCGTGGGACCAATTCCATTTTCATACACCTATCAGCAAAAGTCTCACCGAGAGCTTAGGCCCAAGGCTTTTGGATGTCGTGGAAGAGGCCAAGATGAGCATAAAGGACTACATTGGTTCCGAGAAGGGTATGGAAGCATATTCACAAAGTAGTGATACTGCATTTGCGTTCACCTTCTAACCTTGATGGCTTGCAGATTGGACTCCGAAGAAAATGTACCCCGTGGGCTTCGAGATTGTCACACGTACAGCCAATAGATTGCTGTTTGGCGAGAAACTGGCACGAGATAAGGAATTCCAGGATCTCTCCGTAAACTACACGAATGTCCTTTTCGGTGGAGCAGAGATGATCCGCAGTTGGCCGAATTTTGTCAAGCCCTTTATAATGTGGCTGCGGACGGATATCTATAGCGCACAAGCTATAGCCAGAAAACATTTATATCCCGTCATCGACCAGCGCATCAAAGCGGAAGATGCTTACAATCGAGCCGGTCGGCAAGCAGAGTGGAAGAAGATTAAGCCTGATGATGCAATCCAATGGGTTCTCGACGTGGCACCCCCCGACCAGCGAAAAGCGGACATCACAGTTTATCGGATGCTACATATCAACATTGCGGCAATTCATACGAGTAGCATTACCCTGCTTGAGGCGTTTTACTTCCTGGCTATTTTCCCAGAGTTTCATGATGAACTCCGAGATGAGATTGTCCGCGTGTTCCGCCAGGAGAAGAAATGGACTAAACAGGCTTTGACACACCTGATGAAACTCGATAGTTTTCTTACAGAAGCTCTTCGATTCTGTCCCTTCACTGCTCGTAAGTTTAAAAGGAGAACGACGTACGTAACGATGGTATACTGACTTATCAACAGTGAAAATGCAGCGATATACGGTTAAAGATTGGACCTTGAGTGATGGTACTGTCATTCCTAAAGGGGTCTATTTTTGGTGCAATTTTACCGCACTATCCCTAGATGAAGACACATACAAGGATGCGCATCGATTCGACCCTTGGAGGATGTATCGCAAGAGACAAGAGCCAGGACAAGCAAACCAGCACCAGTTTGTGATGACTTCCGACACTAACTTGACCTTTGGGCACGGCAAGAAAGCATGCCCCGGTCGTTTCTTTGCAGCCAACGAAATTAAAATATTGATGGCTCTGCTAATTACAAACTACGAGATCCGCTGCACGAATATTCGAGGAGTCGAGGAGATTCGAAGAGGTGGATGGATCAACATTACGAAGAATCCCATCAACCATCCTATCGTCGACTTCAAACCCAGAGACGACCAAATTCCCGAAGATATCAGACACTTATTCCTGGATATCTAATGCCTGATACATCAACTATTCTTGTATCGTACGACACTGCCCCTGGGGTTCCAGGAAGATCAAGTCCCAAGAGAGATGGTTGTGTTTTATTTCCTCCTAAGCACGATACTGGGATGTTACAGCAGGCTTATTGAGCCTAAATTTTTGATTCACCATGCCTCATCTGGCGTAATCACTATAGTAACGAGAGAAACGGCTTACCAGTCCTGATCGTTTTTACAATCCCTCTGTAGAAGAAAGTGCATCAAGACTAAAATGTACGCTTGGATAGATCAAGCCAATCACCTATCTTCTTCAGGCAAAGTCGTATCTTTCGACTCCCATGAATACTGCTCCCACAAAGAAGTTCTGCGGGAAGGTTGTAGCAATTACCGGTGCTACATCAGGAACCGGCTTCGCGTTGGCGGAGCCGCTGTACGAGCAAGGCGCATCTCTTGCTGTCAGCGGCCGAAATGCACAACGACTGGAAGTTCTTTCGCAAGCACTGAGCAAGCAGCAGAATGTACCTGAACAGCGGTTCATTGCAACCATCGTCGACGTAGGAAAAGAAGCGGCACAGGTAGATGCCTGGGTCGAGCAAATAATTTCGATTTTCGGGAAGCTAGACTGCGCTGCGAATGTCGCAGGTGGCTCAGCTGGGGAAAGTTTCTCTCTGGTGGCTGAGAAGATGGACGAAGAGTTCGAAGCGGCCATGGATACGAATCTTCGAGGAGTCATCAACTGCATGCGAGCTCAGATCCCTCACTTAGGGAGGGGCTCTTCTGTAGTCAATGTGAGCTCAGGCTCCGCCATCAGAGGGATTCTAGGCTTGAGTCTTTACTCGGCCGCCAAAGCCGGCGTAAACAATCTCACGAAGACAGCGGCACATGAATACGGGCCTCAAGGCGTCAGGTTCAACGTGGTAAACCCAGGCCTCATCTTGTCGCCCACCGTGCAAAATCTGGGATCAGAATTTCCACGACGTCTTATTGAAACCACTCCTTTGAGGCGTGCGGCCGAACCTGTGGAAATTGCTCGATCGGTGGCGTATCTGCTAGGAGACGACTCCAGTTTCCAGACCGGTTGCATCATGAATGTGGACGGAGGCTATTTGACAGGAATCGCGGCGTTCTGGGCCTAGGGCAAACCTATACTCTACAGGTCGATTGAATTAGAGCTTTGAGGGCAACATGGTTTCTACGTCCTGCTGTCGTATGTGCTTATTTTACAGATGACGCCGATTATCTCGAAAAGCCGCTCAGCACCCGTCAGGAATAATCCAGGCTACCGCCGGTCATCAGGATTGACTGTTTCTCCAAGTGCTGAAGAAATACAAATGTGCCCATAGTCGGGACGATCATTACGTCAGATTTTTTTAAAAAAATGGTTATAGGGTTTGGTGTTTCGAGGGGAAACAATGCTGCTTTAACTTGTCTATGTCCCGAACAATTCGTTTATAGCCTCGTATGACTCCTGGAAGAATCCCTCAACTCCTTTACTATCGCCATCGCATAGTCAGAATACCGATAGACCTGGGACACATATTGTTTTGCGGTCTTGCCGCTCGCCTGGCGTTGCGCATAACGCGCGCTAATGCCTTGTACGATGATGGCACTCCTGAATCCCCAGAACGCGTTGCCCCAAGCCAAATCCACCGCGACATTGTAACCTGATTCTTCTTTATACCATTTCAGTGCTTGGTCTAATGTGGGCAGGCCGGGTGTCACTCCCGGCGAAAATGCGTCTGGCTCACCAGCTGCGATGCGGGCTGCTTGGCTCACCTGGTCCAGAAAAGACCACGGTGATACAAGATTGACGACGTCGGAAAGTGGGTGTCCAATGGTCGCCATTTCCCAGTCCAAAACTCCGATGACTCGAGGTTCGGTCTTGTGGTAGATGAGATTGTCAATCTTGTAGTCGCCATGTATAAGGGTTGCCCGGTCTGCTGGTTGCTGGGACTTGTCCGATAGAAAGCTGGCCAGTTCGTCAAAGTACGGTATCTGCCCGACACGCTTGTTCGTGTCGACGTCTTGAACCGCTGCTTGGACCTTAGAAAGATTGCCGAATGTCTTCATTTGTCTGTCATAGAAACCTTGGTGCCGACCGAAGTCAGAGAGGCCAACCTTTTTAAAGTCCACTCGATGTAGTTTGGCCAGCGTCCGTACAGCATCGCGCCACCTGCTCGTGTCAGTAGATGCTTCGCGTGGCCGACTTTAACCTACATTTCGGTCCTTTCCTCAGTGCTGACATTTGGGAAATGGATCTCTGTGATAACTCGACCGTCCAGGAATTCCATGATATAGAATGCAGTTCCAATTACGCTGTCATCTTCACACAGCATATATACCTTGGGAGCCGGGACATCGGTCTGTTCGAGGGCGCGCAGAACCTTGAATTCGCGCGTTACTTGATGAGCTGTCTTTGACAGCAGTTGGCCCGGCGGCTTCTTGCGCATGACATATTTGCGACGGTCTGCCGCGATAAGCTGGTATGTAGGATTTGACTGTCCGAAACCGAACTGGAGGACGGCTTTCGCTAGCATGCAAGCTGTAAATCATAGGTGGTGAGAGCGAGATTTACCTGTTTGACCTGCAGCGGGGTTTTGATTTCCGGGATGGTTCGGTCAATATATCGCTCAAGCGACTTGAGATCAATTGGCTGGCGAACTTGTTCGGCCATGGTGCTGGTATTGCTGTGAGGTTGACCAAGTCAGTGGCATCAACCACCCAAATATCCAGCAAAACGACCTGTTACTTGAAAAACATCTGCTGTGGCTAGGCGCAGTTGCACGAGATTACCTAAGACTGTTGCCAATCCACTGTCGACGCCATTCCGGGTGTCGAAAGAGACGAGTCGAACGGTGCTGAGTGCCGCACCATATGAGACTTGAGCCCAGCTCCTCCGGTCCGCAGTGATCACCGACAGACATTTGCTGGTTGAATCCTGTGAGGGCTGGCCCCAACAACACCAGACCTTTTTTTTTTTTTTGTTGCTCGACCGTGGTTTGCCAAGGGCCATTGGCGCTTTCCAAACGAGTGGACTCCCACCTGTCGAGCCGTCGTGATGACTTTTCACTTGGAAAATTCGAGACACACAGACTCCGTTTAGCACAAATTTCACAGGAACCGTGAGCAAGGTGCGTTCAAGACGATGCCTCAAACTTGATCAAGGCGCCATTCCTGTCGATTGTGGTTCACCCGGGTTTCATAAGTTAAAAGTCTCAACTTCTGACTCACAGAGCTGGCTCTATCCGCTGGATCATGGTGTTTCTAAGTAGCCACGCAGTAAAGAATAAACACTCTACAAGCTACCGGTGAGAGGATAGTTGCAGCGCCTTATCCGGGCTGTTATCCCGATCCAAGCTCTCACGACTATTGAGGTGTTGTGCATTATTAGTGCCAACACCAACAATTTAGATACTCTTATGGGTATGCATTTAATTATCTGGATTTGCAACGAACCTTCTCTACCATAATGCACGCACTGATATCGCGGCGACGATCAATCCAAAATTCAAGGGAGCATTTGGCTAGTCAAGAATAGTGGTCCCACTGCCATCGTATAACCCGACGGACTTTCGAGAATTATCAATCGTATGGTTCGATGCCACTGGGAGCTCCCTCGTCCTTCCGTCAAAATATGGGGACTCCAAATTTGTGCAAGGATTAGTACTTTATCTCAGACGAATCCTTCAAGGGCCATCATCAAAAGTTTTACTGCTGGCAATTCCGCCCGCATAACCCATGATCTTTTTGCATTTCGGGTAGTCGAAAGCCCTTCCCCAACCCAAGTTCCCCCCAATAGAACAGTATTGCTTGCCACAAACGCCCAGAATGGTTTCGAAACGGAGAGCCCTCATTACAGAGTGGATTGCTGGCTTTAAACCCTTCACGAAAGACAGTGTTGCACGATATCGGACCGTTGATGCGGCCCACGTCGTCGTCCCAGCAACTTCTGGGACTCCCTGGAATAATGATCAGACTCGAAAATTCTTCTCGCAGTAGGAAGGTGTCGTGAAGGAGGGCACACACGAGGTTCATTACTGGTTGGAAGATGAGAAGGCCAACAGCTTGGCAATCTGGACAACTTGTACGTTTACTTTCGAATACGACATTGAACCTTACGTCGGCACGTACATGATGATCTTTGACTTTGATGACACTCAAAATCACATCACAAGATTTGTCGAGTTCATTGACACTGGCACCACCCCACACATCATTCGCAAGGTCTGTAACAACGATATCAACGAAGGGTATCGATCTGTTACGAGGGGTGTAGAGAGAAGGATCACAAATCGTTGCAAGTGCACAAGGTAGGGTGTGGAATAGTAATGTACTGAAACCTGTCTGTCTATCCAAGGGTTCGAAGGCTCTTCTTATACCTTCGATCCGTTCATCTTCCTGCCTCCTTTCTAACGCCCAGCCCCCTTCCTGCCACCTTTGCAGTGGCTGGGAATTCGTGGCGTGATGGGTGTTACAAGAGTGGCGATAGGAAAGTCGGAGGACTACCGCGCTTACTACCCAGGTGTATGATATTTGACGAAGGGAAGCATTCCCATAGTGGTGAACCCCACTTGGAACCTCATCCAGAATCGAAATATGGCATACTGTTTGCCCAGACCACGCAATAGTGGAGGTGGGAAACTGGTCGCCCCATAAAATGGATCGATGAAAAGCGGGGTTGGTTTTCTGAAAGACGTGCTCTTTATGGTTCTCCGTCCCGTCTCCTTGTGTACCAGCGGCTCTGCAAACAGCAAATTATTTCTCTCTTGCAACGGAAAGGAACGACGTGTACGGTGAAACAGGCTCAATGATACCCCCAGGGATTGCTTTCGTGACTGGAGGAGGACGAGGCTTAGGAAATGCGGTGGCATGCTCGTTTGCCCGCGCAGGCTGTCGAGGAATCGTGATCATCGATATACTACCAGATGCTGAGCTTGAGAAAGGCAGACAGGCGGTCGCACAACTAGGTGCTAAAGTAAGTAGAAGGAGTTGCTCCACTGACTCAGGCCCTTCTATTTCAAGCAGTGGCTCTCGAATTCCATAGCGAGGAACCATAGTCAATTTCGCATCGGTGAACTCGATTCTGGGAGGTCTCGGTACTGCTGCTTATACTGCCTCCAAGCACGCAGTCAACGGGTTGACGAAGACGGTAAACTTATCCAGGCTGGCCAAAGTTATATCGCTGACCCGTGGGGTGTTGTAGGCTGCCCTCGAATATCGCAAACAGCACATCCGTATTAACGCAATCTCCCCCGGCTTTATCTGGACCGCTATTGCGGCAGAGAATACCAAGAATGACCCTCGAGCGCAAGAAGTATGGGCACAGATGGAATCACGGCAAGGCAGAACAGCCTATCCAGAGGAGATCGGCGATGCAAGTGTGCTTTTGTAAATGGCCACAACCTAGTCTGCGATAAGTACGACCATAGATGTGTTCGTGCGATCAACAAAGCTAACAAAACAAGTGGCTACTGTGTCAACCAAAATCCTTTCTGAACACGCTCAAGACTGCCCGAACTTCCAGGGTGACCGGTAGCACTAGAGTGATGTGCCGGAGACTGAGGGCTGGAAGACTGACATGGCCAGGCATGAAATCAACGTGGACGGTGTGATCGATGCGGGCTGCTACAGAACGCAGCGTGAATAAAAACCGGTGGACTGCCTTATCTATTACCTATACCTTGCTGGAGTTGATTTGTGGGCCAAAGCCCGCATATCGACGGTTCTAGAGCAACGAAGGGTCTTAAGTTGGTACGCCGACACGCTTCGATCACGTTTCAGATAGAGTATGCAATATCCGTTTTCGCGTTCATCTTCTTAGATCATGCTGTACATGGCGCCTCCAGCCTGGGCGTCCACTTTTGCTGCTTCCCCCAGGCCAACGACGGTAAACAACTTCTTCGGAGTGAAGTCGGAAGCCAGCCCGGTTCGTCCAGTAGTTTTGATGTTCTGGTATGTTTGCCGTATGGCCTCATAAGCCGGCGCAATTGCAGCAAATGGGAAGATGATAATTCGAAAGCCAAGCTCTTGCGCCTCGTTAGGCGTCAAAGACGGCGTGGCGCTGTGTTCAACCATGTTGAGTAAAACTGGCGTAGGCGCTAGCGCTTCGCGAACAGCCTTGCACTGTTCTTTAGAATTGATGCCTTCTAGAAATGCAATATCAGCGCCAGCTTTGATGGCAGCCTTTAATCGGAGTATCGTTTCGTCAAAGTTATGAGTCTGCAATGCGTCGGTTCGAGCTATGATCAGGATATCGGATTGAAGACGTTCGCGTTCTTGGGCGGCGGCGGTGATCTTCTGCACGAGGACCTCGGTACTGACAAGTTCTTTGCCGCTGAGGTGGCCGCACCGTTTGGTTTGAATCTAGTCCTCAATGTGCAGACCAGCGACACCGCTGCGGTGATATTGTGCAACCGTTCTGGCGACCATATTAGGGCCTCCGTAACCAGCGTCGGCATCTGCAATCAACGGTACACTAGGGTCCAGATTGGCAATCATTTCGGCATGTTCTCTCATGTCGTTAAGTGAGGCGAATCCAAGATCAGGCTGGCCAAGTTTAGAGGCACAGGTCCCAGCGCCTGTCTGAAGGGAAAATTAGCTGGTATCTAACAATACAGACGAACTGAGATGACGCCTACCATATAAATGCATTCAAATCCAACCTCCAAGGTGATTCGAGCGCTGAATCCATCGTACACTCCCGGCGCAACGATGATTGACGACGTGGAGTCCAGGAGCTGTCGTAGGCGTCGCCCGGGGGTCAAGTCGTGGTGAATGTCCGCCGTTGAGAGACATCTTGGTTTCGTATATTCTCTAACGCTGGTAGATGCATCCGTCGCAGGTACTCCGCACGTCTTTTATGCTGCCTCATCTCCGTTACAGGTAGCATCACAAGGCCGATACCGGCAATAAATTCATGAGATTGGAACATTCTCTTCGATGTATGACCCGACGCCGGGCCACTTCCCGGAGTCGAGCAGCTCTCCAAGTTTACATTCCAGAACGCCCGAGCCAGGATATTAGTGTGGCCTTGTGGAGCCGCGCGACACCTATAATTTTACTCCCGATTTTTATTTCCCGAGATATCACTTGTCCCGAGATGAAATGCCAAGATACAGAGGATGGTTGTGGACCCATGTTCGGCATCTGCGGATGCCTGCGGTAAGCAGTTAGATTATCCCATCGTACCATTCGATACCCATCCCATTTTGCCACAACGAGTCAAAGTTCCGCGAAGAGGTCTCCAGCCAGGATGTGTGAGGGGATTTTTTTCACCTCTAGGAAACATTGCTTCAGGACATGCCAACGCAGGTGAACCATTACACACATTTGGCATATCACGCAGAGATCTCAAGCATTAGTAGGGCAAATACTAAACGTGTAAAGCTGCACGACAGCCTAAGTTATGTCAGGTCTGATTGATGATCGCCATTCATGTAGTCTTGGCCACCCCCCGTGACACACTTACATGCCCAATTGCTGGTAGTGGTCGACTCGCACGATCAAGATCATGGATATTTCTCCAACTGCTCTGACTCTTCACTAGTTGGTTTATTTGATCCAAATATATCCTTCTCCACGTCCTCGTTGTCCGATGGCTTGACCGTTTTAAGAACCTGTGCAACCTTCTCTGTCATCACGGGCGTCAAGTCCTTGGTATACGCCGCAGCAACAAGGGCAACTACGCCAAATGGTATACTGGAGTACCACACGTAGCGGAAAGACCTGATATAAGCCTTCTTCAACGCCACTTGCGAGACTTGCATAATCTCTGAGGTGAGTCCAGGAACAGATGTCGGCGAGATGTTCGGTGTGGCCCCGGTCAAGATACTCAGGAGAGCTGGAATCGAACTCGATGGTAGGCCGGCTGCGGCTGCAGCAGCTGAGACATCCTCGGGCACAAATTCCGCGGCTCTACCCGTGAAAATTGTAGTGAAGACCGAAGTGGCGACAGAACCACCGCCGAGACTCATAAGCGTCCGAAGACCAGTCGCAAAACCGATCCACTCGTCTGGAGCGCAGAGTTGGATCAGGGGTATACTGAGTAGATTTGTCCAGCCTGGGAATTTCAAGCAGTGTTAGTCCTTACTCAGAACAGTGTGTTCATAGGCTGACTTGCCTATCCCAAATGTAGCCGCTGAAGCCAGCCCCATTGCCATTCCCTGTTGGTCGTAGTCGACTACCGCAATGAGCGCAATAAAGAGAGCACATATGAATACTCCAACAGCTAGCACTCCATTTGTACCGATGCGTCGTGACAACCACGGCAGAACAAGTCCAGAGATTACTCCACCCACCGTAGAAACACCAAGTGGCAGCTGGGAGATACCGACTTGTATGGGATCATTTCCTACAAAGCAGGAAGTCATGAACTGTGGGTACAGAGCTTGAAGAGAGTAAAACAGCATGCCGCTGACAAACACCACAATGGCTTGCAGGGTGAATGTTCGAAACCGCCGCCACAAAAAGGGGTGCAGGATCGGGCTTTTGGTCCAATACACCTCTGGAACCCGGGTCAGTACGACACTCGGAAAGCATATTTCTTAGCCTTACGCTGAAAACCAGTGCCAATGGTGACTAGAATACCGATTGTCAATGGCGCCAGGAAATGTGGGCTCGTGGATCCATATTGTGGCTCCCAAACGATGCCCATCAGGAATAAAGTGATACCTGAAGTGATTCCGATGAAGCCTAAGTAGTCAAAATCTCTCAATACCTCTTTGGCTGACACATTTCGAGTCGCAAGAGGAGCTTCCGGCCGATATGTGAGGAATGTCGCGATTGAGAGGGAGACCCCAGATGCTAGTCCGACCCAGTACACTGTTCTCCAGCCGGGGGCTGTGTCGACAACCATGCGGTGCGCTCATGTCGCGCTACCTTAGCAAGAGCCAAAATGGGGACCGAGGAAGAAAGAAGCCTACCGAAGTAAGACCCAGCACTGCTGAAGAGCAGAAAGGGTAATTCGATGATTCCAACAACTGGCCCTCTCCATTTGGTGGGAACTGGCACTTGTTAGAAAATCGTAGAAGCTAAGTGGTAAGAGCAACTCACCAATCTCCGACACAGCTGATACGCATTGGATTCCCCCAGCACCAGCAAACCCCATAATAGTCATACCTGCAATCACTTGGTAATGTTGGCGATTGTAGTCCTCCATGAAACGTGCACTGACTCACCAGTCCCAACATTCTGAGCCAATGCTGCAATAAGACCACCTAATCCAAGGAATAGACCAGTCGACACCGCGAACCATCTCCGCCCGAATACGTCGGCTAAAGAACCATAGAGTACAGAAGAGACGGCATAAGCGACAGTATAGGATGAAGCGATCCAAGAGTATGATGGGCTAGGCCCTACGTTCTGTCAGTACTATATATGCTTTGGACAAAGTGAAAACGATGTGTGAGAAGCGCAAGTCGACAACCTACCAACATCAGTGTTAATATCTGTGATTATAGTCACCGCCATAAGGTATATAGCTAACGAATCGACGAAACTGAACTGCCAAGCATGTCAATCCACTGCAGCTCCAGCGATTCAGGACAGGAAGAAGTACCGCCAAGGCCACCACAGCTAGAGTTAAAGTCCATGTAAAGACTCTTTCGGGTGATCGGGCGTCCGACACATGCTCCTCCAGGTGAAGCATGTTGCTGGCATTTGACCTGCGCTGGGATTGAGAAGAAAGTAATGGCATATTGTGCGACTCATTGCCTTTGGTTAGGAGTAGGGAAGCATGATTTCGTCAGAGGTTCATTGCTCTTGATAAAACACTCTGGGGGTTTTCCAAAATGGGGAGTACGACTCGTATAAATAAATGGCAGCCACATACCCTTGCAGGTAGTAAACTCAATCCCAAACCAGCTTCGTATAACCCCCGCAAAAATGGTAAGCGCCCCAGACTTTCCCAAGTTGCATACACTGTCGGAGAAAAAAAAAAAAAAGAGCGGATTCCCGAAGACGGCTTAGTGCATCGTAGCGTTCGATATTTTCGGATGAGATGAGCCTGCTGAGCCCTTCTTTAGAGGGCTTCTAACGCCTTCTTAATAAGCTAAGAGTAGTTGACCAAAAGTTAACCCAGCAGGTGGTAGGTACTGATGCCTTTTTTATTTATTGCTCTCTCCTGTGAATTTCTTAACCGGGAAATACGCGACGATCTCTGATTTAGAGACAGCTATCCGCAGGGACCAATCGAAGGGAAACGGAAACAGAGAGTATCATCCTCAGCAGGTTGAGTGAAAATTACAAGTTCTCTGCTAGTGCAAGTACGATATTCCCGCTCATAGTTTTTGCTGATGTAGATATTCAGTCCCTTTGAACTCGGCAAGATCATCGCCAACGCTACTGTTAGCTGGTCTTTGTACCTCTTCTTAGATCGACCGTAAGGCGTATTCTCTTCTCTATCAACCTTTCCTACTCACATACTACAATATGCCGTCCAAACGGTATGAAACTGGGTTGGTATTCTTGAGAGGCTGGAGGAAATTCGACGTAGACGACTTGGTTGAATACCGCACACCCAATTGTCTTCAGGGCTTCGCTCCAGCCGTATCAAACGACATAGTCTGGAACAACGAGCAGGTTCAAGACTTCTACAGCCCGCTCCAAGGTAAAGTGATGAAATCCTTATCCCTTACTGTGAAGGAGGTCTTTGAGGACAATAAAGACAACAAAATGGCTGTTTGGTTGAACAATCGTGTTGAATTTGGGCAAGATGTCGGAGTTGCAGGGGGTGGATACATCATGATGTTATGGTTCGACGAGAAACAGGAAAAGGTTACGAAATTCATCGAATAAGTAGATATACTGACGGCGCAAGGTATCAAGGATAGAATACAACAATCTTTGTATATCATCAATGGAAAACAGCCGCAGTGATGAAGACCTATATTCTAGGAACGTATGGTGCCTGTCTTGGGCTTTCATGAATGCCAGTCATAAAACATTTTGTCCATACATTACTCAGGTATATCATTAGTACTGGGCAGTACGATTATCATTGTATATCTCCTGATCCCATTCCCGCTAAATTGGCGGTAGAGATAGTCTATTGGAGTACTTTAACGATGCCTATGGTTTTGGAGCTCGGCGACTGTACTAAAAAGGCCCGTCAACTGCCTCTTAGAGGCCTCTGAGCCGCGGTCCGGAATTATCTAAGCGTGTACGGAGCGTGCAACGCCTTGAACACATCGGCTGGATGTCATCGACCCGAGGACTACTTCTACATATGAATGCCGAAAACCATCGCTGACTCTACTGTGGTAGGCTGCTACCGCGTCGTCTTGCTATTTATACGGAGCCCCTGCCATTGAATGCAGCCTTGGCCTCGTGCGAGGAAGACTGGCGTCTCGTCTTGGACGAACGCTGGGAGAGACGCTTTCGTACCATTGCCCTAGAAGGAAAGGCAGCCTTTGTATCTGCTCCTTTCTCAGCGCCAAAGCCTAGCGACGTTTGTAATTTTTTGTTCAAGCTTTAGAAGTTGATGACTTTTCTCGGGAAAGAGCATTTTGTCACCCCCAAATTGAACAAATATCGTCTTTGGGGCATTTTGACCAGAAAGTTCCCGATTTTGCCCCCTATCAACTCCGCCCTTTTCCTGAGGAGATAATCTGCTAGACCCTCTTCTGCAGGTCTCGATCCCAACAATACCGAGAAATTGCTGAGAGGACTGCAGCTACAATCATGGCACTGCCAGCAAATTCGGTCCCTGCTGCAAACCCATGCTTTCTGATCAATGCACCGGCGATTGGAGGCCCTGTCAGATTGGCAAAAGACACCACGGCGGTTGCCTGACCCAAATAAGCACCAATATCCGCTGGTCTAGCTGCCATCGACGATATTGAAGCAGGATAGACCGAGATAACCGCACCAGACACGAAGCCAAAGAAGCCGGTCCAGACAATCATACCGGCCGTGCCGTGCACCCTCGCCCAACAGAACAAAAGTATGCCGTTCAACACATAAATTATTGGTAGTGAGTTGAGTCGCCCAAATCTGTCGGCGAAGTAACCCGGAATAATTCGCCCGAGCATTGAACATCCGTTCATGATTGGTAACATGTAGAAGGCCAGCTCTTGGTCCATCCCAACTTCCTCTATCGAAAAGACAATGATGTAGTAGTAGGGAATCCATAGTGCCCACAGACTGAAGAATACCGCCGCAACTAGAATCGAATAGCTCGGAATGTTGAACGCCTCGAACACAAACATCTTTCCTCGGCGTGGAGGAAGGCGCTCTTTGACAATAGCGCAAGCGACTATCATGAGTGCGAGTAGCGCGAAGCCCACTGCGCGAATGCTCCAGGGGAATTTCAGAGTCCGACTGTAAAGAGCATTCCTCAATGCTATCGGCAGCAGAATACCGCCCAAAGACGCTCCGGCTGTAGTGACTCCAATGGCAAGGCCGCGCTTCCTTCGAAAGTAGTGGCCAATCACCGAAATGGCGGGGGTGAAAACAAATCCAGTGGCCAGACCGCACAGAATGCCTTGTGCTAGGAGGAACTGATAATATTCATGGCACAAGCTTGTCATCATGATGGAGAAAATATACACAATCGAAGCAGGTATGATTAGGACCTATTTCATCCCGTCCGGAACTAGTGAGCTTGCGGTGCATGGTTCAACGGACGAGGGAGGCCTACCCTCGCTCCATATAAATCGAACAGATTTCCAGAGAACAATCCTATCAAGTACTGAGTAAACGTTTGGGTAGATCCAATCCATGAAATGGTTGAGGGCGACTCATCACTAAGCTGATGGGTTTCGTAGTAAGATTGAAAGGTGCTGATGGTGCAAGTGTCTCCGGTCAGCGCCCATAATCATGACGTACTTCAGGATGTCTTTCTTTGTTCTCTTACCCAAATGAACTGAGCCATCCGAATGAACATCCCAACAAGATCATAGACCCCAGCACAACCAGCCACGCTCTCCAGCCACCTTCTGGAAAAGTCGTCTCGAATGGTGGTGCTGTTGTTGTGCCTTCATTCTTTGGCTCGGTATCGTCTGAAACGTTTGCGACACCTTTTTGAGACGGCTGCAAAGGCTCGGTGGACTCTCCCGGATCCTTCTCATCTATAATTTCTGCACGGTGAGTACTGTTGTCGATTGTCATGGTGTTCAAGGCATCTTCTCAGGGTTCAACGAAAGGAAGAGTTAGAGGCAATGGACGTTCCATGGACCAGACGAGGAACATTTATATCACTCATCTGGCATCGGGCCGCGGCTGACCCACATTTTACCTGCAAGATCGGATTGGATCACCTTCATGCATGGACGGCGTTAAAAACGGAAAAAAGCGTTCGGCCGAGCTTAACCTACTCCGCATCTCTGTGACGTGACAACAGATTCGTAACTCGAAGCCTTTGCGTAATCTACTTCAAACATAGGACCATTTCTCGATCAGGGGCCTAGCTTCCAATAAAGGTGGTCGGCTCTACGCGACAGCGTGAGGCGTACAACTTCCTTCGGAATAAATCCCGTCATGTCTCGAGCACCATCTCCGAAGTCTCGTCTGATTCTGACCTGCGAGCCATGCCGGTCGTCAAAATTGAGGTGCGACCAACGCAAGCCAATATGCAGTCGTTGTCACGCCAGGGGACGCGCGTGCCACTACATCTCGCAAGTGACCAAGTCGGAGTCGGGACGCTCTTCCGGCGAACGAAGGAGGCCGCTTATTGCACCTGGTAACGCCTCTGAGGATTGCGAGAGCGCCCGCGTCCCACCAAGGGCAATCTCTGCTTCTCTGTCGGTAGATCTCCCGCAAAGTCTGGACCTTATCCATCACGGCCCAGGCTCCCAGCGATCATTGAGATCGAAATCTGACGAACAAGAATTTGCCCAGCCTTTACCACATCTCAACCGAAACTATCCTGTTCAAAGAAGAATTCGGGCAGCGGTCTCGTGCGCTCGGTGTCGAAAATTGAAGGTCAAGTGTGACCGACAGAACCCTTGTGGACGCTGCCGTAAATATGGGCAGCATTGCAGGTATCTACCTTTTCGACTACAAAATACGGCCTACCCGACGGGGGAAAGGGAGACGTCAGCGCTGAAAGGCGATACCATGAACAAACGAGGTCTCTGGAGAGCTAAACATTGCGCCGATAGTCACTGGGTCACTCTCTTTTACTATGCCGAAAACGTGCTCGAAAAACGCGGAGTTGGAGTAAATCACTTGGAAAACGACCCTGAACCATGCCTTTCGAGTGAAAATCTGACCTTACCAAACTACCCCTTCGTGGAATGCTGGGATAGCAAGGTCATATCCCACAAATTGCCGCCCCGAGCAACAATTGAGCTTCTTGTTCAACGATATTTCGATACCACCGGGAAGATGTTTCGGATAATGGACTTGTCAGCATTTGAGGTCGAGCTCCAGCACTTTTGGGAGCTACCGGAGCAAGCAAGCCCGGGATGGATGGCACAACTTTTACTCATCATGAGTCTGGGATGCGATTCTCTCAACACGGTGGACGATGAATTTGCGACTTCACACGGACATTTGCCCAATCTATTTCTCGATCAGGCAAACGTTTTCCTTCATCGTACACCTTTCATGTTTCGACCAGATCTCTACACCATTCGAACTTTATGTCTGATGGTCTTGGCCAAACAAATAATCCGCAATTCTTGCTTTGAAGAAGACACGTCGTGGTGCTTGACCGGCACGATCAAACGTCTGGCTATGAGCATCGGCCTGCATCTAGACCAGCCGAGCAATACGTTACCGCACCTCGAGTCAGATGCACGGAGAGCGCTTTGGACGATAATCTTGTATTTAGATCTTCGTCAGTCTGTCCTGAGCGGATTGCCAATTCTGATAGAGCCTCTGCATCTTTCGTTTGCGGTATCTAATAGCCTGGGATTCAGCGACTCTCCCTCCCCCCTCTCCAGAGTTTCGACGCCGCAGAGCGCATCGAATGCAGCTTGTGAAGAGATATTTCAGAATTTTTTTCGCAAAGTCCTTCCGCTAGCGCACGAGATTGCGCTGGCCGCAAGATCAGTTGATTACTCATACGAAAAGGCCATCAGAGATGATGAAGAGGTTCGGCAGGTTCTGAGGGAGGTCAGATGGCTTTCGGCTGATTTAAGCTCTCCGGCCACACCCCACCACGACTGCTCGATCTTGCAGTGGGAGGCCATTCACCTTGACATTTTGTTCAGGCGCCTACTCCTTGAGCTACACAGACGGTTCGCGTACAAGCCACAGGCCGTGGTCCACTATGCCGTCTCTCACTGGAGTACTCTCGACTGTGCGGCAGCGATATTGGTTCATCAGCGAAACATATGCGAAAAGTCCGAATCATCGACGGCCGGCCAATGGCTGAGTGGGATCTTTCGGTCTGATTTCTTCGTTGCTGGTTTGACGGTATCTTTGTACCTCGTACAAAGCGGCTCCCAGCTAGATTCACCCACCTTACCAGGAGGCTACGCTCGAGAGACTTTGCTCGAGACGTTGAGATCTTGCCGCGATATCTGGGCCCTGGGAAAGAATTTAGATCTATGCCAGTTCAAGAGGTTTCAGTTTATTGACCGGGTGATATCTACCCTTGACTAGGACACGGGCGTAGGCAATACGCAAAGATTTTTCAGTAGAATTCCTTTTGGGGATGCCTTTCCACTCATGAAAAGGCCAACGGTTTGAGTCTGCGGACAGGTAGTGGTGGAGCGTTGGTCTTCGGAGATGGATTTGCCATCTCGCGCTTTGTCCATCCCGATGAAAAAGACGTCGAGATTATTTCGTGCGGTACTTTGGCAACTACCATTCGCGGGCGTTGCTAATATATATCTGTTGAGGAAACAAGGGTGATAGATTCCGAAGAACATGTCCGAACTCCATGGCGTTAACCACGGTTGATTGCCAGAGTCAAAAGGTCTCCGAATGATTCTTGTTTTTCTACCTCGATCGAAAGTACCCACAGGATGTCAAATACTTCATCCGCTGCCACGCCCACCAAGAGGCCTGGTCCAACATCATGAAACCGCTCTTCGTGCTCCTCGATAGCCTCGTCCAAACGGGGTCAAATTTCCAAGACAAAGCCGGGGAGGAAATCTCTTGAAGCGACGAGGAAGAAATCACTCTTCGATCCAAGCAAGCTCATTCAGTCATCGTATTGCATCCCTGGACAGACCTTAGTCGTGCTTATACTCATTGATCCTACATCGGATCATCCCCGACAATTCACACTAGTTTGGGCTTTCACCTCAAGTGGTAGTCGCTGCAATTCACCGAAAGTCAAAATATTACCTCGAATGGATAACGCACCATAAGGCTTGTAGCAGTTCGACGTCTTAAGTCACAGGCCTGTCGCTGTGGTCTGGAGAGGAGGCATGAGGTACATTTAGTATGAATCATCGACGGTGCAAAAGCCGTCCACGTGATGACTTATCTTGGCAAGTAAGTTGTTGCGAGGCCAGAAGACGAGATGTGCTTGCCATGGCAGACGTTCAAGCGATTGTGAGTAGCATCTTACCAAGCAAGGTGCAAAGGTCTCTTCCTCCTATTGCTCATTACTATAGGATTGATGGAGAGGGTGGTAAATATTTCGCCGTCAAATCCATGTGTGGCAGCCTTTTTGGTTTATAGTCAAACCATTTTCGCGAGCCGCCTTTAACTACTTTTCATAATCTCAATCTAAAAGCGGCCATAATCGACACTCTCAAGCTGCGACGGGAGACACTTTCGCTCTCAAGTGGGGGCCGATATACTCCGGCAAGAAACAATCGCGCCATTTCAGTTCTTTCGGGCTAGAAGAACACCGTCAGTTTGGAATGTGTGTGGATATTCCTTCGGTTTCCTACCTTGACGGGTCGATTTCGACATGAAACTTTCGGAAGAGGTGTGCAAAAGTCAAGTATAACTCTGCCCAGGCCAGGCTTGAGGACTATATCAGTGAAAGCCATAAGGTGGTCGACGGGGAGAAGGCCTACTTTAACCCTAGACAGCTGCGAGCACCACGAGAAAAGCTGACGAGCCATCTTTCAAGTTGCTTGCCATCCATATCAAGCCAACGCTCTGGTTTGAACTGGTCGGCATCGTCGAAAAGAGTGGGATTCCGATGGACAAAATGGCTGCTCATTTCCACGATCGTCTGTAGAACGTATTTGAGCATCTGGCTAGGATAAACAGGGCCAGGCGAAACGTACACCCCCCGGTATAAACTTGTCAGCCAACGTCACACCAGGCGCCGGCACCACTCGGGGAAGTGGAGATGCAACCCCTGGACTCATTCTCAGAGCTTCTTTGATCACACCGGTCTGAATTTTTCAAGTCAGCACTGTTCAAGGGCAACTGAACACTGGCCACGTACAAGATAAGGCAGCTTTTGAAGTGTCACCAAAGAGGGTGGTTGTTCCAGGATTGGCCACGTTCCCTGGAGCTCCGTCCTGAGCTTCTTGTAAACCTCCGGGTTCGTCAAGATATAGAAACTTCCGTGCATTAGTGTAGTACCCGTAGTGTCCGCTCCTCCGAACATCAGGGCTTGCGACTCCTCGTACAAACTCCCAGGATCGGGAACCGAATGATCACGGTACAATTCGGGCCTGAGAAGTTCATGGTATATCGTGGTGGAGTGTGGGAGCTTCTTTAGGTTCTCGGGGTTGCTCGTCACCTCTTTGATCTGCTGCTTGAGGACCTGGGTCTTGTTTAACCAACATCAACCAATCATGGCCATCGGGAAAGCCCAACCTGCTGAAGATCAACTAGACCGGAAGTGGCGGGACTGACGAATTTGGATATGGTTGGGGGACAGTGAATGATCATATTTTTGTACAAGGACGAATGCTTGAAGGCAACAAAAACTGGTAAGGACGCATCCATGGCGACGATGATGGGGGCCTTGTGATCAGGAGCATTTATGGCGTCCACCGAGTTTCCAAAGCACAAATCTGGCGACTCCGACATCAGTGCAGGCTTAGAGAACCCTGGCAAGGACTTAACTGACAGGTGATGACATCTATCGACATGCACCGAAATGCATAAAATAAGTCAACAGGTCGATCAGCGTGTCGGGAAAATGACTCGCAGAGGCCAATCACCTGGCCTCCGTCAGACTTCATACGTGACTTGCATTCCTTATGATGATGACTTGCCTTCTCTTCAATAAGTCCCTCCGCCTCTTGAATTGCTTTCTTTGAGAAGACACGAGAGAGAACGTCCTTCCTGCTCTTAGCATCTTTGTACTCGAGGAACCCGAAGGATGACCGGTCTTCCCCGAAGCTGTGGTACAGCGACCGTTCTTTGTCCCAACGATTGTTCGCATTGTAGATCTCATGATACGTCTCTGGTCGCGAGAAATGTAGCTGCCATCACGAGTAAGTTAAAGCCATCCAGCTACGAAGGGTCGAGGAGTTCTTCAGTGACGCACCTCGTTTGGGCCCACCCTCACCACATCGCCTGAAATAGTCGGCAAAATTGTATAACTTGACGTTCAGCGATCTTACCGTATTGACTGTGAAGCTTTTCCAAAGTATGCACAAATGAACTTCGGGCGGCAACGTCGATGTAAGCTTTGTAGAGGCCAGTGACAGCAGCAATTGGTGGACCTGGGAAGGCAGCCAAAGGGTGAAAATAGATGTTAAAAATAGCTCGCTCTACCAACCATGTCAAGCCGACCAGAAACGAAACCACAATGCAATCAAAAACGTTGAGGTTGGCCACCTGGCGGACAACAAAGTCAAATCCTGGTGGCATTGCTGTCGACATGGAGTGTATGCTGTGCGTTCTCACATGAGAAGGGTAGGTCGGGTATTTTAAACCAGCAACGCACATGGGGGACCGGCGCACAAGTTGTCAGTTTGGAGCAGATAAACAGGGGTATGGTGGCACCTAACTGATAGGCACGGACCGACGGAGTCCCTTCCACCTAATTGCAAGAGTACTGCAGCTAGTGAGAACGCATTGGTCTGGTTGCAGCATCGTGCACCTATCGGGTCCTGTCCCGCCAACTAGTAGGTGCTTCAGGCATATTTCGTAGTCACATGACCGTCTCTGACTATCCTCTTAGCAATATATACTGTACGTCGCAGCATTTTCTCCGTGCTTGTAGCTGCCTTAGAATCCTCCCTCTCCCTAGGATCGAGCCATGGCTCAGCCGAATCAGCCTGAAGCCGACCCAGCCATTGCCATTGTGAGACGCCAAGTCCCTGAATCGGAGTAAGGAGCGGTAATGACCCATCATCGAGTAGGATTCACCATTCGAACAGGACTCTGCCCTTGGGGATGATGCTCCATCGTATGTTCCTTCCTAGTCGTCCTGTTCGGCACAATCCTGACTTCTCATCAACGCCACAGGGAGTTTACCTCTCTCAAGAGCAGCATTTATAACTATCATTACGCGAATGGCCGTCGTTATCATGCATACCACGCAGGATCTTATTGGTGCGGCTTAGATGTCTCGACTGACTTCAGAAGCATGCTGAGACCGATGTCAAGGGGGCCCAACGACGAGAAAGCCATGGAGCACCTTGATATAGGGTAAAGAACTCTCGATCCCTCATTCCTCGACGATCTTGCTTGAACCGAGGATAGGCACCATCTCTATACACTCCTGCTCGAGGGCCGGCTTCACCTGGCTCCCATTGGAGACGACGTGCAGGTACGCTGTTGAGAGTGTACTAGGAAGGCGGAAAGGCTAATCCCAAGAAACAGCGCGTCCTTGATGTTGGAACCGGAACTGGTCTATGGGCAATGTTCGTGAGCACCCTGACTCTCCCATGAAATATGGTTTATGCGCATAGTGACTTCGCCGACGAACATCCTTCCGCTACCGTCATTGGAACCGACCTGTCCCCCATCCAACCGACGTGGATTCCACCAAATCTCTCGTTCGAGATCAGTGACTGTTGCGAGGAATGGTCCTTTCCAAACGAAAGCTTTGACTTTATACACGTGCGGGGCTTATACGGCAGCGTCGCAAACTGGGATGCTTTTTACAGAGAAGTTTCCAAGTAAGAGAATATTTCCGCTGTGCCGAGATTCGGGGTGACCTTTATTGAGGTGTCTTAAACCAGGAGGTTATGTGGAACAGGTCGAGCAATCAGTGGTGCCCAAATCTTACGACGGAACCACCGATGGGACAATTTTTGAAGAGTGGGGGAATGTCTCCCTTGAAGCGGGAGATGCGTTTGGAAAAACACTTCGTATCGTGGACCAGTCAGCCCAGTACATGACCCGGGCTGGTTTCGAGAGTGTTACCGAACAGCGGTTCCGTTGTCCAGTGGGCGGCTGGGCCAAGGACAGTCGTCTCAAAGAACTTGGACACTACAACCGCCTCCAGTGGGAGGAAGGCATTGAAGGCTGGACAATGATGCTTCTTACCAAGATACTTGGGGTACGTTTTTCCCTAGATTCGCTTGAATCAATATCCAATGCTTACGTTGGAATTCGTCGTTTGTAGTGGAGTCGAGAAGAAGTCGAAGTGTATCTCGCTAGAATGAGATCCGGACTACGTAACCCCAGAATCCATGCTTATCAAGAAATGTATGTCCGCTCCTCGGAATGAGTCAATGACTGACTTTGGAAAGCACTGTGGTATGGGGTCGAAAACCGATGTCAGGACAGATCGAGGAGTGAATATAGAGAAACACCATGGTGGATATCCTATCCTCTTCGACGCACTATTGCATTACCCTAGGATCAATGTTGCTATGACATCAATTTCCCGTAGGAGTTCTGCTAACAACTGTAACTTTGGCTATCGGTCTTGGATCCTCAGGCTTCTTCCTGTCCCATTCCATGACGTCCGTTAATTTCGTTATAACAGTGAAGCGCTCGGGCACTCCCTTGTCGCCCATTCTCTAAGGTGAGATTAAAGCACTTGTAGGCTCGAATGAGTGCGAATATTACTTGCAGTACAGGAGCAAAAGTTGGCCGACCTAAGGACCCACTTTCACGGACGCCGGAGCATACTTTGCCTCCCAGAGTAGTCAGAGGCCGTGACGGCCTCCTTGGGGAATCTCGGTCCCCCGCAACATCGAGCTCCTGCTCGCGTCCGCGATATCCCACAATCTCCCCCAGATTTTTTCGATATTCCACAACGTTCCCTTTAAACCCACTTTGCCATCTTCCTGAAGGATACCATTTGTCGTACGTACTATATGGGGCATATCGCCTCTGAACCCGACCGGCCCTCCACCGAAACGGAGGGCAGCAATAGCTTGCACTTCCTGCCATACGCGTAAGGTTCGCTGCAGTGTGGTTTCGAGCAGACGACCATGTCACAACTGTCAGCAAGACCAGATTGACTGCGTCCTGCATGTATCGGCCAGGGGCAAGCATAAAACCCCGCGACGGAAGAAGGCCGCTACTGGTTGCGAACTGCGCGACATGCGCGGCGAACAAGCACATACGTCGAACGGACAATCTCTTCCAGAATCTTCAACCAGTGTGTCCAACTTGGAGCCGGCGCAATCAGCTTCTCATCAGGATGGAAACTGGAGACACCGTCAGATCTGCTTAGCACGGAGGTTGAAGATTTTGAGTCGAATATTGCCGGCTACAAAATAATCGCGGAACCAGCTGCAGAAACTCGCGGCTCAGGAACTCCGTTCTATGTCGGTGAGATACAACATTCTTGGGAGCTGTTTTAGGCTGCGGATAATGTGTCCTGTGCCGAGGAAGCTAACACGACACATCGGATCCATTCAGGAGAGCTTCAGCCATTGCGTTTCATATTCAATACCATCAAGGACAACAAAGTCGCAACCTGCGCACATTTCTTGGTTCCTCAAGCTAATAAACCAAGATTAGCGTCAGAGGACTATGCATTTCTTTAAGCTAAAGACGCATTCTGCATCGAAAGTGACGAGCGGCGGGCCGAGCTCATCCTCGATAATGTGCACCCTGTTCTTCCAGTGCTTGATCCGTACGATTTTCTCCGACAGTACGAGCTCGAGGGACCTTCGCGGACAAGCCCATTACTTCTTCAGAGCATGTTTCTTGCCGCAAGCAGTGTAAGACATGTTCAACCCTCTTCCTGCTCAGTAGGATTTTGTTTTTGTTCTTCGTGCACTGTGACTGAAAGGAGGACCCAGTTCGTATCATCTGACATCCTGCGACGATCTGGGGCCCATTCGATTACTTCTCTTAAGAAACGATATTACCTGCGCGCGAAGGTGAAATAGTCCCCATGATCCCTAACAATGCCTCCTTACCACCCCCCAAAAAAAACCGACGATTCAAAGTTGCTGACATTTTCCCCCCATTCTTAGCTACTCTATGATTTCGATCACGAAGCGGATAAGGTTTGTCTAGTCCAATCACTCCTGTTAATGGGGTACTGGTACGGTAATACACATGACCGGGCCGACAGTTGGCATTGGATAGGTATCGCCATCAGTCTCAGCCAGACTATGGGATTGCTATGTCCCGGACCTCGTGCTCGACGACTTGGTTCAGTAGTAGCAACTCATCACTGTCCGAAATCAGTCCCGTTGCGGCAGCGGTGGTGAAAAAGTGTGACGAACTCTCGCCCATCTTCCTGGAGATGCTCAAACTGAGCCGGATCATAGGAGGCGTCCTTGTATATCAGTATCGTCCCTTGCAACCTCCGTCCTCGAGGGTTGAATTGTTACAGCAGTACGATATGGAGCTGCAGTCCTAGCGCTTGGGCCTCGATAAGGTCTGCCGAGTAGATGCCACCGCACTCTTGGATACCGACGCTCAGTCAATGGTGGAGATGGTGCACAATCACTTTTTGCACTTGACATATCAGTAAGTGGTACACAAGCTCTACGAACATCTGGAAGTAAACAGATGCTTAAATTATGAAATCAATCTAGTGTAAGAATCATTACTCTCTTCAGACCGATCATTTTCAAAAAACAGGAGGAGTTACATCAACCAGTTTCGAAAAACGTCCCCTCTCAAAAGAATGCGTGGAACAAATGCTTATCATCGGCCTGGGCGGAAATGGATATTTTGAGGAGCCTGGCCGAAGTGGACCCAATTAGGTATCTCCCCCCTGAAAGGTAGGCAAAACTTCCTACTCTGCCCCCCTGACAAAGAGCCAGTATGAAGTCTGATACCAACCAAATTTAAAACGAACAGTGTCACGACCCTTATTCCGATTGTGGTGGTTCTCTTCCTCGATCGCCTTTGGGCGACAGGGTTGAGACGTCATGTCGCCACGCAGAAGGTCGACCTGGCCATGCTCATCTTACGGGAATTGGGGGAAAGATATCTTGCGGCTCGCTTCATCATTACCTACTACACGGCAGCGTTCCAAAAGATATTGCCCGAGGAGGCCCACGGTGGTCTGCACCCCGTCTCCCAACATCAACACACCACCTCAAGGTCACCATGTTGTTGAAAGTCAGAATGCACCAGGAATAGACGCCACCACCACTTCGCGGGATCTACCGTGGACGGTAACTAGGCATAACGTCCTCGATGGATCCACCGAATGGTTGTCTCCAGACCTTCTATTTCCGCATTCCGATTTGTTCTGGGACCATAATTTGACGGGCGACTTTGAACAAGATCTGATGGGACATCTCCCTGTGGGAGGTTGACTCGAGTTGCTTTCGTCTCTCATGTATATTTATCGCAAATACGATAAGGGAGAAGCATGATGTCCAAAAAATACCCAGAACCTATGGATTGAGGAGAATAGGCTTTCTAAGATGGTAGTAAAATTCTAGTATTCAGCCTGATTAGACCATTTCCTTTACCTAAATTGCCATGCAATATGTATTCCTCCCTCTCTTTTCCGTATCAATATCTCATATCGTACTGTTGAGATGACTCTAGGGATTGATTTACTTTCGGCAGAATGAATCATCGAATACCAGACAGCATTGCCATTCGGAACAATTTCATTCTGTGTATATCCATTCCCAAGATATTGGTATCAGTTATTGCTACGGTAGGTAATGTTGTAGTCTTCGTAGCGCGGTCGGTCCATGGCCTCAAAGTAATGAAGTCTACTACCGGGCCAGATTGCGGTCACAGGCCCGTGTTTCTTGCCATTCTTGAACCACGAATTACACGCCGCACTCCAGGTCAACCGTTTCATGAGCTCATGAGTGTGATTGAACAGGTCGTGAATGCATTCGGGCTTGGGGTCGAAACACTTGATATTCTCGACCTGGAGCTTGTCGATCACTTGGAACATGTATCGCGTGTGCTATTCGAAAATAGGAAGCGTCGAGCTGTGGCTGACTGGGGAATTAGGCCCAAGAAAGTGAAACAGATTCGGAAATCCCTCGGCCATGATGCCCATGCGGGCCTTGGGGAAATCGCCAAAGGTCTTTTGGAGATCTCGCCCGTTGCGACCGGTGACTTGAAAATGCGGGCTGAAGGACGTGTCAAATCCGCTCGCGCATATGATTGCGTCCGCCTCATGATGGACACTAAAGCCGTCTACAACACCATTTTCGGTGATTCTCTCTACCGATTGACACACCACTTGTACGTTGGGCTGGATCAGGGATTCGAGGTATCCTGATCCGGGAGTCATTCGGCGGCATCCAAGAGCAAAATCGGGAATCAGATATTCGGTCAGTTGAGGGTGGTGACCCAACCGCTCCGTCATCATCTTCGTGACCAACTCCTTGAAGATTTCTGGTCGTTGCTATTCGTGTGATTCTATTGATAGTTAGTAATTAGTCGAGGGAAAGAAAAAACGCCTCGCCCAGGTTGTTGGTCCCGTGAGCTGATGAATGGCTAGTCCCTGAGAAAAAGAACGGGGGAAATCGGATGGACAACGAACCAACGCAAATCTCTTGTTAAGCTCGCCTTCTAGGTCGCGGCAGTATCGGTGGTATAACGCCGGGTCTTTTGTAAACTTCGTCTTTTGCTCTTCAGAATCTGGGCAGGAATTTAGTATTCCATGATTCTGAGCATTCTTGAAGGGGGTTGTGTTTTGAGACAGAGAGATGAGGCATATTCCGCTGCTTACAATGGAAATTAGTACCGTTAGGTCCAGCATATTTGGCGCCGAATCCAGTAGTGACCCACACGGGGGATCTGAGAAATGATACGACATTTTTTGCCACTATGATGAGCATGGTAAATATCTTGTCAGCGGGTCCGACTCAACCAGATATCAGCACTTATGAATACTGTTTGTATATTTTTCACCCTTTTGCAATTGAGGGATAATTTGAACCGCAGAGGAGCCACCTCCTATTACCGCAACTATCTTGCCCTGCAAAGTCGTACTGCTGATCCCATCGAGCGCTGTGCATCAGCTTTCCTTGGAAGACGTCGATCCCCGGCACATCAGGATATTTCCAGGAGCTTGCCACAACAATAAGTAGAGATACCTTGAAGAGACAAGAATTTTTGAAACTGTACTCACTTAAGGATCCCTCCACCGTTCACAAGGACTTCGCAAGAATCCGAGAGCAATGATCCGTCAGGTCCGAGGATGGACAGCTTCCATAGTCCCGAATCTTCGTCCCAAGTGGCAGACTCAACTCTATGATTATACTTGATGTATTTTTCCAGGCCGAACTTCTTGGCCGTGTCCTTCAAGTGTTGCCAAATCTCTTCCGACTTCGAACAATACTGGGACCAATTTGGATTGCGAGCCCAAGAAAATTGGCTATCCAGACGTTAGCACACAAGGGGCAGTCGAAGAATAGATAGTTCAGGACAAAATGAAAACACACACACAAAAAAAAAAAAAAAAAAAAAAAAAAAAAAAGAAAAGAAAACATACTAACTATGACTTGGAATAGTCCATCTCTGCCCTGGGTACCGATTCTCCAGTCATGTCCCTCCC